CGGTGAGATTACCTCCACTTATCACCTCATTAATCATGATACCCCCTCTTCTATCTTTCACTCTCTATCACCGATTTCAATCTTGTCCGGGCCCCTCTTTCTGATTTTCCTCTCTTCCTTCCTTTCTTTCCTTTTCTTTTTATATTTTCCTATAGTCTTTTGTTTTTGTCTCTCTTTTTCCCCCTCTCTGTCTCTCTCTCTCTTTCTCTCTCTCTCTGTCTCTGTCTCTGTCTTGTGGGAAGAGGGGATGGCTGTCTCCTAGTAACATGGAACGTGCACTTATATATTCTCAAATTTTCATCGCCCTAGATTACCTATCACAAATAAATTCTAATTCTTAAATCTACTCAGTGGCGTTACAATGTCAATAATGTACATTTATATACACTACAAGCAATGGAATCTGTATAAGAAAGATATTATAGATCAGAAACAGAGATGAATAGAAGAAAGAAAGAAGTGAGAAGGAAACCGACCCTACTCGCCTCTTGTTTAGGTACCTTTTTTCATTTTCGGAATTACGAACCCTATTTCATTTTCGGAGTTATGAACCCTTTTTCGTTTCCGGAATTATGAACCCTTTTTTATTTTCGGAATTATGAACCCTTTTTCATTTTCGGAATTAATATGAACCCTTTTTCATTTTCGAAATTATGAACCCTTTTTCATTTTCGGAATTATGATTCCTATTTTTTTTTCTCGGAATTATGAACAATTTTTCCTTTCGGAATTATGAGTCCCTAGGCATGGGAAATTTGTGTTTCGGAATTATGAACCTTCGGAAATACGAACCTTCGGAAAAACGAGTGTCCCCCGATTGGTTGTTGTTTGAACCTGTGAAATAAACACAAACGCAGAAAAACTTACAGATCCTACAGAGCATTCTTCGCCGATAAAAACCACAAATCCCATATATGCACATAGAGTGAGACCATGGGTGTCGATCCCGGGGGGGATGGGGGGGATATATCCCCCCCAATATTTCAGGTGGGGGGGATGGCCTGTACAATCATCCCCCCCAATAATTCACCATAAAATTATTTTTTTAAATGAAGAGAAAAATTAATGATGAGAGTCCGATGAGAGTAGTTAATTGTTATTACTCGCAAGATGACCATCAATATACACATTTTGCTATCTCATTTTCATAATACATACATTATATACGAAGTTAATAAGACAACCGTACATGAGACAAGAATAAATTGAATTCTCGCTCATACGGCTTCATCAGGAATTGATGAATTTATTCAATTTGTTCAATCAACAGCATATCATAGAAATGCAGTGCGCCAAATGCAAAGACGCAGCATCAAAAGCAACGAGCTAAATGTTAAGCGCGAAGCACAAAAGTAGCAATCTGCAATGCACATCAGACAATCCTGGACAGTGTAAACATAGATGAACTCTGTGACGATTTCGTGATGAGATCGGAGACAAAGAGAAAGATTTTCGGACATTAGTATGACTTATAAAATAGTTCACTAGTTGTTATGTTGTTTCCGTTCACCCTTTTTAAAATTCACGTCATTGTATCTTTATTTTTATTTTTTTCACTCATTTTATTTCCTGATATTTCCTAAAACATTTTTCATTTTTGGAGAAAGATTATTATGTCACAACTTATTTTCAGTTGGGAAACTGAATTCAGACAAGGATTAATATAGAGAACAGTACAATGAATCGTCTTCTTTCTCTAATAATTTAGCGAACAGGGCAAAGCTGTTAGGGGGGCAACTGAATTCAGACGTGGATTAAGAGTAATAATCAAATGAAACGTCAAAGTACACGATACAACTAATCGTCTTCTTTTACTAATAATTTAATAAAACGTGAAAGCTTCCGCGCTACGCGCGGAATGGGCGAAAGTGAATACAGACAAGGATAAAGAGTAATAATTTATTGAAACATTAAAGCTTCCGCGCTTCGCGCGGTAGGGGGGAAACTGAATTCATGAAGGACACGATACAACAAATCGTCTTCTTTCTCTAATAATGTAATAAAATGTGAAAGCTTCCGCGCTTCGCGCAGGATTGGGTAAAAATGAATTCAGACAAGGATTAAGAGTCGAGAATGGTACATAGAATCGTCTTCTTTCTTTAATAATCTAATGAAACGTCAGAGCTTCCGCGCTACGCGCGGGGGAAGGGGAACTTGATTCAAACAAGGATTAAGAGTCGAGAATGGTACATCGAATCGTCTTCTTTCTTTAATAATCTAATGAAACGTCAGAGCTTCCGCGCTACGCGCGGGGGAAGGGGAGCTTGATTCAAACAAGGAATAAGAGTCGAGAATGGTACATAGAATCGTCTTCTTTCTTTAATAATCTAATGAAACGTCAGAGCTACCGCGCTACGCGCGGAGGAAGGAGAATTTAATTCAAACAAGGATTAAGAGTCGAGAACGGTCCAACGAATCGTCTTCTTTCTCTAATAATTTAGTGAAACGTCAAAGCTTCCTCGCTTTGCGGGGGGGGGGGGGGGGACTCCCCCTCCCTGCACCCAACCCCTTAGGAACCGCGCTTCGTGTGCTAACTACCGCCCCCCCTTAAATTAAATCCTGGCTACGCGCTTGGGAGGGGTGCAACTTGCCACACGCTTCTACCACTTTGGTTGCTTTGATCCATTGCCGAAAATATTTTGGCACCTATCATCCCCCCCAACCACGGATACAAATCGACACCCTTGAGTGAGACTTACAAGAGTTTATAAGATGCACCGTTTAACTTTTATTATTATTATTAATGTACGTTTCGGGCCTACTTACCCGAATTTCCTTTTATTTATATGATCATTACTCAGCGTCAGCCACCATACATTTTCTACCAAAATTGTTTGGCACATCACATATTTTCGTCGAATTCTGTCAGAATTTCATTTTCTATTACCAGAACTCAAGTTTATCTTGAACCACTTCCTCCGTGTTTCTTTGTCAAGTATTATGGTACAAGTATTATATTCCGATATTGCCCAGGGTCACCTCCCTGATGCTGCCTCATGCAAACATGGTTATTATGTGTATTGCATAATGTATTGTTAATGGGAACGATGGATATCTCGCGCATTGCGAAATAATTTTTAAGCTCTAGTGGGAATTCCCACCGATTACAGTACAGTCTTTGTCGCAGACACAGTTTCAGTGTATCGATAAACCGCAGAATTGACCCGATCGATGACCCGTAGGTTGAGGCATATAAACTGGAATAATTTTATGACACAGTTGGTGTTTACATATTTCTCCTCATGCATGATCACACGAAAAGGTTAAAACTACTTAAAAGTATATGCGAAGAAAAAAAGATTATGCGAGTGACGGCTGGTAAAGACTATTTCCCGAAATTACCGTACAGTCATAAATATATAGGCTATAGAATTTTTTTACTCTATTCGATATTGTTAGGGATTCCATATGCTAGATGGCTTAACGATGCCGGAGGGAAACCAAGTCTTTGAAAGAGAGATAGTCGAATATTGCCAACTAAACCTGGTCATTCTTTTCTTCTTCATGAACACTGACAAAGTTTATACATGTAATTGATGGGAGTCTGAATGCGACTGCATGAGTGGAGATAAATAACGTCGTTCGACAACTATAAAAGGTAGGCTTATTTCTAGATCTATATTATTTAATTTTTAAGAAACGTGATATATCAAGTTAACATAAGGCCTAAGGCGCATGCCTTTTGAGGGGCATCTATTTTTTTAGTCATAAATTTCCTGGTCTGATCCACTATTTTACTAACGGATTATCTAAAAATATTGATATTAAATTTTGAGTGGGAAACTCCCAACGTTCGGGCGAATATATGAGCCCCATTTTCGACCAGACGGTTCTCATAAAATTTATAGTAGATCTCTGACTACTGCAATCAATATTACAGAAAATACCAGGTGGAAAAACGTCCTTAATAATCATTATGACCAATTTTTTGTAGTGATTTCTTGTTAGTTTTGAAAAAAGGAGTAAATTAATAAATGAGTAGGCCTAAGTGAGTGAGAGAGAGAGAGAGAGAGAGAGAGAGAGAGAGAGAGAGAGAGTGAGTTTGACAAGCTATTATGCGCACTGAGCTGGGCATATCCACCGGTATATGCTAAACGTGATTTTTTTCTTTCTTCTTCTTATTCCCTTTTCTCTAATATGAAATTTACGGTGATAAAAATCCAATTTGAAATTAAATACATCACTAACATTTGTCCGTATTGGCACTGTTATCAGGTGACTTTTCACATGCCGTTTGGTGATATTGTTCTTCTGAGACCTGTCAACACTGATCTAACTATATACACAGACATAACCATTTCTTTTTCTTTTTCTTTCGTCTTTCCTTTTTTCCCCTTCTTCTTTCGTCTTTCCTTTTTTTTCCTTCTTCCTTTTCCTTCTTTTTCTTCTTCTTACTATCATTAGTGTTATTATATGATTTAAAGCCAGTTGAATATGTCTAGCTAGCTTGTGAACCCTACCTGCATTGACCTATATGTAGGCTTGCAAATTTTGTGGCTGGTACAGTTTGGCAACCGATCAGCCATCCGCTTTCACCCGCTTTCCCTGTGGATTATAAAAAAAAGAAGGAAATATAGCCTGTCTATTGTTTAAAATTATTATTTTTGTTTTTGTTGTTGTCACAATTCGTTGGGGAATTAGAAAACCCTGATCTCCTATGCTCAAAAGCAAGATGGGCATGAGTATAGCCTATACATGACTCAATCGTTAAATCTGCTAAAACCAAATATTAAAAGTTAAAACCATCGACTTGAGTGAAAATGCGTTAATAGTACATCGTACCATGATATAAGACTACTTTTTCCAACAATTCATCTTCAGATATGTAAAGATAAATTTAAGAAATTTAGCTATAACGCTGAATTTTATGACTCGGTAGTTTTACTAGTTTGAAAATTGCGTAGCTTTATACATGATCGTTAAAACTCCTGAGAAAAGAGACTAACTGATCAATGCGAGTTTTCGTGAAAAGGGGAATTCCCACTGTGGCTTCAAACATCTCGCGCACGGCACGCATGCGGCGCCCACAAGTGAATTTCGGCCTTAATCTAGGGTAAAGTCATAACACGGCCTGTGACTGTGGTCTGACATCTGCCTGATTTTGGGGGTTTGGTCGTGATCATTGGCTAAATGGACCCAGAGACAGAGTCTTGCCCCTTGCCTTAATTAGTCTGCATGGAGCTGAGTCGAGTTAGACTTCGTCTTAATGCCACGGCTCTTGCTTGCACTGCAGTAGACATAAATAACCATCTGGCATGGGTCGATCATTCTTTTTAATACAACTGACATTTGTCTGTAGATCTATACGGAGGTCTAGTGGAGCCAGACGTAGTCTTGGTGGAACAACCAACAATATAGAGAGACTGAAGCTTTTGGTCTAGCACTGCAGTTGCATCTTGGACTTGGTTAGTATGCAGTTAAAGATAATTAAGTTGAGTTCTGGTCATGCGGTTGATCGTCTAGCATTTAAGTATTTGTGTGTATTGCCTGGCCCCCTTATATGCGTGTTCCAAGCGACCCCCCCCCCCCCTTTTCAGCAAAAGTCCGGTGTGTAAAGTTAATACGGGTCGACCTTTTTCTTTTGTTACGAAAGGACATTTTGGTAACACGCATGGGGTCCGTCCGTTCTCGGAGTGGGGGGGGGGGGGGGGCGGGTGTATTGCAAGGTTCTGCATGGAATCATCAAAATGATTAGAAAATTTGGCCAAGTCTTGGTAAAGTTCCAAGCACTGTACACACAAGTAGGGAGGCCAATACCAAAATCTAACTTTTTAATTACTCATTTATTTATGTAAATAAAACAAAGTTTAAAAGAAAGTATTTTCTTTAACTAAGACAACTCACCCATCTGCTGACTCCAGAAGTTCCAAAATAGGAGATATCATCATATCATATACTATGTCCCAATTTTGCAGCCAACCTCAAATTCTGTAGAACTTTGCAGGAATTATGAATATGTGATGTATGTCCTATCTCTGACATTTAAAAGTTAGCAGTGTCCTAATATTCAAATTATACAAGGAAACCCATTTACTTGCTAGACTTCACTGTCAGACACTATGTCAGAATTGAGTGACTGACTGGCTTTTTTCTTCTTTGGTAATAACATACATAAAAAGAGCTGTAAAGGATTTGTCTACATCAATAACCCACTTCTTGGAATGGCCAAAATTAAAATGATTGAATCTTTGCGCAGCATAAAACGTACGACCATGCGGTACAATGGTCTGAAAATCAAGACTATTACTTATTGGCTCTAGCTCCTATGTCGATTTGACAACTAATAGTCATTATTTTCCCACTTAAAGACATTTTCAAGCCCCCTTTTTTTTAGGGAAGTTCTAAATTAATATTATCTTTCAAATGCCATTGGAATTTAACCTTTTCATTTTTTGGCCTGCAAATGGGACATAGTACCTTTAAGTTGTTCAAGGTGTTCCTTCTACGCCGTCCGTAAGAGCCTTGGAATAATCAATTTCATGTCGCGAAATTACGGACCTGTCGCAACGACAGGTCAACGCTGACTGACTGGCATCTCACGATGTCTACATATATATTTCACAATTAACTATAACGCCCTCTATGTCTTAGTAAATTACTAGACTAGTTATGCTACATTACCTTAGATTTGGGTTGTATTCCAATAGTATTTCCTCATGAGTAAAGACTTCAGTCTGACACTGCATTATCAACGAGAAGTTACGAGATCCAAATCCAATTAACATCCATCTTGCCGCGATCACAATCCAGAATCAACAATAGGACTGCAACGTACGCAGAGCTAGAGACGTGTACTCGGATAATCAGATGTAATCGGATAATCAGGGGTGATCTTGTTTTATGAATATCGACCATCTTCTTCGCTTATGAATAATGAACCTTATAAATAACGACCCTCATTCCGTATTATGAATAGCGACCCTCATTTTGTATTATGTATAGGGAACCTCTTCTCCTATTATGAATAGCGACCCTCTTCTCCTATTATGAATAGCGACCCTCTTCTCCTATTAGGAATAGCGACCCTTATGAATAGCGATCGATCGACCCCGATTTCGTATTATGGATAGCGACCCTCTTCTCATATTATGAATACTGACCCTCTTCGTTGATTAAGAATAGCGATCCTAATGAATATTGACCCTTATGACCCTTTTCTCAAATTATAAAAAGTGGTCCTTATGAATAGCGGTCCTTATGAATATAGCGACATTGACCCGAAATTTCTGACCTCTTGCACAATCATGTGAAAGAACTTGTAGTTCAACCACCTGCTACATAGTTGTCCAACCTTCTTAGAACAGGGGCGCTACACGTTGCGCCACAATAACATACTTTCATATCTACTCAAGAAAGCCAGACAAGCAAGTGTGTCATCTACATGTACATGTACATCATCTTTCCCCAACCTCGGAATAAAACATGACATTGCCAATCTCCCTGGTTTAATACTCAACTGTTACAACAGTTCATAAAGCATGTACCCAAACAAACCTAAAACCCAACCTTTGTATATTCTGGGGGAAAAAGAAGAAACTTCTCGTTCTTGAATTGAAGGTAATTCTGTTTGAATTAGGAATGGATAGTCTCGTTTCTGATTTTTTTTTTTATGCTTAATTCATCATTCATACTTGTCCAAGAGCTTTTGTATGAATGTAGAGTTCAGATAAAACTTGTTTGTATTCTTTCTTACACATCAATCACATGTATTGTTTCTAAATTCTATATATCCATTTCGCATTTATGTAACGTCTGTTTGGAGCCACAATGGCATTGATCCATATTACTTTGACATGGAGTTCAAACCCTTGTGACCCCAAACAGATGACATGTTAAATGCATTGTTAATATCTTTGCACATTGAGTGATTTCATGTTGGGTGTTTAAGGCTGGTGTTAGTGTTTAATAAACACTAACACCAGCCTAAACACCGAAATGGAAATCAGCTGGTGTTAAGGCTTTGACCTCTGAATATCGTCAACTTCCGGTAGCTAGTGTTATCGATTTTGCAAAATTGTCGTCTGCTGAACAGATCTTTGTGGCTGGTCTTAATATTTTACGTACAAATGTCCTATTCACTAACACTAGCCCCTAGGGATTAACACTATGAACATGACTGACAAAGAAAGCGGACAAAATATACAGTTCCTCAGGTAGACAAAGGAACATCCCTTCACTGCTATTATGTAAAAAGGTGAATATGCATGTGACACATGTTCTACACATTTTTACATAATAGCAGTGAAGGGATGTTCCTTTGTTTAGCTGAGGAACTGTATATTTTGTCCGCTTTCTTTGTCAGTCATATTCATAGTGTAAGCAAATGTTGATTTCCAGTTCAGTGTTAGTGTTGTACCCGCACACAGTCAACACACTAACAATGCCAATTTATTGTCTGACAATCAAATACAAATATGTGAAACAGGTAATTCATATATTCTTTTGTGTAAAATTAGTAATTTTATAAGACGAGAGAAATAGGTGTAAATTTATTCTGTACTTTTCATGATATCTTTAGTTTTTATGTACTATTTTTAAATCAACGTTGTGAAATCAAGTATGTGGTGATGTCACGGCTGGTGTTAAGCTATCGATTTTGATATTGCTATCGGGCTCTTAATTTCATCAGCAAATCTTCCGCTCGATTTAAGAGCTCTTGACTGCTCTAAACACTAACACTAACACCAAAGTTAAAATCACTCAATGTGTGTCACATATTCCATCATGAATAATATGAAGTACTAGCACAGCATTGTTAATAATAAAACATGACCTGGGCTTTTTTTTCTTCACTTTTCTACTTTTCTATACTTTGTTGGGAGTAGTTTCTAACTATAGATCTATGCAATCGTATACTATTACTTTGTTCATGATTTAAAATAAAGTGATATTGAAACAATGAGGCTCAAACTACTTGATAATATGTATCACGATAGGAAGATGATCTGATCAGATTTTTGGTAAAAAGGTCAAAGGTCACAGGTTAATCTATGAAATTACAAGTTTTAGCTTTGCTATTGTGATATCTCAAGTACTACTAGAGAATAGAGATATGGAGTTTAAACTTCGTGATAGTATGTATCATTGTTTGAAGACAATCTGATCAGATTTTTGGTAAGTATTGGTCAATAGTCAAAGGTCGATTTTTGAAATTACAGGTTTTATCCTTGTTAGTTCAAAATCTTTATAGAACCATTCACAGCATTAATTAGCCTCAAACTTGGTGATACATGTAGTATGTATCACCATAGGAATATTTAAGGTCAGTAGTTCAAAGGTCACAGGGGTAAATTTCTTAAATTAAAGATTTTTAGCTTTGCTATCGCAATTTGTAATCGTGGTATTAAATGGAATTACTATTGGAAGAGGAAAATTACATTTTAGGGCTAGTAGATCAAGATCATAGTCGGCGGTTGACAATTGATTATAGACATTTTGTCTCGTTTTGTTTCATCGTGAAATGTCACAAATAAATCCATAATTTCCTATTTAGGGCGAAGGCATACGAGATGCAGTCACATTTGTCTTGTTTGTGTATTGTTGATGTTCATCAGACAGTATCACCGATTCCCCCCCCCCCCAATTTTAGTATGTTGTAGCTGAGCGTATACTCTAGAAAAAATTTGCCATTTATTTTTGAATTTGACGTTGGGATCATAGTCAATTTTTTTTTTATTAAAGGTGAAAGTCCAAATCCCTTATTGGGTAAGAACACACCCGTCTGAAAAAACTCTATGGCCAATTTATTATTTTTAAGATTTACATTTAATGTATTTCTTGTGGGATGATTGTATTCATAGTGTGCCATGAGAGATATATTCCTGATACATTTGTCTCGATCATGCCAATGCAGACCTTATGTTGTTGACCGGTATCAGTTATTGCATTCTAGATTTGATGGAGAAAGCCAATGGGAAAATAATGCATTTGAAAATTCATACTTTATTTAACGCATCGTAATATATGGTTCTTTCTAAAATATTAGTCTTATTTCAAGACTGTTGTTTATCCAGATTTTATGCTCAGATGTTTGTGTACAAACCCTATGGGGAGTTTTTATTACCAAGAAAATTCATGTAACATCCGTAGTGGAACAGGAAATTTCTGTACAAAATCTGTAGAGAAATTCCGTCATCCAAATATGATGGTAAACATGAGTTCAGGGGCTGATCCAGCCGGCGGCAGGGGAGGGGGCCCAATTCGTGAGAAAATATTTAGCGGTGAAACAGCTGGTCGATATTTCGCTTAGTTGGGGGGGGGGGGCTAGTAAGCACTAATTTTTTTGGGGGCCCTGAAAAATCGCACCCCCCTTTGAGCGTCAGGGGGGGGGGGCATCTCCAAAAAAAAGGATAATTTAATGTTTTTTCCCAGGGGGGGGGGGGCAGGCCCCCTGGATCCGCCACTGCTGTAGTTCACCCTCATATTGGGATGACAGAATTTCTCTCCAGAATTTCTCTAATGACGGAATTCCTCTTTCTATTGTCAATCGTTCATAAGATCATTTGCTGCAGATCACCTACTATGTACATGTAATTCATCAGCTAGCTGTGATGAATTCCAGTCTTGTTTATTTTCCAATTTCCAGATTAATTCTGACTCTGTCATCAATCCAAGATGCGTACCAAGCCAAAGAGAAATTATCTAGTCCAAGACGTGCTTGACATTGGAGAGAGGTTCTTCCAATATCTCGGAAGTACAGGTCACCAAGAGGTCACGGAGAAGGAAGCTTTACGTGACCTCTATTATGATGAATTCAAGCCTTCCCTCCAAGGGCAAGGTGTTAAAGGTAATGATCAACTGACAAGTGGTAGACACATGATATTTTTCTTTGTATTGTATGTCTCTGGCTCTCCATCAAAATGGTGTGCTTGGTCCAAAAGGGTACCATATGTCCCCATTTGCAGGCCCAAAAAATGAAAAGGTTAAATTCCAACGGCAATTGAAAGATAATACTAATGTAGAACTTCCCTCAAAACGAAGGGGCTTGAAAATGTCTTTTTGTGGGAAAATAGCGACTGTTAGTTATCAAATCAAATTTAGGGATTGCAGTCATTTTATTAAATAGTCTGAATTTCAGACCCTTGTACCGAATGGTTGACGTTTTGTGTTGCGCAAAGATTCAATCAGTTGGGTAATCTCTTTGGCAGCTCACTCAGGAAGCTATACTAGGATGGTAGGTGAGGCGAGTAACTACCGGTACATGGAGTGTCACGAAGTGCAGGAATGGTGCAGTAATATATGCCAAGTACAGTGCCAGTAAAAACCAAGCTAGTAAGCTTATGATGTGAGATCCTACGGGGGGCTGCATCATTCTGATGGAGGGTAGAGCAGCCTCCTTGAAGTGGGTTCCAGATCCTTGTTGCTCTTGGATAGTATATATAAGAACTGGAAGAAGTCAATAGTGCAACAGGAATTACATACTTCAGGTTGTGGTCGTGTCTTCCGAAGTATGTATTGAATCTGAATGTTGAATCTCACGAAAGAGGATGCTGTCATCTGCAAAGAGACGCATTGTGGACTGGATGTTGTCTTGGATATCGTTGATATACAGCAGGAACAGGCCGATGACGGATCCCTGGACGACACCAGATGTTACATCCCTCCATGTTCTTTTAGATCCATCAACTACGACTGCCTGTTGTCTATCATAGAGGATCGAGTGACATTATCCACTGGAGTGAGTCACCGCTTATTCTGTAGTACTGAAGTCCAAGAAGATTATATCAACTTGGCTGCGCTGCTGTAGGATGGAGGACCAGTCGTGGACAGCTGATGTCAATTGGGTGGTTGTTGACAAATCCTGCCGGAAGCCATGCTGTGCATCAGTGAGGATGTTATTCACTGCAACATGCTATTATAACGTCCTAAAATTCAAATGAAAAAAAAAATGGAAAAATTCAACATAATTTTTCCACAGGAAGGATGTAGACAAATTTTTTTCTTTTCTATTCAACATGAATCAATAAAAAATGTAAAAGGTCTTCATCATTATTGGGATTTTTGTTTTGTTTAAAGGGGGGGGGGGGGTGGGGTGGGGCCAAAATACTTATTCCTTTTTTAAAACCTAGTGTGTTGATTCTGATGTATAGCTGTGACATGCATCCCTATATTTCAAGTTTAGTTTATTTCCACAATCTGATAATATACAAAACAGTCAAAAGACAAACAAGAATACACCATAAATATAACATAAGAGATAATAGTGGGATCGACAATATAGCTTAGGCCTGCAGGCCTGTCTATGGTCAATCCCTTAAGTATAATTAGCCTGTATTACTATGGGATCAGGTGATCTATAACTAGGAACGTGTGGCCATGCAGGGTCAAAATTAGCCATAGCATAAAGATTTTACATTTTAAATAATTACTGTGGAGTCGGTTTTACTGAAGCAATAACCCTACAGTTAACAATTAAATTATTCATACTGTATAACCAAATTTTGTTATTATTGAAGTATGTGAAAAATTGAGTTGTCTCAATTTATGTCTTTTGAGATTGTGACATATTAAAGCTTACCTACTGGTATAAAAGTATTCAACAAAGGCCCTAATTCAACTAGTCCACCTTAAGTGCTGGGAATTAGCGTGTAATTTCCTATCTGTGTACAGGGGGAGTTATATCCGTGCATGTAAACGTGTACACGGCTATGAAATTAACCAAAAACCAAAACAGTATTTCAGCCATGTAAGCAATCCAGCATAGTACATGGCTGCCGAATTTTACGACTTCATAAAAATGCGATCCTTATGATAAATACTGATTTTACAACTTCTCATTCAGTCACAATATTGTCTGCAAAACATTATTTTTCATTTTCATTACCGGTACCTAGCTTCCTCCCATGAGTTGTAACACTGTACCCAATGCTGCAAAGGTTTGCAGTATTATCTTTTATATACTAAAACAAATGGACGATGGAAACCAGTGTGCATTCACGCTTAGGGAAAACATTGCACATGCGTCGGAACAAGGATTTTCTTGAAAAAGTTGTTACTGTAGTGACGGTACTGCACACAAAACCCTCGCGCTTATGCGAAAGTCAGACTGCAATGATTGGCATTGTTTGCATGAAGACAAGAGAAGAGACTCAATGGCATAATTGGATCAAAATTGTACAGTGTATGGAAATAATTATTGATTGAAGTAGCATTAGATTTTAAACTTTATTTTTAGACTGATGACGGATATTTTTGTGAAATTTTTTACTTCAGCAATTATAATGCTGAAAAACAGGTGATTTTTTTTTCTTCTTGCATCCGTTTAGTGAATTTTTTACACGTGTTGTGGTGGTTCGTTCGCATACACGGATAAACGTGTGGTCCCAGTTGGGCAGAAAGTTGGGCAGAACACCACCTTGAGTGATCGTCACCCCACCCAAAAGCTTGTTGAGTTCTTCATCATTACGCACAGCGAGTTGATTCAAGAAAAACCCACCAACCCCCCCCCCCCCCAATATACAAGGGTTATGAATGATTTATAGTTTTTGACCGTATATATGTTTTCAATTTTTCAGCCTTTGGATTTTCCAAGTTGTTGTGGTGCTTGAAACGCAACAAGAGGATACGTGTAAAGAACGGTCATGTGTTCCCTCAGAAGGCCTATGACTCTGTGGCGTTAGACCAGTATAGGACCATTAGGAGGTCCGAGGAGGCTTTTGACGGTCAGGGGTCACCAGCAAGGGCAGCAGGCAATGGAGAAAGGTGGTCCGCTCAGCGCAAACGTTACCCTTGCCTCTGTGAGGTTTGCGGAGTGATTGTCAACTCTGAGGTCTCCTACAGGGAGTACATCAGAGGGAATCGCCATCGGGTCAACATGCTGAAGAAGGACATCAACTCAAAGAGGTTTATTTCAAGCTCATATCTCATATTGTCTCACTGTACCTTTTTCCTTCCAACACTGTTCATTCTGCACACCCTTGAATCATTAAAGCGGCAGAAATAAAAAACCAAAATAGTTTTTAAATCGGCAATCAAAGAGTCAAGATATATGCCGTAAATCTCTCGTTTTTTTTTGTTTTTTTTTGTTGCTGTTTTGTTGCCGAAAACCCACGCGGGGAAGGACTTTCATTTAACATCGAGGTGCCAATGAAGGCGCCGATTTTTTGTCACAAATAATAGTAACAATGTCATTTTTAGAAGAATGTGTAAGATCATTAATGTAAATTAAAAACAGGAGAGTACCTAGGATAGAACCTTGTAGTACGCCATGTGTAATAGAAGAAAAATTTGAGGAATTATTATTATAAACTACATATCGAGATCTATTAGAAAGATTACTTTCAAACCAAGAGTACAGACAAATTTGAGTGTTGTTGTAGTTTCCGAGTGGTGAGACAACACACAGATTACTGAGCTGGGAGACATTAATTAATTGCCAGGCATAGCCCCGGGTGGAGGGGCATGAATCGAAACTTAAAAAAAAAAAAAATTGTACCTGTGTATAAGATGCACCCCCGACTTTCAATTTTTTCGGCGGCAAAAAAGCGTGCATTATACACGGAGATTGACGGTACTAGTGGTATGCATTTTGATAAGTACTTAGATATCTCAACTGCTTATTGCTCCCAGACAGGACCTGCTTTGTGTTATTTTCTCATGTATTAATGTCTTTTAAGTGCTTACTATATAATCTCCATTTCCATGTGAAATCGCCAAGAAGAAATTGATTTTCATTTTAGCTACATGCACTCACTGCGTTCAAGAAATTAAAAGATTCAGATTTAGTAAACCTCTTAGGATAGATATTACCCTATTGCTTTTGAGTACGTGATTTAGATTCTAAATTTTTTTTGTCCATATTTTGATTTGATGCCTTCTGACTTTGAATCGAATGTGCAACTATTGAACATATTGACAAAACAATCTGACATGCATGTATTTATCGGTAATCACATAGATGTATGATTATATGCTTCCAAACTCTGCATATGAACATAATAAAGAAATATACAGAAAGACGGGAAGAAAGAAGTCATTGGTGAGGAAATTCATCCCTTTTTTATTTTGCTACACCATCTCTTTTTAATAGGGATGACCTAGTTGAAACCAAGAATGGAGTATCAATCACGACACAATATGATGATGGCAAGGGAAATGTAACAACTCAGATGCAGAGGGACATTACTAAGGAAGTGAACTTCAAGATCAAGTCAATCAGGTAAGTACAGTCACAAAACATAAGTATTCAGCCAAAATAGGTTCCTTGTGAAGGTTGCAAGCAACCATCTGCATAAATCTTTAAACTACTTCAAATCTTCACCAAATTGTATTTTCATAAAAGATATCTTTGTGACACTGTTACAATTACACAAAAAGATAATAAAGAATGCATGGATCTGATCCTTTGTTGACATTGTTAATTCTTACACAGTGACAGGGAGGTAGCTCTCATATCTATAGCTCTACTTCAACCTCGCCCTGAGTTCAGGGTCAAAGATGAACATAATGTGTTTGACGGGATCAATACATTCAAGATGCCTGCGGGTAAGTTGCTACAGTAAATGCTCGGGACATGACCTTGATGAGTTCGAGGGTCTTAGAATTGGTAGATACTCATGGTAATAGACGAGTCGGCAGTCGGGTTTGTGATGATGGTAGACATGTTTATTCTACTACGACGGATACCGGATATTCGGATATCGCGTATCGTAACATCCCCCTTCCTCTGGAAAGATTGGGAATCAGTGAACATCACTGATCGATGATTAATAACATCTTTGTTAACAATACTTTTGGTAGTATGCAAGTTTTGGTTATTTGCTTCCTAATGAACTTTTTCCAATCAGGTTATATAACATAAAATCTTGATTTGTTTTTAATACGTTGTATTAACGAATGAGTATTTAATGTATAAATAATTATATCGTTCCACTTTCAACTTCACAGTTGATCTGCAAGATGGAACATAGTTTTGATATAACTTGATTCCTTTATAAAATAAATTTCCAAACGAAACATGTTTGGGCTAGCATCTGTTTCTTGGCTTGTAAACATTATGCTTGTCATACCAAAAATACTGTACAATGGTTATACATGCATATGAACAATAAACTTTTTAAGACTACATTAAACTATACGTCTTCTGAGTTCTTTTAATCTTCTCTCTTCTTTGAAGAAATTTAAGAGTTCAGTTTCAATCTTCAAACATGTATCTCGCTGGTGTACGTATGTTGCGTCCATATCTAGTTGTGGTTTACGAGTTTGTCGTTGGTCCTTTAGATTGAATGTTCTGAGTTTCTGGTGTTGGAGTTGGTTGATGGTTGTTGCCATTCTGTTGTGGTGTTTCTGCTGGAGTAGATGAGGTGTAGTCTTCGTCGAACCTAACACGCTTTGGAGTTGGGTTGGTTGACGATGGAATCTCCCTCAGGTGAGATCGGTTTTGTCTCAGGATTCCTCCGTTGGGTGTTGATACTTCATACGACCTAGGCTCGTCGCAGATTTTGGATACTTTGACTGGTATCCAAGTATGATCTTTGTAGGACTCTGACTGGTTGTCCTACCTGGAGGGGTGGAAGATCTGGACCCGCATGTCGATCGTGCGTTTCTTTCATCTTGCTCTGTCGATTCAAGAGATGATCAGTGGTGGTAGATTCTCTTGAAAGATAATGACTTGGCAGTGTTGTTCTGATGGGTCTTCCAAATAACATCTCTGCAGGTGATCTCATGTGACTGTATGGAATCGGGTGATACCAAACACTAGGGCTAAGGTTTCCCTCTCTATGTTCGAGTAGTTGGACTGCGCATTGTAAAGACTTTTGGATGCAAAAGCTACAGGTTTGCCATCTTGGAGCAGGCATGCTCCCAGCCCTTTCATCGACGCATCTACCTCAATTAACGGTTGTCTCTTTCTTTGGGTCAAAGAACTGCATGCATGCTCCCGATGAGACAGCGCTTTTTAGGCTGTTTAAGGCATGTTCGTGATCCTCGTCCCAGACGAATGGAATTTCCTTGTGAAGGAGTTCACGAAGTGGTGCTGACTTCCCTGATAGATTAGGTATGTGAATAATCCTAGGCATCTCTGAACATCTTCCTTGTCCTTGGGTGAAGGCATTGTATTGATAGCTTCAACCTTGCTTGGATCTGGGAAGATTCCAGATCTTGTGTACATGGATCCAAAGTAGCTGATAGCTTCCTTCTTGATAGTACACTTGGAGCTGTTGAACACGAGTCCTTCCTTTTTCGCTGTCTCCATGAGTAAGTGGAGATTCTTGTCGTGTTCCTCCTCTGTTTTCCCGACAATGGCAATGTCGTCCGCGATACATACGCAGCCAGGCACATTCTGGACGATCCTATCCATGTGTTCTGGAAGATGTCTTGGCTTGTGCATAAGCCAAAGGGTAATCGTTGGAAACAATATCTTCCAAATGGTGTTCTGAAGGTGGTCAGGTCTTGACATTCCTCTGCTAGGTGTACTGACCAGTATCCAGCCTTTGCGTCTAGCTTGGAGAAGAATTGAGCTCCTGCGAAGATCGGTTGGATTTCTTCCAAGGTTGGAATTTTTTTGGACACCTTTTCAAGGCATCGTTCAACCTTCTGGGGTCAAGACATCCGTATGGATCCATCTTTCTTCACAACGGTGGTCATCGAGCTACACCAATCTGTGTGGTGTTCTATCTTTCTGATGACTCCTTGCTTCTCCATGTTATCTATATCGGCTTTGATCTTGTCCTTCAGGTGGACACTGCACTTTCTAGGTGCATCTATGGTGGGCTCTGCATCATCTTTCAGATGCAGCTTTGCTTTCCCGCTAAAGCTTCCTATGGCATTAAAATGACCTGGGTATGTTTGTTTAAGGTCACTAACACTTGTGATAGGTATATGTGTAGGTATGTCCTTGTGCATTGTGTGGATTGTGATAATCCTGAGATCTGTGCACCCTAACAACCCTAAGATAGCTGGTCCATTCACGTCTGCTATGTAGAATGTATGTGTATACCATTCTAGACTCTTGTATCTACAAGCTATGTCTAATGTACCAATGCATGGTATTGATATTTCGCCATATGCTACTAACTTTACTGGTGTACGTTTCACTACTTGCCTCCACTTGTCACCATATATTTGTTTGGCTGTGCATACTGTGATAGTATTAGCGCTTGCCCCAGAGTCTATTTTCAGGTAAAGGTAATGCTGACCTGATTTCTGTGGGCATATGATGTCAATGTTTGCATAAGCTACTGTACCCTGTGAGTTGATCACTGTGTGTGGTCCGATCGTGTGTATGGTGTCGAAGTGTACGAAGTTCAATGGATCTGATGTTGATTGGTGATCATGATCTGTGGTAGTATCATGTTCAGTTTCACTTATCGGTTTATACTTTCGACCCTTTGATTTTGATCGTGATTGGTTACCGTGTTTCGGTTTACGGTCATTAGATTTCTGGTCATCTGATTTACGATCTTGTTTACGACTACGATCGTTCTTAGCCTTTCTACAGAACTTAGCCCAATGGCCCTTTGTGTCACAGGCACGACACACATCTTTGTACGCAGGGCACTGACGAGGTTTGTGGATACGTCCACAGTTTCCACACGTCTTTCGTCCCTGGTTCCGCTTGAATGAATCTATGTTTTCTTTCGTCGGATCAAGCGTTTCTAGGCATTTTCTGCTCGCCGCAACTGCCTTATATTTTCGACCCTCTACTAGAATTGCTTTGATTTGATATCCTTTATGCTGGTCCAATAGGAATTTCTGGAATTCTAGACTTGGTGTTGAGGTGATGACTACCTCCATTATCCGCTCGGCAAGTTCGGATTCCTCGATTTGGCAAATGTTTGCTTTGTCTCTACATCGAGTAACGAATGCATCAATGCTCTCATCTTGTCTCTGCCGATATCACATCAGCTCGAGACGATGGACTCGAAAATTAATGTTCACCTTTATTTGTGTTTCAAACAATTTCCACAGCTCTTGTGGTTTTTCTTGGTCGGCCTCTGATAGCCCCGACGCATTGATTTGGCGCAAACCTTCATTGCCTACAGCGATTATGATTTTGATAGCCCTTTTCTTGTTATCAGTTACATCTTGGTCTGCCAACACAAGCTCCATTCTTTGCTTGAATAGTTTGAACTCTTCGGGTAGGTCTGGTACCTCCCAGTTCATCTCTGGATACTTAGTACTCATTGTGTATGTTCACGTGTGCTTATTGGTTACGACAGATTATACGAATGAGTGTAGATCTTTGTGTTGTTAATCTTAGTGTGAACAGGTTCTAACCGGCTGGTGTTGATAAGGTTCGTACACGTATACCTTTGTACGCTCTCGCACCTGTGTGAATGTCATTAGGCGTCTCATGCAATGAAAATGTTGATCACTCTCACTCAATGTCTAACCTTCCTCAAGCGTTGCCGTGACTCAAGCATCACCCCAACCGGACTACAACTCAAGTCTTCATTCAGCACTCCACGAGCAAAACTGATCGTACACAAGGCAGGGCAAGCCCTTGTCAGAGAGTGCATCGCCAACACCCGCCATCAACTCCATACCATGGAGCAAGACATCCAAACATCAGAAGTAAACCTCTCCCAACTACTGGAACCGGCTGATCTTCGGAAATGCCAGGCCTTCAACACCTCTACAGCTGGAAAAACTTTCCAGTCAACCCGACAGAAGCAGATCGTCAAATTAACAAACTTCTAGCTAACAGCCCAAAATCAATCAACCAACCAGCCTACACCAACCAGCACCAAGGACACCGTTATCAACCTCAGCAGCCATCCACTCACGGAAACCAAACACAAAGTCCTATCATTAGGTCTCAACTTCGCCGTGTCACCCAAGAAGATCCCGTTCTCAGAAGTCATTCAACAAGTAGAACCCAAACTGAGATTCCTGAGCCGAACCGCAGCGGACCAAATCCGTTTCCAAGTCACCCAAGCCCTATCTACAGCTAAGCCACCACAACCCAACATTAGCAAACCAGAACGAGCCGCTATCAAAGATCTACGCAGCAACCAGTCAATACACATTCTACAGGCAGACAAGGGCATCGCTACAGTAGTTCTGAACAAAGGGGACTACAACAATAAGATCAGTGCGCTCCTCAAGACTCCGACTTACAAACAACTAAAGAAAGATCCCACACTAGCAACGGAAAGGAAACTCAACCAGCGACTCCTTTCTCTTCACAGAACAGAAGTCATATCCAAGCCACTCTACTTCAAACTTCGCTCATCTTCAGCTACCTGCCCCATCCTGTTTGGCCAGCCGAAGATACATAAACCTACCATTCCACTTCGCCCCATCATTTCAAACCGAAGGATCACCTTGCTATGACACAGCCAAAAACCTGACCACGATTCTCCAAGACCACCATACACGATACAGACACCATGGTCAGTTTCGATGTTGAATCTCTCTTCACCAATGTTCCTGTCACCGAATCCTGCCGAATCGTCAAAGAACGCCTCGAAGCTGACACCGGATGAAATGCATGACCTTATGTACTTCTACCTCAACTCAACTTCCTTCAAATGGCGAGACAATTACTACCACCAACTTCAAGGTGCAGCCATGCTGGGATCGCCTCTTTCACCGGTTATAGCCAACATCTTCATGGAGCACTTCGAAACTACGGCACTCCAGGCTCTCTCACACCGCCCTTCTCTCTGGCTCCGATATGTCGAGGACACATTCGTCATCTGGCCACATAGCAGACGTACGTGACTTAGACCACTTTCTTGCCCACATCAACCAGCATCACCCGAGCATCAAATTCACCATGGAGACCGAGCAAAACAACAGCATCCCCTTCCTAGACTTTCTCGTTACCAAATCACCATCCGGCAAGCCCGCTCATCAAGTCTACAGGAAACCCACACACACCGATAGATATCTTCACTACAGATCCTTCCACCATCCATCCGTACTGCAATCAGTCCCCAACGCCCTCATCCGCCGAGCCCATCAACTCAGCGATGCAGACCATCTAGACCAGGAAATCCAGCATGTCACCACAGACCTAACTAGCATCAACAAATACCCAAGACATAAGATCAAATCCAAGACTCCCGCCAACAAGCCTGCAGCCAACACCACCCCTGAAGAGAACCAACCCGCAGCTACACCACCGAAGCAAACTATTGTTCTTCCCTATATCGGTCAAGCCTCTCACAAGATTCAACGTATCCTTCAAGCAGCAGATATCCAAGTTCGACACAGTTCCTCCAACAAACTCCATTCGATACTATACTCCCACAAAGACAAGCATCCAAACCACAAGAAAGCTGGAGTCTACAAAATACCATGCGAATGTGGAAAAGTCTACATTGTTGAAACGGGGAGAAATCTGGAAACAAGACTCAAGGAGCACAGAACCAGCTTCAGACTCAGCGATTGGGATAAGTCCGCTATCGTCAAACACGCCCAGCAACACGAACACACCATCGAATGGGATAACAGTCATCTCATCTCCATAATGAAGCACTGGCATACACGCCGAATCTGAGAAGCCATCGAAATTCATCGCCACAACACCGTGCCCCAAGACTCGGGACTATACATCAACGACATCTGGAAACCCCTCATCAACAAGTACCCGGTCACTCCTCCTCCACCACCGCCTCCAGCACCACCCTCACCACCCCGACGGACACCCGTACATTAACCACCGCCACCCGCCGAACCCTCAAAGCAGCCGCCAACCTCACAGCTACAATACACAGCAGACAACAACAGACTACAACGCCGCCTACGTCGGGGACACACACAGCGTCTCACCGACAGCACACACCCCTCTCTCTCTCTCTCTCGCACATGGTGCACCCGCAAACCTACTGTACACCAGATATTATTGTTAATATTATCTGAAAACAGGTTAAACTTCTGAAGTTCTGATTTAGTTTAATTTTAGTTTCAAACTTTAGTTTAGTTATAGAGACCCCTGTGTCAGTGATTGAGCACAGTTATAACTTGATAAGGCTATTCTGAGCAGGCTTTATGAACCTTCATATGCTCATACACTCATCACCATTCACGTACGAGTAATCGAGAATATGCAGCATCTTCACAGTGTTTCGGTATACTGTTTTGATATGTGTGTTAGAAGTTAAAACGACGGACTTTTCAAACAAAAATTGTCTTCTAAATGATACTTCCCAACTGTCATGAACTGGATCAATTGTGGTGTTAACAATCAAAATTGGTTCCAAGGATCCCACCGCTGCCACCATGATGAGTTCGATGGTCTTAGAATTGGTAGATACTCATGATAATTGACGAGTCGGCAGTCGGGTTTGTGATGATGGTAGACATGTTTATTCTACTACGATGGATACCGGATATTCGGATATTGCATATCGTAACAGACCGTACTTGACTTGATCTGTTATTGAAATTGAAATTTGTAATTAATTTACTTTGTGTACCTATTTTCTTTGATATTGCTTAAGGGGATAACCTAGATAAGTATTTATACTTTTGTTATCCCTTCACTTCGTTTGATTGTACATGTATCCTTTTGTACACTTTTATTTCACGTTTTTGTGGATATTCAACACAATTTGTTGTGTTTGGTTTTATTCATCTTGTAGATGCCAGCACATTCAAACAAGTATTTGGTTTTGATATCAAGGGTGATGAGGTGGGTTTTCTTGCGTGCCTCCAGCCTTCTGCCTCAGCTCATTAAAAACATCCAGCGTTAAATTTTTGCTTCCTTTAAATTGTACATATACAGTCAAACCTGCTTTAGCAACCACCTGTCTATAAAGACCACATTTTTTGTTTCCCTTAAATATGGTTTCTCATTGAAACCTTTACTAATTAGGATCCTGGACATAAAGACCACCAGCCTATAAAGACCACTTTTCATGTTTCCCTTGAGCAACCTTTATATATACAGGTTTCACTGTATATGATTTTATTCTTTTGCTGTAACATATTTCTTGTTCAGTCCAGCTGACATAATGCATGTGAACAAATGCATAGTTTGTGCTTTCTTGTAGCCTGTGTTAAATGAAATAATAAAGCTACACTTCCCTTGTTAATAAGAACAATCATTTATTTTTTATTTTTTCCAACCCAATCCAAGGATCTGAATACACAGTGCAGCTGTCATGTAGCAATGCCTCTAATCTGGGAAGACTTGCTAGCCCTGTTGCCTTTGCTTTTCGTCTAGAAGATACCAGAGAGGTAAAAGAAGTTGCCCTTTCTTTGTGTCCATCCTCTCCCTCTCCTTTCTTTATTCTAGCATTTATTGTTGTTTAAAAAAAAATTATCTCAAGGATTATAGATGTTCTTAATTGATTTGTGCTGCTCAGTAACTGAAGAATAGATAAAGGTTTTCATTACAATATGAATTCTCAGATACTTGTAGTGCAAATCAGCCAATAGCATAGTTTTTGAACAATTAACGTATTTAAACCGTATATGCATATTTTCAAGCAAATGTTGCGCTTATTTCATGGGCACTTGCTCTTCCTACTAATAACCTTCTTAGGCAAATTAATGTGTATTGGAAATGTAGGTTTGCTTCATGGAGCAGCAAGTTCTTGCTCAGCTAATTATCTTGTTGGCAAGAATGACACCCCTTCATGGAGTATATGTGTTCTGTAGTAAAAACAAAAGAGATCCGTTGGCTTTCTCTACTGTCAGTCTAATTGAACTGCAATTTAAAAAACAATATAGGTGCGCAATGAGCTCCTATTTTGGTGTCTAGATTCATTTTCATTTTTCTCTATTCACAGAAAACTTTTTATGAAAATATCAATCATGATTTTTTAAATTTGTTTACAGATTTTCAAGATCTTGCGGTTTGTTTCTGTGTTTGTTGTGAGTGATGTCAACGAAGATCTCCCACCTTCCAAACCGTACACCAATCCTCCAAGGTTTGCTGCAAAGATGAAGAGAGGAGAGATCGTAAACGGAATCGAACTCTCAGGGTATGTATTTATAGTTTTCATTACTTTCCATTTAGATCCCATCAACCCGATATATGACACTGACCCCTTTAATATGATAAAATATGTTTGGGTTAGATTTTGGAGACTATATTAATTGAGAAGGTACACCTTATTGTTGTTGAGAGCTCTTTCAGCAAACAATATGTCTGCAGATAACTAGTGGATTCTGCATTTAAGTGAAAGGACACGTTAAATATTTTGATTTTGTAGCAGTCACTTTTATTACCGTATTTGCCGGCGATAAGGCCGCACCGCTGCATAGGCCGCACCCCCAACTTTGACATTTCGTAGAGAAAAAAAAGGAAAAAAAAACGGACCAAAGAAAATAATCGTAATTTTCCTGTAGAACTCTATTTTTCCTACAAACTAATACCAAAATTGTCAATCATTTTATAAATTTACAGGAAGTTTACCTAAAAAATGATCATAATTTAGCAAATCTTCATCGATTTTTAAAGGGAAAGTCCACCCTGAAATTAAGTTAGTTTTAATAGGAGTAGAAAAATGAGAGAAAAGTCAGTGAAAGTTTGAGCAAATTCCGATTAAAAATAAGGAAGTTAGGATTTTTGAAGTTGTGATCAATCAAACACAAATTGGCAACTCTATGACGTATCATGCGAGCTCAACTTTCATTTGCTCAGTACTAAAAAAATCTAAAATTTTCATTTTCCCTCAAGAAAAATTTCAACCATACATGCACCCTAAATATAATAATTGCAAATATGTTTCTATACTCCCCCTGCAAGGAACAAATATATATTCCGTCATCAATAACGAAGAAAACATGATTTTATGGAATATTATGCACAAAGCAAATGAAGGAGAGCTCGTATAATAAGTCACAGAGTTGCCAATTTGTATTTGATTGATCACAACTTCAATAATTCATAACTTTCTTATTTTCATTCAGAATTTGCTCAAACTTTCACTCACCTGATTTTCTTATTATTCTGCCTCTATCGAAACAAACTCATTTTGGGGGTGGACTTTCCCTTTAAGCTTATACTGTATTGCAGGCAGATTAGCACATTCATGGGAGTCTAGAGGGCGCTTCGCATGCATTAAGAAACCTGAATGGCCATCTTTAGCTTGCATGCAGTGAGTCGGCACTAATATAATCCTGCCATATCCAAGCTGTGGCCATGGATATCGTAGGGTGGAAGGATGTATCTTTTTTATAATGTTATCCGGTCTTACCCCTATCGTACCGTCAAATGGAGAAAATAAACAAGCTTTTGTATTGTTATTAGAGATCAACCGAGGTTAGTTTGTCGCTTTAATTAATTAGATAGTCTCAATTATAATTCAGAATTATCTTACTGAAAAATTAAGAACACCGACGATGTTCTCGATAGTAGTTACGTTCATTTTGCCAGCAGCCGATCTAGCTTCGTTTTGGTAAAAAGCTAGCCCAACAGCTTCCCACGACGAAGGTTTTGAGTCCCGGTAAATTTGCGCGCTGTGAATCTCCGAAGGTGCATTGGTTTTGTTGGCAACTCCCAGCCCCCTAGCTCCCCACCACGGAGTGTGTGAGCGAGGTATGATTTTGGTTATGTACCTGTGCGCTGTCTAAGGACATTTTTACAAGAACGATTTTTAGTACGAGTATCTGGTCAGTTTTCTTCTTATTTCTTTGGTTGCACAACAATTAAAAAGATAACTTCTTCAAATTTGCTGCTGACGTGATTCGATCAGACTAGATCTTGTCCGATGTGTTTTCAAGTCAATTTTGTTAATACATTTTTTTGTATGAAGTTGCCTACGAAATGACGTGCTGTTTTGACTTGCTTTTTGATTTTTACTCTTTCGGCGTAAAGGCCGACCCCGACCTTTTGATATTTTCTCTTCCAAAAATACTGAGGCCTTTACGCCGTCAAAAACGGTATCTATTCTGTTTTTTTTTTCATTTTTTATGTGATAGCTGTATATGGCTGTCATACTGTATTGGCTAAGTGATCTGTTAGCTCAATCAGCTAGGAAATAAGATATGTAGGACATACATAATGTAAACAGTAAATTTCCCTTCTTTTGAAATGATCTCTGCAATGATGTATGTTCTTTCTTCTTCTCTTTCCCCTCGTAGTTGGGGAGAAAATCCACTGAAGGGTATTCCTCTTGAATTTTTTGATGTTCCGAGGGACCTTCAGCACACAGTAAACAGCAACAAGAACCTTCCCCAACTCAGGTAAAACAGTGTTGTGTTGTCGCATGCCATGCCAATACACTAGTGGGGCGTTGCAAGAAAGTTGCAAAATTTGCAACTGATATTTGCAATCGCTTGTAATTAAGTCAACAGGCTCCACTAGTCTCCTAAATTTCCTAGGATTTTGTTAGGAATAAAGTTTTAACAATTAATCTCCCCTCCTCTCTCTCTTACTAATGGGGCATTGCAAATAAGATGAGTTGCGATCAATTGCAAATTTGAAATTCGCAAGACTTATGCTTGATTTTGGGTTTTGCTCTTGATTTACTTTCTTGCGGGCAACGCCCCATATAGGTCTAGTACGAAATTAAAATAATATGTGGTGTCAGGGTTGGCATATTTCACGCTTCGGAGGCTTATTTCCCGGACGCCGGGAAATAAGCGGTATTTACCGCTTTTTACTGGTATTTACCACTTTTTGCCATTTGTTTGGGTGTGTACAATTTTGTATGCAGTGAGGATTTTATAAATCTGTTTGTGTGTTCCTAATATGAGTATTGTGCTGCTAATTATTTCAGAACAATATTTTCAGTTATGAGGCTAAAAACAAGTAAAATTATTAATAAATAGAGAGTTAAAATCATATTTCCCGTTTTATATTTACCGGACGCGCATCTTATTTACCGGACGGTATTTACCGGTATTTACCGCCACCGGTATTTACCACCCAACCCTGTGTGGTGTAGCTAATAGATTTGGATGGTAAGTACTCATTGTATAAAGTAACTATGTTACTCTATATGATGAAGGTCTGTCTGCATGACTGAAGCAGTCATTCACAAGAACAAAATATGCATTGATTTAAATATTACTTCAAAGCAACTTTTGCTTGTGTGTTTGCAAGAACCCTTCATTTCATCAGTTCTTTATAATTTTGTTTTGATATACTTCAAATCAGGTGTTAAATTGAATTATTCACCCTAGTTAAAACCAAAGAAAAGAGGCAAGCTCGTAGCTGTTCATCAGATGGAGGATACATGAATGGCATCTCTTTTTAGAATGAACAAGAAATTGCAAGTAAAGGGATTTTAATAACAGAAGATTCATTTGATGGGAATTCCCATTCCTCCCCACTTATTTAAAGGGAAATAAATATATTAGAATTAGACAACAAACCTAAATCCAGGGATTTCTGGCTCTCAAAGTATTTCATGTATATATTGAATTGAGGCAGATTACACTATCTGTACCCTTTTGTCTCCTTTCACTGCCTGCAGGGATCAACTGAAACAGCCTCTAACAGTAGACAACCATCGAGAGAAGTTCCACAAGCTCCTGTACATAGAGGAGTTACAGATGCAGGTTGATATCAGACGATATGATAAGATGGGTCAGACACTGGCCAAGGACAAACAACCCACCATGCTGAGACTTCATGTAACTATGTTTATAATAATAATATATGCTGTTCATGTATAGCACATCGCATGTCCAGCCTTGTATAGTAGCACACATCAGATTATGATATAACATTCCATGTGCTTCCAAAGACTTTGGATGTTGTTAACCCTTGCTTTAGCCCTGGGGTCCGTAGTGCTCAGAAAACACTTCTGAAATTGTTATTTGCCTTTGGCTTGGCTATTCAAAGCCCCCTCTCCCCAACAAAAATGGAGAAAAATGGAAAAGGGCCATGTGTCTTCTCAATTTAGTTTTTACCCTGTAGAAAACATTTTTCAACCTCTCCCACCCAAGAGTTTGAGTGTTGCACTATGTGTTTGGAATGGTCACTTTTCTTCTGTCCAAAATGTAATTAAAACAGCATAAACTGTAAGTTATCGAAAGTTCATTTAAGCCACAGTTGTTCAATAACTTGGTGGCACAGGTATTTATAAGTAAGTTTTTGTGTTCCTTTTTTAGGTACCTGGTCTTGCCGAGAATCGACCGTCAGTTCTCAGAGGAGATCATCTGTTTGCTAGGTTCAGCGACAAGTCTGATAATAAGAGCTACAAGGGCTACGTGCACAGGGTAGAACAGGAGGATCTGGTCCTGGGATTTCATGCAGAGTAAGACAAGTTCTTTCAATTCAAACTACATCATTTTACTTAGGGGATAATTGTGATAAGGCCTTAAAAAAAAAGTTGTAGAGCCCTTTGCGACCGACCCAAAAAATCTTGAAATCTATGGTTAGCTTTTTTTTTTTTTTTTTAGACCAAAGAGGGAGAAAAAAAAAGTTTAACAAAAAAAAAAGATTTCTGACTGACCGACCGACCCATGTTTTGGCACCTAAAGGGCAATACAAGATCCTTTTTTTTGGAGGCCTAATCAACATGTTATCCAGCGTACTTTCATTTTTATCCAATTGGATGTTTGTGAAATGGGAGTTTAGAACAAAAGTAGAATATAAAATGTGAAGCAGCAGATGGAACTAGTTGGTACAAAATATAAGGTCATGCTGTTGACTATGTGCTTGCAAATAATTTCTTGTCAGTACCATAGGTCTGTAGTAAACATAGTACAGGTATATATTGATGGTCTAAAACTGCAAGGTAGCCAACTTGTTTATGCCATGGTTACTGTTTTTTATAGATTTTAGCAAAATTAGTGAAGCCAGAAATGGATGTCCAACTCTTCTAAAAGTCACCTTTTTATGCCTACACCCACCGAAGATGGTGCCTGAGGCTATTTTAGCTATTAGACTCGTTATCCTGCTCGTCCGTCCTGCTTTCTAGTAATATCGCGATATCTCTAGAACCACTAGAGATATGAGGCTTAAACTGCTTGATAATATGTATTACCATAAGAAGATGATCTGATCAGATTTTGGGTAAATTGGTCAAAGGTCACAGAGGTCAATTTCTGACATTACAGGTTGTAACCTTGCTATTGCGATATCTCAAGACCAACTAGAGATACGGGGTTCAAACATAGTGATACTATGTATCATATCATTGGAAGACAATCTGATTAGACATTTGGGAAATAGGTCAATGGTCAAAGGTCATAGAGGTCACTTTCTAAAATTACAGGTTTTTTCCTTGTTATCAGGATATCTTAAGAACCATTAGAGGTATTAGCCTCAAACTTGGTGATAGAATATATCACTTTAGAAAGTCTCATTAGGTTAAAGGTAAAGATCAAAGGTCAATTTCTAAACATGGGGCCAGTATTACTATAAGAAGATGATCCAATTAAATTTTGGGGCTAGTAGGTCAAGATCAAAGTCGTTGATTGACATTTGATTATAGGCTTTTTGTTTTTAACGTGATATTCCATCCATTTGCTTTACTTAATTTTGGGCAGAGGCTTTTTGGAGACGCAGTCACATTTGTCTTGTTTTCCAATGCAGTGGGAAATGGATATGTGAAGTGACCTAATATTTTGCTAGTGCATCTTAATGAATGTGAAATCAAATAACATTTCATGTTTAACCATCCTCCCTCTGGTGTTGCAAAGTTTGTAGTCTGTCAAGGAGTTTCTAATGCCATTATTTCTGAATGTATTCTGCCTCCCTTTATTCAGCTTCAGGAGCAAGTACATCACAGGTAGGAAGGTTGACATTGAGTTCACCTTCACCCGATTCCCCATACGTAATGAGCATCAAGCCGTAGAGACGGCCACAGTAAAGGGCAGGCTTAGTGATGCGCTCTTTCCAGGGACGGGGAGTCAAGTCGGGAGTAAAGGCCAGCTTTCAAAGATTCCAGAACTACAGTAAGTGAATTTGATTCTCATCGTGGGGATGTGTCCATGTATCTGAATGTTGGATTATTTTGTGTTTTCTCCTCGGTTTTGTTCGGTTTGGGTTAGAGAGACAAAAGCAACATGAAAAGATATATTTGTTTTTTGATGTCTTGAATTTGAATAATAAAACTGATTGCTTGAATTCTACTCCTATAGACTTCAAACACTTCTGGTTTGTTAAATGGGTATTTTGGCTTTACGTACCTGCAAAACGTATTTTTAGATAGTGCACTGTCCGTGACTTTCAACTCTCAGCTGTGTTATGATTATAGGCTAGTTTAATATAGGGATGTGTAAGATTACTTTACAAAGAAATAATGAGTAAGGTGTTTTTAACTTTTCTTTTATTAAATCTTGACATTCATTACATTACCAATTTAACATTTGACCTTTCTACAGGGCTTTCAAGAGGACCCTCTTTGATCAGAAGTTGTCTGAAAACATGGAACAAGTCCAGGCTGTTCACCAGATTGTGACAGGAACCGCTAGACCAGCTCCGTACCTGGTCTTTGGACCTCCCGGCACAGGGAAGACTGTAACCATCGTGGAGGCTGCAAAGCAGGTAGGTTAATTGATCTGCAGGTGCTGTACCTCTTACATTTCAACAGTCTTGAAACAATAGGCAATTTTTCATGGCATACATTACCCCCCAAACCAAGGTCCAAGTGTACATAGGCTCCTGCATTATAACATTAAAAAATTTAAACATGGGGCCCATGCATTATACCAACATTTTAAATTGTAATCCGGACTCAAGTGTAAAAAGGTTAGTATGAAGCCATGTCAAAAGGATTCCCTGGACATTTTTCTTTTCCTGTAAATTGTATCTACGAAGAAGGCTATGTTTATAAATCTGTTTTGAAATCATTTAAATGAGTGTGAGCTGATATTTTGCCTGCTGCCAGTTTATGTCATGCCTGTATACAATTATTAAAAACTCAAACTATGTAATGGATTATTACACATAGATTTGTGCACAATTGGTAAAATATGTCACTAGCAGGGCTCCATTTCACAAAACTTGTCATCAGTGACAAATGACAGTTTTTGTAATAAGCTAGTGAAATCCTTGCATGTGTTTGGTCATCAGCTGATTTGTCACTGATTTTTGTCATTTGTCGTTGAAAAAAGGCTTTGTGAAATGGGTCCCAGGTGTGAAAGCATGTAAGAATCTTGCTACAATTCTTGTGTCTCTGGTAGTATATTCCAATAGGTTGAGCATCTATTAGCTATTCAATATGAGAGAGCTTGAATGCCATCAGTTTCAAATGGAATCGTTGCTAATGAGTAAACTTGACAATATATATTCCACAGGTTTACAAGTTGTTGCCCGAGAGCAGAGTTCTTGTTAGTGCGCCCTCTGACAGTGCAGCTGATTTAGTTGCTGTTTGTCTGCTCGATACAGTCACACCCATTGCTACGACACACCTTATGAGAATGTATGCTCCCAGCAGACCTCTCATCGCCCTCGATCGTGTTCTCAAGGTTGGTGTTACTGTATGACCCTTTGATCTTTGACCTCATGACCCTAAAATCTAATCAGTATCATTGGATCTGTTTCATGGCGTATTTTTGGTGCTACGAAGATAATTAAGTATGAAAACAATGTAAGTAAATATTTTGAAAGACACACATTAAAGAGATCTTTTATAGGGAATTTTTCCAGACGCCACTTCTTATTTAGATTTTTGACATCTTTACTCATTTACTCAAGATCTTGCGACTGCTGATTGTTGACTTTTTGTTGTACTGAGCGAGGCGGAAGAATTCGCCGGCAATTCGCTCAAAGATTTGGGTTTTTAAAGAGCTATCACAGTGTATATTAGAGTTTATAGCAATATAGCTGTACTGCCGTATTCCCATATACAATGGTAAACCACCTTAAAAAAAACTACCACAGCAATATAAATGAGCCAAGCATAGTGCACCTCACATATTCATATTTAATAAAACAAGGGTAAGTGAGTGTGCTTCAAGGTTATTGTTACATGCAGATACTTTTGTCTCACCTTCATTGCCGGCATTTATTTACATGTATTAACTAGATGTTTAAATTGTTTGCAAGGTTTACTAGGGCTTTGTTTTTGTGCGTGTATGACGAGCCCACACTGTCGTTTTGAATGATTTTGAAAGAACACTTGACGTGTTCATGTAACACCCAGGAGTAATAGATTTGTCTTATATTTCACAGTTGAAAATTTAGAGGATTTATGTCATGAGATCACTGCTTTCACCTGACAAAAATAATGGAGACTAGTCTATTGTGTGTAACGGGCGTAGACAACGGGGGGATGAGGGGGATGGCATGTACAATCATCCCCCCCCCCCCAGGTTTTGGGGAATGATATTTGCTTACTTAATAAGTCATAATGATGATAATAATAGTAATAATAATAATGATAACAATTATAATATTAATAATAATAATACTTATGATGATGATGATAATAATAATCCTCATCATTATTGTAATTGTGTTTATTGTTATTAGCCGCATTCACACGGTGAAAGCCAATTCAGACGGTAAAAAAAAAGAAAATCTTACAAGTATTTTGTGGTTAAACAGGCGCGGATCTACGGGGGGGGGGGGGGGTTTAGGGGGTTTAAACCCCCCCTTGGGCGGCCCAAAAAACAAACAAAACAAAAAAGGAAAAAAAAAGAAAGAAAAGAAGAAAAAAGAAAGTAAAAAAAGAACGCACGCTAGAGAGAAACCCTATCAAGTGCAAATATTGTGAGAAGATATTCAACTCGTCTGGTAACTTAAAGGGATCGTTTAACAATGTTAAATCTGAGATACACGGTCCTACATGTTATCAGTGTCTGTGATATGGTGTAACGTTGAAGCCCTAAAAAAATCGCGCTTCAAAATGATCAAGAAGTGCCTCAAAAAAGTAAAAATCTTTGAGTGACCGGTTATACCATACTCGTTTTCCCCAATAGACTGTAGTGTTATGAAAACCGTCAGGCGAACAGTTTTCAAAATTTGTAATTCCAATCATAAATATCTTGATAATCAGACTGGCGATCGGCTTGTAAAAGTCATGGGGTTCCTGACTGACCTAAAGGTTTATAATTATCATTGCATCGTGAACTAAATCCAGAATTTTGTTTCAGAATCTGAGACAAAGTTACCGGATCCCTTTTACCAAACACATGATAACTCTGGATATAACTGTGTATTTAACTGTTACTTGATTTAAAAAGACGTTATCATGCACTGCTTTTTATGGTCTCCATTGTGTTAATAGATGCCAGGAAAACATCACTTACGGGGTTAAAATAAACACCCCCCAAAAAAAAAATCGGCTCGCGGCTCGTGGACGATGCTCTGCATCGTCATTATTGGTCAATCCCCCCCTTAGCAAAAAGCTAGATCCGCCCCTGAGTCATCCCCCCCCCCCCCAGGTGTACGAACCTGTCTACGCCACTGGTGTGTAATTTCCTCTTTAATTTTAATATCAGTTAGCCGAGCAGGTGTAGCGAAATTGTTGAAGAAACTGAAGCCACATAAAGCTACTGGGCCAGACGGCATCTCTGCTAGACTCCTCAAGGTGACAGCTGATCAGATTTCACCTGCCATTAGTTTGCTTTTTGAGGCCTCCCTACTTCAAGGCGAAATTCCTTCTTACTGGAAGAAAGCATATGTTGTTCCTATCCACAAGAAAGGGTGTAAGTCATCTCCAGCAAACTACAGACCAATCTCACTGACAGCAATCTTATCAAAACTATGTGAACACATAGTGCATTGTGCTGTCATACATCACCTGATCAATCACAACCTGTTGTCAGACTCACAACATGGTTTTAGGAAGCGAAGATCGTGTGAAACACAACTCATCCTTGCCATCAATGACCTTGCCAAAGGACTGGATGATAGAGAGCAGATAGACTGCGTCTTGTTAGACTTTGCCAAAGCGTTTGACAAAGTCTCTCACCGACGACTCCTCCTCAAAGCTGACTATTATGGTATACGTGGCACTACTCTTAAATGGATCGAAAGCTTCCTTAGTGGCCGCACTCAACAAGTCACACTGGAGGGCCAGCGTAGTCACGAGGCCAAGATTACATCTGGAGTGCCCCAAGGTAGTGCTCTCGGCCCGCTGCTTTTCCTCATATACATCAATGACCTACCAGACAGTGTCAAGCACTCAACCATACGCCTCTTCGCTGATGACTGCATGCTATATAGACGCATCAGATCAGTCCAAGATTGTACAAATCTTCAGGAAGATCTTGACAGACTGCAGGAATGGGAGAGAAAGTGGCGGATGGAATTCCACCCATCCAAGTGCCAGACTCTGAGAGTCACCAACAAGAGGAAACAAATCCTAGGCCTGTATAACATCCACGGGCACGACCTGGAATTAGTGAGTTCCGCCAAGTATCTTGGAATCAACATCGATCAGAAGCTCAACTTCAATAGTCATGTTGATACTACAGTCAAGAAGGCTAATTCTGTGACAGGCTTCTTGCGACGGAACTTTAAACACTGTAGACGGCGGATCAAGCAGGCCACATACTTTACATACGTCCGACCAGTGGTGGAATATGCTGCAACAGCATGGGAACTACACACACAGCGGAATGTCAACAAGATTGAAATGGTCCAACGAAGGTGTGCTCGCTACGTCACCGGTGACTTTAATCAAACCTCCAGTGTAACGGCTATGCTTGAAAACCTGAATTGGCCATTGCTACTCACCAGACGCCTTCACAGCCGCCTTGCCATGCTGTATCGCATCCGTTTCAACCTTGTCGACGTTACCTGGCAGTCCTTTCTCACTGAACTGACATCAATAACAAGAGGACATGGATCTCGTTTTAGGACATTCAACTGCAGTAGTCAGACCTATGCTTCTTCCTTCTTCCCAAGAACCTGCAAGGACTGGAACAACCTTCCACAGGACCCAGCCCAATACCACTCTCTTGACGCCTTCAAGGTCTTCTTGAGTGGGATGCAGATGTAATGTCTACAAGACTGGGAATGTTTTTTTTTACTTACACATGTATATATGCACCTGCACAACAAGAACAACAAGTTAAAATGTGGAATGACAGGACATGTGAAAGTCTCCACATATACACACAAAACCAGTGCGATTATCTTCATCACCATGAAGCGGCACTTAACTGGAAGAAGAAGAAGAAGTCTAGTTACCTTAATTAATTGTTATTTTATCTTTATCTGCCTTGTGTGGTAGGAGAAGAAGTGTTGTAACCTTGGAGCGGATGATCTCTACATACCATCTAAACAGGAGATCCTGGAAAAGAGAGTTGTGGTCACAACCCTCGTTAATTCAGGAAGGTCAGTGGAAATATCGTTCTTATTTCATATAAGATCTCCTTGTACAATTTAATTCATTGTCATTTCAATGGAAAATTGGTATCTGCCCGAATTGATGATTTTTCTGCATGGATACTGATATGTATTGCAATGCCATTAATACTTTGTCAGTTAAGAGCCAGAAAATTTGTGATAATATATGAATTAATGCCTATCTGGCTCTCAGGGGATGACTTGTACTTGTGGAAAAGCCATCTGCTGATTTATATCTCATCCTAAAGCCTTGGTCACAAATGCCATTACGAACTGCTATGAACGCCGTAGGAACGATTTTCAGACAATGGAAATTCGAGAAGACAATGGAAAAACGGGGAGATTCGTACGAAATTATCGTTCGTACAAACCTTTGTGACCGTAGCAGAAGATATACTTATGATTTCCTAAAAATGCTGTGAAAGACTAAAAAGATTTTGTATAGATCGTGTTTCTGCCACAAACAAAACGATTTTGTCGAAAAGATTGATGAAAGATGATGGAAAAGTTTATTCCTCCCCGAATCTGTTATAACTTTTATGACACTCTTGACATAATCACGTAATCATTTTTAACGCTCATTTGTCTACTACAGGCTGGCACTGGCCCAGTTTCCAGAGAATTTCTTCACCCATGTATTCATTGATGAGGCAGGTCATGCCACCGAGCCAGAAGCCCTGATTGCTTTGGCTGGACTGATAAACCTTGATAACCCTAAAGGAGGCCAGATCATCTTGGCTGGTGACCCCAAACAGCTTGGACCTGTGCTCAGGTCACCATTGGCCATTGAGAATGGTCTAGGTAAGTCAGTCTAACTCATTTCAGTGCTCAATAAGGTCAAGGCCTCACATCTACATGTAAGACAGTCTTGATAAGTCGGTCCAAAAGAGTTCAGTGCTATATAAGGTGGAGGCCTCACATCTATAACGGTCTTGATAAGTTGGTCCCAAAGAGTTCAGTGCTCAATATGGTCAAGGCCTCACATCTAAGACAGTCTTGATAAGTCAGTCCCAAAGAGTTCAGTACTCAGTAAGGTCAAGGCCTCACATCTAAGACAGTCTTGATAAGTCAGTCCAAAAGAGTTCAGTGCTATATAAGGTGGAGGCCTCACATCTAAGACAGTCTTGATAAGTCAGTCCTAAAGAGTTCAGTACTCAATAAGCTCGAGGCCTCACATCTAAGACAGTCTTGATAAGTCAGTCCTAAAGAGTTCAGTGCTAAATAAGGTTGAGGCCTCACATCCAATGCAGTCTTGATGGCCCGAATTCACAAAGGAGGTTTGTCGACAAACAGAGGCTTACAAACCTGGTTTGAAAAAACGCGTCAAAACTCGTCACATGACGCACGAAAACCAAGGTTTGTCGACAAATCTCCTTTGTGAATTCGGGCCAATAAGTTGGTCCCAAAAGTTCAGTGCTTGACGAGGCCAAGGCTTCACATCTATAACGGTCTTGATAAGTTGGTCCCAAAGAGTTCAGTGCTCAATATGATCAAGGCCTCACATCTAAGACAGTCTTGATAAGTTGGTCCCAAAGAGTTCAGTGTTAAATAAGGTCCAGGCCTCACATCTATAACGGTCTTGATAAGTTGGTCCCAAAGAGTTCAGTGCTCAATATGGTCAAGGCCTCACATCTAAGACAGTCTTGATAAGTCAGTCCCAATGAGTTCAGCGTTCAATAAGGTCAAAGCCTCACATCTATGACGGTCTTGATAAGTCAGTCCCAAAGAGTTCAGTGCTTAATATGGTCAAGGTCTCGCATCTAAGACAGTCTTGATAAGTCGGTCCAAAAGAGTTCAGTGCTATATAAGGTGGAGGCCTCACATCTAAGGCAGTCTTGATAAGTTGGTCCCAAAGAGTTCAGTGCTAAATAAGGTCCAGGCCTCACATCTATAATGGTCTTGATAAGTTGGTCCCAAAGAGTTCAGTGCTCAATATGGTCAAGGCCTCACATCTAAGACAGTTGTGATGAGTCAGCCCCAAAGAGTTCATCGCCCTCATGAGCAGCGCTCAAAATACACGGGGGCGGTGGGCGATTCGCCCACGTGAGCTACAAAATCGCCCCCGTCAGGTTGCTCACGGGGGCGATTGCAAAATTAAAAATCGCCCCGGTGGAATTATAAAATAAAGATAATCTTTTCTGTTATAACTTTAACACAATATTGAGTTTCAATTTTCAAACCTTAAACCAATGAAATGGAACTAAGATTAGCGTGCAAGATTTCTCGTTTTATGAGTAGGCCTATTATTACCGATTCAGCTCGCAGTGCAGTGCCGCCGTAAGCAGTGGTTATAGGCCTACTGCGCCGTTAGTAGCGGTGCGTGTGCACGCTGCCGCGCCATGTCTGCTGGAGCTGGAGGCGATCGGGCAAGGGCAGAAACATGGTCATGGCCTGGAGAAGTTTTTCGTTGTCAGCAAATAATGAACCTCGACAAGTAAATCAATATTAGGGACTTTTAGATTTGCACGATGAGAACGTGGACTGCAACGTGTGACCTCCTTTTTAAGGCACTGCCAGTGCTTAAAAGGACGTCACATGTGATTGCCAGTGCCTTAAAAGGACGTAACACGTCCACGTCCCCTGAAAAAATTGAGGGGAGGACGTGTCCCCCCCTCCCCCCCGGGATCGCCGCCCCTGCGTGGAATGATATGGTAACATGGGCAGATCTACGGCGGGGGGGGGGGGGGGGGTAGGGGTTTAACCCCCTCCTCCCACCCCCCCCGGCCCCCTTTGGCTGCCAAGTGAAAATGTGATATTAAAGCGGGGGGGGGGGGGGGGGGGGGGAGGGGGATTCTGGAGAGGAGGACTACTAATCTATTTTTTTTTTCAGGGGGCGGGGGGAAGTGAAGCGCCGTTTGAGCATGACTTTCTTTTTAACTCTTACTTTCACCTATCTCAGATAACCCTAAGTTTTTGGTTGCTGCTTTATATGTAGTTGATAATGCATGATTAAAATAAATAAAGAGACAGAGAGAGAGAGAACCACCATCATTTTGCAATGGTTCAGGGTTCGTGTAATGTACATTTGAAACCATTTCTTAGCGTCTCAACCCTAAAAAAATAGCAAAACTATTTTTGAGGAAAAGCATTATACTAAATTAAATAAAGAATAATAGCTTTATATTGGATCATACTAATACTGACACGGGCTAAAGACAATGTGGTATTTGTATAGAGGTATTCCAAAATGACATTCTGATAATCAACATTTGTTCTGGTATCATATATACGCATAATACTGATCTTTATGATTTCTTAACGTGACATAGCTTCTTCTCCCTCTGCAAACAAAACAGAAAACAAGGTTATTTAATAAAAGGACCATGCGACAAATAATCATTGTGATTCAAATTGATGCAAGGATTTTTTTTGAATAAGCAATGCTTTTCACCAGAATCTTCTTTGTAAAAAAACGACTTTTACAAATCTCAGCCATGCAATTCTGCCACTGTGCTGTAAGATCACTTTGAGATTAGGAGAAGTGTATTATGTAATGGGTATTTTAAATTGAATGAAACGTCTCAACTCAATAAGCATGGCTGAGATTTGTAAAAGTTGTTTTTACAAAGAAGATTCGGGTGAATAGCAGTGCTTATTCAAACAAATATTCGCATCAATTTGAATCACAATCATTATTTGTCGCTTAATCCCTTTTAATGACCATGTTTTCGTTTACGTTTGCAAGGGGAGAAGAAGATATGTCACGTTAAAGACATCATAAAGATCAATGTTGTATGCGTATATATTATATACACAGGCCAGTAACAGCTATGTAGCTTGTAAATTTGTAAGAGGGAAAATGCTGATTGAAATGATAATGCTGAAATAGCAAATAAGTGAGGAGCATCATAGGTACCAATTCAATGGATATTTGTATAAAAAAGAGCCCCCGTCAGTAATAAAAGAGCCCCCGTGAGAAGGCTCACGGGGGCTCTTTTTTCGGGGGAAGAGCCCCCGTGGACAAAAAATTAATTTGAGCCCTGCTCATGAGGCCAGACTAACATTACAGGTAGACCATATATGATGGAAAACACAAACTCAGATAGATCAACGCATAATCTCTAGCAACAATCATTCAGATGCATGTATTTGCATGAGGCCTATCAAGAGAAGTATCATGGGTGTGTTTGGCATTGGAAGTGGAGTATGGACTTCCAACTGACCATTGGATCTACCTAAGACATATATTTTGAAATTAAAAGAAAATCCTGATCATTTCATATACTTAAACTGTTTTGGATTTTCAGCATATACTATGTCATCAGTAGGAAGTAAACTTTCCTTGGCTTTGTATATATTTTTAAAATTCCCAAATCAGTCCTATCGTTCCTTGAGAGGCTGATGACGCACTGCAAAGCCTACAGCCGGAAGGCAGATGCAGGGGCTTCCGAAGCACACTATGATCAGAGGATCTTGACCAAGCTACTGCAGAACTACCGCTCTCACCCGGACATCCTCAAGCTGCCCAACCAGATGTTCTACGACCAGGAGCTCAAGGTACATGCCGATGAGCTGGTCAGAGAATCGTTCTGCAGATGGGATCAACTGCCAAAACAGGTTCGTTTGTTCATGTCTCCTTAGATCAAGATTAATGTAAAGTTCCTAAATTAAATTAAATTGAATTAAGTTCTTCCTTCCCCCAATGGGTGCGATGGCCGTCTCAATTACAAGGGCCAGGTCTTCATCTGTGTAACCCGAAAAACAGGTAATGAATTGAGATGCAAATCTCTCCGAGGATTGGGGCAAACTATAGCATTAAGGGCAGTGTCAGAATTATCTTTAATAGGAGTGGCCCATTCGATTACTGAGCAGTAGACTATGATTTCACTTTGCAGAAAGTTGAAATTTACTCAAAGGTGCCATAACAGATATTGAACTTGTTTATCCAGGGCAAGGTACTATTATACATTTTGTAAACATTGTATTTTTTCTAGTTTTTAAAACTTGTAACATATACTTCTATTTTTTTTTAATCATTTTACATAATTACGATGACCCTTAAAGAATTTTCATGCACTATAGTATTTCTTTATCATAACTATTGTAACATCTCTCTCCTCAGGGTTTCCCAATCATCTTCCACGGAGTCGAGGGTCAGGATGAGAGAGAGGAACAGAGTCCATCTTTCTTCAACAAGTCCGAGATTGAGATTGTAGTGGATTATGTGAAGAAGGTGATGGATAAGAGAGGGGGGCAGAAGATCAAAGAAGAGGACATTGGTGTTATCTCACCATACAGGAAACAGGTAAGTGAATTAGGAGGGGTGTAGATCATAGTGATTGAGATGGAGAGAGATTGAGATTGGAGTGGATTATGTGAAGAAGAAGGTGATGGATAAGAGAGGTGGACAGAAGATCAAACAAGAGAACATTGGTGTTATCTCACCATACAGGAAACAGGTAAGAGAATTAAGAGGTGTAGATCATAGTGATTAAGATTGAGAGAGATTGAGATTGTAGTGGATTATGTGAAGAAGGTGATGGATAAGAGAGGTGGACAGAAGATCAAACAAGAGGACATTGGTGTTATCTCACCATACAGGAAACAGGTAAGGGAATTGAGAGGTGTAGATCATAGTGATTGAGATTGAGAGAGATTGAGAGGTGTAGATCATAGTGATTGAGATTGAGAGAGATTGAGATTGTAGTGGATTAAGTGAAGAAGGTGATGGATAAGAGAGGTGGGCAGAAGATCAAACAAGAGGACATTGGTGTTATATCACCATACAGCAGTCAGACCGCAGCGTGCGCGATAATGAGGCTATACGCTGATTTTTATTCAGCGTCTCTTTGGTTATCTTGTACATTCACGTGTGCTGAAATTCACGAGATTTTCCGTGAGATTTGTAAGGGTGTACATGCAGCTGCTTTTGTGGTCGATAACTTTTGTCAACATGGCAGCACGCAACGGTAATTACTCTCGAGATTCTCAGCTTCAGTTTGATATGAAACTTGCCATATTTCACAATTTTGAAACAATCCTTTTTCACCACTTTTATTCTTTTTGTAACATTTCAACAGCTATTTTGTACCCGAAATTTCGCTTTTGGTTCCTGACTTTGGTACATAATTAATTTGTTTACTTTGAGATTCGTTGGAAAGATGAAAAGTCACTGATCAAAATAATGTCGAAACCTAATTGACGCAAAATCTTGTTCTCTTTACAATCATAGTAATTAAGACCCTAAAAACCTGGAAATTACCAATTTGTTCTTTTTATAAGATGGTGCGAAATTATGTGATTTCATACTCGTGCACGCTCGCCGTTTGAGCAATGGCACTGCATAACTGATTATTAAACTCCAGGGAGCTCCGCCGCGCCATCGACTGGCCGAAAAAATAAGAAAAATGATTAAAAAATAAATAATGTAGAAAAAGATTATCTGAAGGGGAGGTGACGTAATTGATCCAGGGTCCTCAGATTGTTGTCATGATTGCTTGCGCGCACGTGCATTACAGGCGCACGCCACAAGGAATGCTTACTCAAATTAGGTATTCAGAATGTTAATAAACCAAAGCGGAACATATGTGACGTAGTTGACGTATTGGGCCAATCAGAACGCTCTATTATCACATCGGCAGAGTTGACTACTTTTTTTAATTATTCATGAACATTCGCGTGATTTTACTTGGTTCCTGACTTTGGTACAGCGTAAAATATAATAATTTTGATATCGTTGTAAAAAAAAATATTTATGCTTTAATTATGCTGGTAATTACATCTTCTTGACGCAAGAACGATTTCTATGTGAAAATCAGCCCTACCCTTTAGATAGATTTATCGTCGAAAAACCCCATTTTCAAGGCGAAATATCTGTTTCCAAAATATATTCAACATGATTGTCATATAAGTATATAGAGAGTGCAACTTCTTATCTTTAAAATAAGACCCATTTCATGAGAAATGAACAATTATAAAGGCAAAAACTGCCAATCAGGAAGGCCGTCTGCACTACTCATTACGTATGCAAGACACTTAAATTCTTGCATACGTGCTGAATAAAATAGAGGGTTTTTGCACCGGCTGCAGTCTGACTGACAGGAAACAGGTATAAAGAGGCCAAATGTCATTCTTTGCTTTGAAGATTTATTGTCCTCTTTCCTCATGAAATTTGGCAGAATTCCTATGATTCACTGAATGTATGTGTACATGTTTAAATTTATTTAGGATTAATCTTTCAATGTAATGTAAATCAAGGGTTTTTGTTTCATGAAGAGTTATTTTGATTTTGATGAAATTTATATTTTATCATTTTCTTAAGAAGTGGACATGAAATATGACAGATACAGGTCTGTCATTTCCTCTTTCCATCATTTTTCCCCCTGTAAATTGAGCATTTGCAGCGAGGCTTCAATGACTGATTTGTATCTAGATTATTCCACTTAGAATTCATAAATTTTTCGGCTACATTTGGAAGAGATACAGTCAATATGGTCCAGATTTTAATACCAGGTTGCATCTAATTTCTCACCCTACAGGTTCAGAAGTTACGTCGGGTTCTGGAGAAGCGTCGCTACAGCAACATCAAGGTCGGGTCGGTAGAGGAGTTCCAAGGTCAGGAGAGGACGGTGATCATCATCTCCACCGTCCGTAGCACCAAGGCGGAGTACATTGAGATGGATATAGACTTTAAACTCGGCTTCTTGAAGAATCCCAAGGTATGTATGAAGCCTCATCATGAGCAATATGTAGATTGGCGATGGATTAACCCATTAGTAACTAGAGATTTGTAAAACTGGCCTATTACTCACTGGAAGATATTACAATATTGCTCTCATTTTGACATGGTTCTGAACAATATGAACCATGCATTATTTTTCTATGCAGAATCCTACTGTAGACATCGTAAGGATTACGCATGTATAAAATTTCCACAGGGTTTTTGGCGGTTTAGTTGCTAAAGGGTTAACAGAATTGGTACATAAGTCAGCGCTTTAAACAAGATTGTCTGGTGTGGGAAAATATATGTATATATATATATATATATTTTTGTACATGCATTAATCAATCAGTGTTTGTATTAATATCTCTAGTGCATAGTCATATACAAGAACCACTGATAATTATTCATTATAGGATTCTACCAGAGTTATATTTCATGCGATATGTCTAGTTTGTGGATGTAGATGTTGTTGTTGTTGTTAATATGGTTATGAAGAATATACACTTAACTCTAAGAACGGTGCTTTACCATGTAGCATATAGATTATTTGTTCATGTTTTACAAATCGACTGTATTCAGGTTTTGTGTATAAACGTATATATGGCATGTGCATCTTGTTTCAGAGGTTCAATGTGGCAGTGACCAGAGCCAAAGCCCTTCTGATCATAGTAGGAAACCCTTTCATGCTCAGCAAAGATGAACACTGGAACCCGTAAGTACATGTAGATCACGGCATGAAATATGTTTTTCGGATTAAAAGTAAACTGCACTGGTCAAGGTGTTGGGTATATAAAAAAAGTGATAGCTTTTTCTGCATAATGTTTGATCACATGCATCAAAGAGAACATTATATATTAAAGCCAAAGTGTTTTGTCTGATGATCTGAAAACCATCCAATTGAATTAAAAGTTGAGCACTCTATCACATTACTTTGAGTTGTGGATTGGTATATAATGCTTCGGCTTCCAAAGCACTTCAAGTTCCTTAATTTAAAAAAAATCTGAGAAGAGGTGGGGTGGGAAACGGTCAAAATTGTTTCATTAATCAAAATTTAATTGATTCAATATAATTAAAAAAAAGACAAAAAAAATAATAAAATAAAGGACATTTTTAATGTAATCACTTTCACCTTTACCTTTACCTCAGCCAGCAAAAAGAAATATATATTGTTCGATCCCCAACATGGCACTAATGTCCTTTGGCAAGGCATTAATCTACATTTGCCAATCAATACTCAAGAGAGATATGGGGACCCGGTAGGATGACGTTTTTAATTGCCTATGCCCTCATGGTGACCATATGGTAAAAATACTCCCCAGGGTGTGGAGATAGTGCACATTGTGCGTGAATGAATCCGATGACGGGGGTAATGATATCTGTATAACGCTTAGAGACGGTATTCGGTATTAAGCGCTAAGTAAATCCAGATTATTATTATCATTGATCATCAGACTCATGATTATGTCAATCATGAGTATTTAGTGGTCCACAAACACTTGACTCATCATTATACTTTTTATTTTTCTAGAATGTTGGAGTTCTGCATCCAGAAAGGAGGCTACACAGGATGTGCTTACAGTTCAGAGGAGAGTGATATGGACTCCCTCGTTTAACTCTTGCAGAAGGCTCATCTGGGAACTGTACCTACAGGTATAGTTATCTATCAATTCATAGAGGGAGGGAGGGAGGGAGGGAGGGAGGGAGGGAGAGAGAGAGAGAGAGAGAGAGGGTGGGACAGAGACAGAGACAGAGAGAGAGACAGAGACAGAGAGAGAGAGACAGACAGACAGAGTTTATTTGCTATTCAAGATAATACACATATATTTATTGAAGTTTTATGGATTGGAGAGTTGAATAATTTGTTAGATTTATGTTGAAAGTGATTTTTTTTTTAAATGCATTCATTGCACAAACACTTTCAGTGCTTATACCAGGCAGTATTGGTAGATTTCTCATTCCAGCCTTTAATTTGTTCAAGGAGATCCACAAGTATACCATTTTTTCAACCCCCTGTGGAACTTGAGCTCTCTCTCTCTCCTGTTCGCACATATGTTAACTCCCATTGTAGAGGACTATTCTTCATTGCTTGAAGTAGAAGTGATTTGGAAGCATAGTTATGTTAAAAGTTTAATTGATTAGTATTTTAAGAAGCATTAGCAGAAGAAAATGACATTAAGTGCCACTTTATCATTATTCCCTTTTTTGTATTTTTTTAATTGCAGTGGAAGAAGTGGAAGAGCAGCTTGGATTCAGTCAAGTTGCTCAGCAGAATGACCCCGAATGGAGAGGTGAAGACTAGGTCAAGAGGTCATCTCCATAACAACCAACAAGCCAAAGAATGATTAGCCATTTACTGGTAGAATAGTGAGAGTCGAATGCAGCTGTTTAGTGAGACAGCTATGTTAAAATCATCAGTGTTGTTGGTAGACCCGGCAAACAGGACGAGAGATGAGCAAGACAGTAACATTGAAGAGACAGATGTGTAGAAACTATGTAGAACAGTAATTCATACATCTTGTACCGAGACTCCAGAGAATGGTTCATCATGCATAAGGATGAGCAGGTAGAGTAGTAGGAATAATAATAATAATAATAAGGCAGCTGTTTTTTATATTGTCAATAGCATCTTTTCAATGTAATTATACATACCAAACAGGCACAAAGGGTGGGCAGGGAGATAATAATAATAATAATAATAATAATGTTCAGCTTTTATATAGAGATAGAGTTAGAGTTAAATGATCATTTCTGCAATAATTAAAAACTTTGGTAGAACAAAAAATTGTATACCGAAGATCATGAAGATCATGAAGATCATAGCTGAATAATAGGATGAATTGTCATGATGCGAGTGCATATTTAGAAATGACCACCCTGGTATGGACAGCTCTGCAATGAAGATAGGGCATTGGAACCAGATATAGTCTCATCGGATCAATGTCTGATATAAGAGAATGATCTATTGGTCGAGCGAATGAAAAAAAAACAAAAAAACTTTTGTTCAGACAATGATAATTTTACATCTGGATATACTTGTACAAGTTAAATAGTAATGGTTAACCAATATATTTGATACTTTGTGTAGACAGTAGTATATCCATTGGTACAACTTTCATGTGAATGTTGTACAAGTACATATATATATACTATCAGACATATATCTCATTTCATTTCATACGTATTAACTTGTGCATGTACCGGTACACATGCCCACAAAGTTGGACATTTTCATGTTTTTGAGATAAGATCCATAATAGTGTTGGTAGTTGAAGGGTGTATGTGAACTAAATCTTTGAATTCACTAGTGCCTCTTTTCATGATATTGTAATTCATACATTTGTTGCATGACCAGTATATTCCATTTGAGATACTTGCCAGAAGAATGTGCAGTTGAATAATGTATTTCTTAAAATGTTACATAATCTTTTGATGTGGAATCTTTTTAATTCATACACATTTTTTTACAATTTTAGTCTGCAAATAAGAATCAGATTTATTAACATTCCATGACATTTTTGCTTTTGATGATAATATTTCGTGCCATGTACAAGTCGTATTCTCTTTTTTAATCCGCATGCAAAATGTAATAGCTGAAAAGTGAACTGTAATTTATGTCTTTTAACCCTAAGTGATAAAGATGTAAAGAAAAAAAATGCATGCAATTTTAATAAATTGTCTATAATAATATTAAAATGTTTAATATCAGAATGATTCTTGTAATTTTTAAAATAAATTTGATCAATTTGGTCGAGGGCTCAGCTACCCTGTGCTCTATGCGGCATGTCATTTCTCTCTCGGATATGATTTACGACAGTCATATTTGTGCAAATTTTATTTTGAATCTCAAGAAACTTAGAAAATATGGTTGTGTACTGTGCCATAGTCTGTTTACTTTTAAGTTATGAATATAAGATGCAATTTGTTTACACCATTTTGTTTCCTTCGTAGGTTCTTGCTTGTTTTCTTGTGGTTTTAATTCTTCAATAATATTTGTATCTGTAATATTTGTTTTTTAATGTCACAATGATTCCTTTGTATATCGAAGATGTCATGTAATAGGTTCTTCAAATTGATAAGAATTACCTGTTTTGCAATAGGAATCTATTGAAAGTTAGTTACTTGTAGATTGTCCACAGGCAAGTACATGTACTGTCTGAAATTAAAGAAAAATTTAAGGGATAATGCAAGTCTAATTTTATTTGACTTTGAAACTTGGATTTTGTTAGGTTTTTCTTTTATAAAAACAAACCGCGATATTAATAGTATGAAGAAATCTTTATATCTAATTTTGTGAATATTCTGTAAGATCAGAAACATTAGTTACCGTACCCATGTTTATATGATAAAGCAACCTAGCTATTTGAGGTGCAAATTTGTGTGAAAAGAAAAAAACTGTATATGTGACTATCGATCAAAATACATTGGTAAACCTGTATGTCAGAAAAGTCAATTTGGGTCACATCGCTGCAAAGGCAGTTGCTGAACAGCTGAAAATTTCAGAGTTATAGATTTTGAATTGAGATCGAAGTTTAACTTTCAAACACACTGGCTTTAACCTTGTTTGAATAGCGGTCATTATGACTAGCGAGGGTACCCCGGACAAATATTACGCTTTGCAGCTGCGTGTGATAGTCTGAATATTTATTTGCGAGTGAGTGAAGAGAGCAAGCAACATTTTAAAGATGTATGAGGTCGCATTGCGACCAATTAGATCATAGGAAAGAAGTCCTGATGGGGTTTTAAGCACAATTTCATCATAAAAGACTGAAAAGACCTTTACTAAGTTACATAATTACATTAACTATAAATACGAGCAAGCTTTGGGGAAAATTCAAGAAGAAGGCACTCTTATCAAAAAGGAAAAAGATGCACCTGTCAATATAAAAGGGGCAATTGTCAGAATTAAAAAGGGGCACTTATTACAAAGGAAAGGGGCATCTCTCTTGAATAATGGCACTCGCCAGATTTGAAAAGGGGCAATTATCAGAGGTGAAGGGGGCCCTTATCAAAGGTGGTAAGGGGCACTTCTTGTAGCTGAAAATGGGCACTCACCTGAGATGATTAAAAAGGAATAGGGGCATTTTTTAGAAGGAAAAAGGACGCTTATTACGAAGGAAAAGGGGGGCTTGTCAAAATGAATAGGGGCACTCATAGATGAAAAGGGGGCATTTATCAGAAGGGTAAGGGGCAGTTATTACAAAGAAATGGGGCACTGGACCAAGTAACAGATTCGAATAGGGGCAATTATTGTAGGTGAACAGGGTACCAATCAGAGGTGGTGTTAGGGGCACTTATAAGGATGTGAAACTGGTCCCTATTAGAAATAAACAAAATAGCACTTTTGGGGTACATTTACTTAAAAAGGTGGGAGGGGCACTGCATATGTGACCACCTGCCCCCTGGGAGCTCTGCTGGGGCCCATTACTGATTGGCAGTCAATGGCAGGCACAACGTGAAAGAGTCCATCAACGAAAAATATTTGTAAATTGTTATGTATAGACTTTGATGAACATGACTAATGGTCCAGTTAACGTACCCATACTAGACTATATCATTTTCTTAAAAAAAAAAAAACTAAATGTGGACATTATAAAGCTACTCTGGAGCTCTGGTATATGGGAATCGTATTTTGAGAGATAATTGCTATGATTTATTCTGGATTCATTTTATCTTGCAGTAGATTTGTTGGTTACATGTCGTATTTCTGAAGGTGGTTACTCGAAGGCAGTGGCGGAACCAGCCCCCCCCCCCCCACTGAGCGACTTTTCGGCCGACGCGATTTTCAAATTTTTGGGAGCAAAAAAAAAAATTGTGCTCACTACCCCCCCCCCCCCCCCCCCCCCCCCCCCCCCCCACTGAGCGACTTTTCGGTCGGCGCGATTTCAAAATTTCGGGAGCAAAAAAAAAAATTGGGCCCCCTCCCCTAAGAAATCCTGGATCCGCGCCTGCTCGAAGGTCCGTTATTCCTAAGTTTCGTATTTCCGAAAATGAAATAATGTTCGTAATTCCAAAAATGAAATAGGGTTCATAATTCCAAAAATGAAATAAGGTTCGTAATTCCAAAAATGAAATGGGGTTCATAATTCCGAAAATGAAATAGGGTTCATAATTCCGAAAATAAAATAGGGATCATAATTCCGAAAATGAAATAGGGTTCATAATTCCGAAAATGAAATAGGGTTCATAATTCCGATAATGAAAAAGGGTTCATAATTCCGATAATGAAATAGGGTTCATAATTCCGATAATGAAATAGGGTTCATAATTCCGATAATGAAATAGGGTTCATAATTCCGAAAATGAAATAGGGTTCATAATTCCGATAATGAAATAGGGTTCATAATTCCGATAATGAAATAGGGTTCATAATTCCGAAAAATGAAATAGGGTACATAATTCCGATAATGAAATAGGGTTCATAATTCCGATAATGAAAAAGGGTTCCTAATTCCGATAATGAAATAGGGTTCATAATTCCGATAATGAAATAGGGTTCATAATTCCGATAATGAAATAGGGTTCATAATTCCGAAAAATGAAATAGGGTTCATAATTCTGATAATGGAATAGGGTTCATAATTCCGATAATGAAAAAGGGTTCATAATTCCGGAAATTAAATAGGGTACATAATTCCGAAAATGAAATAGGGTACCTAAAAAGGAGGAAGGGGAAGACCGATTCGACTGAGCAGCCCTCCCTCTCCATATCAATGGTTAAAAATGAGGGAGAGAGAGAGATGAAAGGGAAAAGAAAACTCTTACTGAATAAGAACCAGTGAATTATGCGGCCGCCGGATAATTTTATCCTTTCCTATGTATTTATTTGTTTTTATTTTTCTATCATTTCCTCTTTCTATCTTCATTTCCTTATTCTTTGTTTTTCCTTCTCTCTTCTTCCCCTTCTATCTTTCCTTATGTTAAGCTATTCTTTGTTTTTATTCTTCTTTATTTCCTCTTTCTGTCTACAACCTAACATCAGGAATATAAGATTTATCTGGCGGCCGCCAAATAATTCTATATCTTTCCATAATTATGTTATGTTGCTTTCCTTATGTTATTCTTTGTTTTTATCCTCCCATCTTCTTCTCTTTCTATTTTTCCGTATGATACTCTTTGATTTTATCCTCCTATCATTTCCTCTTTCTATCTTCATTATTTATTTATTTGTTTTCCCTTCTATCTTCTCTTTCTATCTCTCACTATGTAATTCATTGTTTTTATTTTTCTATAATTTCTTGTTTCTATCTAGAGCGTAACATATAGTAACTAGATTACTTGGCGGCCGCCAGATAATTCTATCTTTCCATATTTTATGTTGCTTTACTTCTATCGTCTTCTCTTTCTAATGCATGAATGCAAAATAGGTATTGCCTGGGTAAGCAGGCTACACTCGAAGAGAAAATGTTAACAAATATTAATTTTCACCTTTAAAGTTCTAATAATATTTTTCACAGGTTAAAGATACTATGTCCCTTTTGCAGCCAACATCAAATTCTGTAGAACTTTCCAGGAATTATGAATATGTCATGTATGTCCTATATGTGAAATTTAAATGTTAGCAGTGTCCTAATATTCAAATTATGCAAGGAAACCCGTTTACTTGCTAGACTTCACTGTCAGGCACGATTGAGTGACTGACTGGCATTTTTTCTTCTTTAGTAATAACATACATAAAGTGAGCTGAAAAGGGTACATGAGCATTTTTCTACATCAATAACCCACTTCTTGTAATGGCCAAAATTAAACTGATGATTCTTTGCGAAGCATGCACAAAATGAACGACCATCCGGTACAATGGTCTGAAAATCAGACTATTACTTACTGGCTCTATAGCTCTTAAGTCGATTCGACAACTAATAGTTGTTATTTTCCCACTTAAAGAAATTTGCAAGCCCCCTTTTTTACGGAAGTTCTAAATTAGTATTATCTTTCAAATGCCGTTGGAATTTTACCTTTTCATTTTGTTGGCCTGCAAATGGGACATAGTACCTTTAAGGTATGATTCAAAGCACTAGCTGATATTAAAAGGCGGACGTGATTTATTTTAAATCCCTCAAGAAATGCCTGAATACAGGCGTCGATCCTGGGGGCCAAGCGTGCCTTGCCCCCCCCCCCCCCGCCAACAACAAAAGAGAGAGAGAGAAGGAAAAAAAAGAAAGAGGAGAGAATGGGAAAGAAAGAAGAGGAAGAAAAAAGAAAAGGGGGGAAGGAGATCGGGGGCCTCCCCGGCTGTTACCCCCCCCCCCCCCAGCAAAAAAAAGAGAGAGATAGAAGGAAGGGAAAGAGGAGCGAAAGGGAAAGAAAATAAAGAGGAAGAAGAAAAAAATGGGGAAAAAGAAAGGAACATCAGTTGCGATGTTTCCCGTCAACAAGTTGCGCTGGTGCGGATCGGGAGGAAGGGGGGGGGGGGGGGGGAAGAAGGGAAAGGAAAGGAAAGGAAAGAAAAAGGGCGGAGGAGACAATAACAAATACCAAATAAAAAAGCGACAAGCAAACAAATGAACAAATAAATAAATAAACAAAATTAAAAAATCAGAAAATAAAACGAAATCGGTGAGATTACCTCCACTTATTACCATATTATTCATGATACCCCCTCTTCTATCTTTCACTCTCTATCACCGATTTCAATCTTATCCGGCCCCTCTTTCTGATTTTCCTCTCTTCCTTCCTTCCTTTCTTTCCTTTTCTTTGTATATTTTCCTATTGTCTTTTGTTTTAATTTTTTTGTCTCTCTTTTTTCCCTCTCTCTCTCTCTCTCTCTCTGTCTACGGTCTTGTGGGGAGAGGGGGTGGCTGTCTTGGCCTCTTGTTTAGGTACCTTTTTTATTTTCGGAATTACGAACCCTATTTCATTTTCGGAGTTATGAACCCTATATCATTTTAGGAAAAACGAACCTTCGTAATGATGAACCCTATTTCATTTTCGGAATTATGAACCCTTTTTCATTTTTGGAATTATGAATCTTCGGAATTATGATTCCTATTATTTCTTTTTCGGAATTATGAACCATTTTTCCTTTCGGCACGCAGTAACAACATTAACTGTTGTGATACACTGACTCCTCAAATTCCCTCTCATTATATTATATTAATGACATTAATACCCGCATTAATATCACTCGCCGTGTAAATTTCCGCACGCAGTAACAACAGTACTGTTGTGAATCGAGAAATAATGTTTGAAATGCCATACTTGTTTTCAAACTTACAACTCTTTTCTCCCGCCGTACAATTTTCTCATGAATCTTAATCGTAAACTTTTATAGTCAGTCCCCTTCCCTCTACACCGCGTTCACCGCGTCTTTCTGCTGTGTCCTTGATTTTGATTGAATAACAACCAACATGGCACCGACCTCGAGAGCCGGCCCCCCCCCCCCCCCCCACTCAGGGGTCGGAATGACCGCATGCGTGTTGCCAAAATGTCCGGTAAAGGGGTACTTTTCGTGCGACAAAGTCCGGCCCGAGAATTGTAAAAAAAGGGGTGTATTTGACTTTTCACCCGGAGATTTCTTTAAAAAGGGTGTTGTTTTTCTTTTTTTCTCTCATCTCTTTGGACTCCTGAGAAATTATTCTGAATTTAGGGGGTACATTGAGCATTTTTCCTGATTTAGGGGGGTCTCCAAGGCAGGAAAAGCCTGCGAAAAGCCCGCGAAAGGGGGGTTCGAAAATGTTGGCAGTCCTCAGATAGGGGGTGCTTTCAAAAAGAGGGAACGAGCATAGTGCGTACCCTAAATAACACTGAGTGGGGGGGGGGGGGGGGGGGGGGGGCCTCGAGACCTGCGAAGAAAAGGAGAGTTTCTGATGAAGGCAGAAACTTTAAATCAGATTGGTCTCTAAAGTATTTCTTCATAGAAGAGAAAGGTGGACCACTTTACCTCATTTTCACCAGAGTATGTAATGGAGGTTAACAACATAGTAGAAAAGTGCAAGCCACAGAAATCACACTAAATATAAGCCTGATTTGTTTTTCTCACTGATCTTGTTGTTTGCTTGTTTGTTTTTGCAGAATTTCAGGTGTGTACACGTATTGCATGAGTGTGTGTGTGGGGAGGGGGGAGACTAGCTACGGCCCGCCAAGCTTTAAAAGGTTGGCCATCCGTGGGCTATAGCATAATGTCTTGTTGATGGGAACGATATCTCGCGCATTGCGAAATAATTTTTAAGTTGGGTATTCCCACCAATTACAGTACAGTCTTTGTCGCAGACACAGTTTCAGTGTATCGATAAACCGCAGAATTGACCCGACCGATGACCCATAGGTTGAGGCATATAAACTGGAATAATTTTATGACACAGTTGGTGTTTACATTTTCTCCTCATGCATGATCACACGAAAAGGTTAAAACTACTTAAAAGTATACGCGAAGAAAAAAAGATTATGCGAGTGACGGCTGGTAAAGACTATTTCCCGAAATTACCGTACAGTCATAAATATATAGGCTATAGATTTTTTTTTACTCTATTCGATATTGTTAGGGATTCCATATGCTAGATGGCTTAACGATGCCGGAGGGAAACCAAGTCTTTGAAAGAGAGATAGTCGAATATTGCCAACTAAACCTGGTCATTATTTTCTTCTTCATGAACACTGACAAAGTTTGATCGGGTGTCTGAACGTGACTGCATGAGTGGAGAAATATTTTATGGTGCAAATAACGTCGTTCGAAAACTAAAAGGTAGGCTTATTTCTATATTATTTAATTTTTAAGAAACGTGATATATCAAGCTAACGTAAGGAATAAGGCCTAAGGCGCACGCCTTTAAGGGGCACCTATTTTTTTAGTCATAAATTTCCTGGTCTGATCCACTATTTTACTAACGGATTATCTAAAAATATTGATATTAAATCTTGAGTGGGAAACTCCCAACGTTCGGGCGAATATTATGAGCCCCATTTTCGATCAGACGGTTCTCATATAATTTATAGTAGATCTCTGACTACTGCAATCAATATTACAGAAAATACCAGGTGGAAAAACGTCCTTAATAATCATTATGACCAAAATTTTGTGATTTTTTAGTGATTTTTGGTAGTTTTGAAAAAAGGAGTAAATATATCAATGAGTAGGCCTAAGTGAGAAAGAGAGAGAGAGTGAGTTTGTAATTGACAAGCTATTATGCGCACTGAGCTGGGCACAATATATCCACCGGTATGCTAAACGTGATTTCTTTTCTTTCAATTTTCTTCTTATTCCCTTTTCTCTAATATGAAATTTACGGTGATAAAAATCCAATACATCACTAACATTTGCCCGTATTGGCACTGTTATCAGGTGACTTTTCACATGCCGTTTGGTGATATTGTTCTTCTGAGACCTGGCAACACTGATCTAACTATATACACAGACATAACCATTTCTTTTTCTTTTTCTTTCGTCTTTCCTTTTTTCCCCTTCTTCTTTCGTCTTTCCTTTTTTTTCCTTCTTCCTTTTCCTTCTTTTTCTTCTTCTTACTATCATTAGTGTTATTATCATGGTAATGATTTAAAGCCAGATGAATATGTCTAGCTAGCTTGTGAACCCTACCTGCATTGACCTATATGTAGGCTTGCAAATTTTGTGGCTGGTACAGTTTGGCAACCGATCAGCCACCCGCTTTCAACCGCTTTCCCTGTGGATTATAAAAAAAAGAAGGAAATATAGCCTGTCTATTGTTTAAAATTATTATTTTTGTTTTTGTTGTTGTCACAATTCGTTGGGGAATTAGAAAACCCTGATCTCCTATGCTCAACAGCAAGATGGGCATTCATTTACTACATGAGTATAGCCTATACATGACTCAATCGTTAAATCTGCTAAAACCAAATATTAAAAGTTAAAACCATCGACTTGAGTGAAAATGCGTTAATATAGTACATCGTACCATGATATAAGACTACTTTTTCCAACAATTCATCTTCAGATATGTAAAGATAAATTTAAGAAATTTCGCTATATAGATCTACGCTGAATTTTATGACTCGGTAGTTTTACTAGTTTGAAAATTGCGTAGCTTTATACATGATCGTTAAAACTCCTGAGAAAAGAGACTAACTGATCAATGCGAGTTTTCGTGAAAAAGGGAATACACCAGTTTACAGTTGTGTGCGCCATTTTAAACAAGGCTAATGACCTAGAGGTCATGTATTTATGCGTAAATTAAGATTGCGCCCATGCAAATTATGATGATATCACTGCCTGCGCGCTGCGTTGTGCGCGCATATCATCATTTGCATGGGCGCAATCTTAATTTACGCATAAATACCAGAGGTCAGAGGTTATTGGCCCCAATTTTGGGGCCAATGACCCGAGGTCAACTGTCTGCTCATGCGCACTGATACAACTGTAAACTGGTGTATTCCCACTGTGGCTTCAAGCATCTCGCGCACGGCATGCGCACGCATGCGGCGCCCGTTAATCTACAAGTGAATTTCGGCCTGATCAAGGGTAAAGTCATAACACGGCCTGTGACTGCCTGATTCGTTTGTGTGAATTTGGGGGTTTGGTCGTGATCATTGGCTAAATGGACCCAGAGACAGAGTCTTGCCTCTTGCCTTAGTCTGCATGGAGCTGAGTCGAGTTAGACTTCGTCTTAATGCCATGGCTCTATAACCATCTGGCATGGGTCGATCATTCCTTTTAACACTGACATTTGTCTATAGATCTATACCTATACGGAGGTCTAGTGGAGCCAGACGTATTCTTGGTGGAACAACCAACGATATAGAGAGACTGAAGCTTTTTGTCTGGCACTGCAGTTGCATCTTGGACTTGGTTAGTATGCAGTAAAAGATAATTAAGTTGAGTTCTGGTCATGCGGTTGATCATCTAGCATTTAAGTATTTGTGTGTATTGCCTGGCCCTTAGTTAGGGTACGCATATGCGTGTTCCAAGCGACCCCCCCCCCCTTTTCAGCAAAAGTCTGGTGTGCATGAAGAAAATATCCCGTTTATCCATGAACAATGAGTTTACGAGCCCCCATTGGGTGATCAATCTAGCAAAAAAATGCCAAGTAACGCCCCCGGGCCCTGATCCAATCAGAAAATTGATGCGTAAATCAGGTTGACCTTAGTTTGACTTGGGGCGTCTACTTTGCTCTTCTGCTTGGGCGTCCGAACGATACCTCGGTTTTCCGAACGATTCCCCGGTTAGGTTTTTTCGGTTTCGGATAATACCGAAAAGTTTGACCGTGGAAAGCGAGCCCAGTTATGTGCATTGCGGCATGATTTGAGTTCATGGAAAGTTCAACTGCGCGTGCCTCGCCAGCTCAAGGAATGCAGTCTAGTCATTGGTGTTATAATTAGCATGGGCGAAATGAAAATCATAATCTAATGGAGGAGATCTGATCGACTGGACTAGCAATGAGCTATTTGCGAAGTCTCTTTAATTTGTTCACATCTACCAAAGATAATCAAGATAACTGTATAAGGATGAGATGTGCTCAATTGAAATAATCTAGGCCTACGGTAAACTTCTGATTTTTCTTTTTAAATGTAACTGTCGCGTCGACGCCTACAATTAGACTGGTGTAAGTTTATTCAGCATGATTTCGCAGTCAATGCATAGAGATGAATTTCCTAACAAATGGAAATAGAAGCCTGGCAAACTGAAGGGAATATTTGGATTGTTTCTCCCTTTTTCACCTTTTTCTATGATTTTTTTTTCTTCTACATTTTACATTTTTTAATAAAAATAACTGTCATGTGTGAGGGTCACTAGTAATATACAGCTCTCCACAATACTACTATACTCACCTAAATAGGATGGACAAACTGCACAGGTATCAGGCAGGGCAGGTTCATTGAGGGGCGCATATAAAACACAACTTCCTCAAAGTCGTGCTCAAAAACAAAAAAAAACTAAATAAAATTCCTCATAAGATGCACATGTAAACATATAATGTTTGAATAAACAATAACTTTTGATGGTTTGGTAATGAAGCCACTCTAGGGTGACTGCTAGTCCGATTGGGGGATTGCTAGTTTTGAGCTCCTTCAGGAGCACCTTCTTTAGCAGAGCGGCCATGGTTGTGTGAGCTATCACACACAATCAACCTTTTGTTAATTTGACACAACAATTAAACATGGTTTGTAACTTGTTGATTACCACCATTGCAACATTGCTATTGTTACCACTTCTATAGACTGAATAGGGAAGGGGGGGGGGGGGGGGGGTGGTATTTGCCAATGAGGGACTTGGTGTTGCAAAGGTAGCCTAAATGGAAACTGTTTTGCCTTGTCATCAGGCGCGGATCCAGGATTTCTTAGGGGGGGGGGGGCCAAAATGTGAAATGATTTTTTTTTTTTGGGGGGGGGGGGGGAGGGGGGGGGGGGTAAAAAAAAAAAAAAAAAAAAAAAAAAACACAACAACAACAAACAATACGTTTTTGCTCATTTTGCCACTTCCGGTGTCACCATTACTACCAATATTTGGCTCGCATAATTTCAAATTTGGGCCCCCCCTAAGAAATCCTGGATCCACGCCTGAGTGTATTTGAGCTTTGAAAAAGTGACATCCAGCACAACCCCCCTCCCCTCCCCCCTCCCTCTCTCTTTCTCTCTCCTTCTCTCTAGGCTCTCTAATTATTTATCTTAATCTCATACACCCTTTCCATCACATCTCACTCTGATTTGATATGGAATTGGACTGAACAGGAAAAGAATGACCGCATCAAAGATGTATGCACTTACATAAGTTACATTTAAGTTCTTTTGTAACTGATAGAAAAGAAGAAAGATTTTTTCTTCCAATTTGTGGACCCTCCGACAGGCCATTTTATTGAAAATAAATCTCTGAATAACCTATTTGAATACATAGAATAGAATAGAATAGAAATGGTTCTTATTAAAAAGATCATCGCAGCTAATGGCTGAATTGCGATCCATTTCACAAACATACAATACAATGCAATTTAAATTGAAATGACACAAAATATGACATAAATCAAAAATCAAACATAGACCCCCTATAGACATTTCATAAAAATTTGTTGATCAAATTCAAATTTTTGTTAAAAAAGATAAAGAAAGGGAGAGGTGTAGGAAAGGGAGAGTTGGAGTGATGACAAAGAGAGACAAAGAGAGAAAGAGAGGAAAAGAGAGAGAGAGAGAAGGGGGACGAAAGAGTGAGACGGAAAGAGAGATATATATATATATATACATTATGAATATAATAAGCGATGACTGAAAGCATAACAAATTCATAATAATATGATACTACACATACAAAAAAGAAATATTAAAAATATAATTACCAAAAAAAAAGCCCCCCCCCCACTAAAAAAAAATTACCCCCCCCCCCACAAAAAAAAAAAACCTCCTCCCCCACATAAAAAACATCCCTCTCCCCCCCCCCCCAAAAAAAAATGCAACATCGTTACTGAAAATAATTTGGGAAACTCAATTAGATTTTTCTAAATAATATCAAACGATCTAAATCCTCTCAAGATTTAACCATTTTTATCAAATTTGTTAGCAAGTATACTTACCTGCCTCTCATTTTTAAAACTATTAGTGATATGTTATTTAATTGTCATATTACAACTTCCATTTGGGACTTGTATTTGCATTTAATTATTTGACAAAGTGCTTATTATTTGACAAAGAAATCAATGTAGGAATGGAGACCACCAAATCTCGGTTGAGCACCCTTCGAAACTTAGTTAGTTCCTGTTGTGTTTTTACAAAACGCCAAAATCACATTGCCGTTTCCCCCAGGCCAGGCATTTTCACCCAGGGCCCAGGCTAGGCCAGGCCGCGCAAACGCGTAACCATGGAAATACTACGAACGCTGACCACAACCAGTTCAAAGTACAATTCATATACGCAGTAACAATCAGACGTAAACACGGCGAACGATGTCATACGACACCCAGCTGTATGGTTCGGATTATTACCGAACAAAGGAAGCAAACTTCAGCTCTGACGCCCTAGCTGTCAATCATGCAAAAATGGCTACCAAAAACACTCAAATTTCAGGCTTTAAACAGGTGACGCACTTCACACATAGGTGACGCACACATGGCACTCCATACACATAAAATAGAAACGTCAACGGACATTTCAGAAAAAAAATGAAGTTTGTACCTTAAATATGACTTTTTTGAGAATTTTTCATAGTTAAGTAAGACTTATACTTAAGTGAAATACTTAAGTTAAATACTTAAGTGCAAAAATCATTAAAATAGAGGGTTTGACTGAAATATCACAATTTTGGTATAAAAAAAAACGGAAAATAGTAAGCTATCTCGTCGCACTCATATTTGTAACGTTAAGCAAATGGCGGGCCGTTTACAGCCAATCATAAGGAACAAGAACGTTGCATTGTGGGCGGGGCACGGGCGGGTGATTCAAATGAGCGGAGACCGATTGAACTTAACTGCGCAAGCGCTAAATGTAAGGATATTTTCTTTGTGGTGTGTAAAGTCAATACGGGTCGACCTTTTTATTTTGTTATACAAGCCTTTTTCAGCACCCCCCCCCCCCTTTTCAGCAAAAGTCCGTGTGTAAAGTCAATACGGGTCGACCTTTTTCTTTTGTTACGAAAGGACATTTTGGTAACACGCATGGGGTCCGTCCGTTCTTGGAGGGGGGGGGGGGGGGCCGGGGTGTATTGCAAGGTTCTGCATGGAATCATCAAAATGATTAGAAAATTTGGCCAAGTCTTGGTAAAGTTCCAAGCACTGTACACACAAGTAGGGAGGCCAATACCAAAATCTAACTTTTTAATTACTCATTTATTTATATAAATAAAACAAAGTTTAAAAGAAAGTATTTTCTTTAACTAAGACAACTCACCCATCTGCCGACTCCAGGGGGGTGTTTCTAAGTTGAACTTATCTCTAAGTTGGACTTAAAAATTATGGAAAGCCGTTAGCATCTTTGAAAATATTTTGTAAAAGTTATTTTGAAAGGCATAAAATGTTGATTCAAATCATTCATATTTTCTATCATCAAGGAGATTTCATGTTCTGGATTTGGAATTTATAAAAAATGATAAAATACTTGAATTTCTGCTTTTGAATATATTTCATTTTAAGACTCCAATGGCTGTCCATAATTTTTAAGTCCAACTTAGAATTAAATTCTACTTTTGATCTTTGTGAAACACCCCCCTGAAGTTCCAAAATAGGAGATATGATCATATCCAGCTCTTAAAGATACTGGGTGGTATTCTCGAAAGCGGCCTAAGTTAAACCTGGCCTAAGTTAAACCGTGGTTTAGTTAGGCCAGGCTTAACTTAGGCCGCTGACCTAAGTCATTTTCATTTCTCGAAAGGTGGCCTAACTGATCCATGGTTTAAACCTGGCCTAACTTAGTCCATGGATTATTCACCATGGTTACGGTTTCTGCACATGCTCAGTACCGAAGCTGCGACGTCACAATGCACTAGGACAGTGGGCTAAGACAATGGATGCGCGCAGTGTTGAGAGGATGCATCACCTCGACAACTTGAGCAATATGACGTCACAATGCACTAAGACAATGGGCTAAGACAATGGATGCACGCAGTGTGGAGAGGATGCATCACCTCGACAACTTGAGCAATATGACGTCCAGGGGCGGCGGAGTGACTTCCAAAGCGGGGGGCAGCACCAACAAAAAGGGCACTTGCTGGAATTGTATCATTGTTAAAAGGAAAATTATCAGAGGTCAAAAGGGTCACATATCGCACCTGAAAAGGGGCATTGAACATATTTTTAAAGGGGCACTTATGAGAATGAAAAAGAGGCACCGATAATTTTGTTATAGGGGCACCTCTCAGATTTAAATAGGGCAATTATCAGAGGTGAAGGGGCACTTCTCGTACCTGAAAAGGAGCACTTACTAGAGATTTAAAAGGGCACTTATAACAATGGAAAATTGACACTTATTGCCAAGGAAAATGGAAACTTGTCAAAGGAAAAGGGGCGCATTTCAAAATTAAAGGGGCACTTATCAGACGTGAAAAGGGGAAGGGGCACTTTTCCTATGGAAAAGGGGGCACTTCTTACAAAGTTAAAAGGGCACTTACCTATATAAAAAGGGGCATTTGAAAAAGGGGGCACTGTACCCCCCCCCAACTCTTTCTCCCTATTTCCATCTCTCTCTCTCTCTCTCTCTCTCACACACACACACACACACACTATCTCACATCATTGATTATTTCTCATTTTCATGACATCTCTCACCATTAAATTGTTCTTTCTCATTTGGTTCCCTTTCTCTTTTACTCTATCTTTCTCTCTCGCTAGCTCTCTGTTCTCTGACTGTTCTATTTCCAGACTTTTTCCATGTATAATTCAATGAACCCAACAGTATGCACACTTAAAATCAAAAGATATGAAAGGAATATTGTATATAACATATCAACAATTACGTTCAATTTAATATTTATTTTTCTTAAAACAGAAAAGATTATAATTCACGATGAATACGATTATAAAATTGAAGGTCAAATATTAAGCTCCAATAGCCTCATAATCTGCTATTTGAAATTATTAGAATTCAAAGTTATACATTTGTTACATTACTTTTTCCCATTTTTAAAAACAAAGCATAGTCTTCTTTTGAGCCGTCTTTCTTTTGCAGGGAATCTGTTATATCATGACTTGCACTATATTATAAAACACATTATAAAACATGATTTCTTAAATAACTAAAAAATCACAATTTTTCCAGTGAAACAATGAACATCTGATGTATATAAAAACATCCTTATGAGCGATGGTTGCTTTGTGGTTCACACACACAACAAGGACATATCTGGCTTTTTATCAATGGTTGCTTGTTTGTTAGCTTCATGTTATGAGGATCATAATAAAAAGGTTTTGATTCCCATGCAGTCACAGTTACAGCAGATAGAGTCTGGTTCATTGAAGAGGCTAAGTAGAACTTCATAGTCCTTGCAAGTATGTCTGTTGAATAAAAAGAGAAGAAAATGAAAGGAAGCACATTGTAACCTATTTCTGTTAAACATTAACATTAACAAGGTCTTGCATGTACATTGTGACCAAAGTGGACTTACATGCACATTGTGGTAAAAGTGGAGTGCATAATCAATTATTTGAAAGTATTGATGGAAAAATGTGAATGAACAAATGCCCTCCTTGAAGTACCTGGTCATACAAACAACAACTTATTCGTACAGCCTACCTGTCAGAAATTCAGCAGCTCAGTAGTTCTCCTTCCTCTCTCTGAATTTGTCTCATTTATCAGGGAATTTGCCTTCATTTATTTTACTGAAGAAGAACATCATCCTGAAACAAAATTAAAAAGGTTGAGACCTCATTAAAATATCAAAGATCTACTCCATTGATAATTGGTCTTAGTTATAGTGTCAATCATATTCTAACTTTTAAAAAAAATGAAGGCGCCTTTCATGTAGGCAGTGACTAGGTACCCCCTCCCCACTCAGTTACTAGTAATCATTGATTTACAGAATGACTACCGGTATCTCTTTTAAAGTCAAGAACAAACATACACATTATTGCAGTACTATCTCATAAATGTGCTTGCACCCAGTTGTACTTGCCATGTCATGGCCTAAGAAGCCCTAAGTAGTTAAAGTCTATAGCCAAGTTAGTCCCTTTCCTAATATCAAGTCTAGAGGTCTAAATCTTACTTAGATAACCAGCCGACAGTTGGCCTAACCTAGATGTAAACGCAGCCTGGGTTGTAGATTTTACAAGGCCCTAATCGTTAGAGCCCAACTTTTCCATTTTAGTTCAATCTAACATTAGACCAAGGATTGTCTTATTGTTTATGTTATCTCCCAAAATGAGCTTCGTGAAAGGGAAAAAAGTAAAATGAAAAAAATACTGCACTGTACTGTACTGCAGTCTGTAGGTCGATAAGTCTTATATGGTCTAGAATTGTTAGTGGTAGGTTTGAATTTTCTTCTGACCCAAATTTGAAAGTAGTTAATCAACTGTTGATTATTTGTGTCTTATTTTCAGAGATAGTTCCGCCCAAAAGTCTAGGCCAAGCTGTCACTGTCAGGAGTGACTGGTAGCCATGGCAATCGAGCTGAAAATATTAGCTCGTGCTGATGTAAAATGAATACAAGTTTGAGTGTAGATTGCACCTACATTCATCAGACAAAACAATTTTAAATCACTTCATAATGTACCTGTAGACACATCTGTAGATTCATAAAATCAGCAGATCTTTTTAATAAACATTGTATAGGCCTAAACATGATTTAGTTTACAAAATTTAGGAGTAATTACAGCTTTACTCACCAGCAGACTTTCCAAGAAAAATGGAGTATCTATTTTTCCTGTTCAGGAAATAACTGGTGTTGGGCCAACTGGCTTGAAGATGCCTATGTGGGTGCAATCAATAGCACCGACCATATTAACGCCAGGGAAATGGCAGTAATTATAAAATTCATGTTGGGTCTGCACTCTGCAGGACTGCCTCTCTTGTTGAAGGAATTAAGATGTATTGGTCCGATCTCCTGGCATTGGCTATTGAGATGCATGGACTTCACAAGGCGGGACACCGTAGCTTGGGAGAGGCCTTCTTTTTCATCCCCATACATCAATTGAAAAGAACCTGAAATAGCAGAAAATCAAGATGAAAATTAATTAATTATGTTGATATTTGATAAGAAATTACAATTTCTCTTTCTCTGTAGTTTACTAAGGCCTAATAGTATTATTAGACTAAACTACTGTAACATTATCAGCAAATGTATGTCAAAAAAGGAAGCTTCTGTCCATTTCCTTTCAATTTCTATTAGATCTGTCTAGACTAGACTCTTATTGATGAAATTTAGATCTAGGTCTAGTAATATTGTTTAAAAATGTGTTTTTCTTGGGGGAGGGGGGGGGGATGGTTGGTTATGAAAATCATCATCATCCTGTAGAAAATTATCACACCAACAGCCACAACTAGCACTGCAGCTCAGGCAGAGGTGATACCAGACCGAAATGTCTGTCTCTTTCGTTCGTTAGCCTCTGATTTGGGTAGGGTCGGCTGAAAAAGAGGAGCCGACCCTACCCAAATCAGAGGCTAACGAACGAAAGAGACAGCTAGATCTAAATTTAGGCCTAGTGCTAGTCCACTTTTTGGCAACAGCATCTCGAAAATCCACTATAACAGTAGTTTCTACGTCTAGCAATGATAGTTTTAAGTTGGTGTTAAGGTGGTATATGCGTACGAAAGTACAATAGTGCCAAGAAAAAAATTACCCGGTAAGAAATTGCTCAATCTCAGGAAACGAAAATGTTAACCGACAATTATTTGCACGTATGGGACTGGTCTGCAACACTGTGAACATTTACCAAGTTTTCCCCAAATTTATTCAGTTAAAAGCATTTTAGATTATCACCAGTACAGCAACATGAAAGTAACAACAATACTTTATTAGCTGGTGTAACTTTCATGAGCGCTTATCCATTCAAAAGAGTGTAAATTGTTATCAAATATAGAAATTCAAATGCAAAACTTACCGTTCACTCTCCGCGGACAGTCGATTTAACTAAAACGTGACGACACGCGAAGTTAGGCCGAACTATGACGTATTTAAACCTGCCCTCTTAGCCGCCTAAAGTTAGGCCGAACTATGACGTATTTAAGCCTGGCTTATCTTTAGGCCACCTTCGAGAATAGCAAAAAAGATAGTCCATGGTTTAAACCAGGTTTAGGCCACTGATTTAACTTAGGCCGCTTTCGAGAATACTATGTCCCAATTTTGCAGCCAACCTCAAATTCTGTAGAACTTTGCAGGAATTATGAATATGTCATGTATGTCCTGAAATTTAAAAGTTAGCAGTGTCCTAATATTCAAATTATACAAGGAAACCCATTTACTTGCTAGACTTCACTGTCAGACACTAATGTCAGTATTGAGTGACTGACTGGCTTTTTTCTTCTTTGGTAATAACATACCTAAAAAGAGCTGTAAAGGATTTGTCTACATCAATAACCCACTTCTTGGAATGGCCAATATTAAAATGATTGAATCTTTGCGCAGCATAAAACGTACGACCATGCGTTACAATGGTCTGAAAATCAAGACTATTACTTATTGGCTCTAGCTCCTAAGTCGATTTGACAACTAGCACAATCCGGAATCAACAATAGGACTGCAACGTACGCAGAGCTAGAGGCGTGTACTATTTATCTCTCTCTCTCTCTCTCTCTCTCTCACTATACATGTACGTAACACACTCACTAACCATGTATCATACACTAAACACACGCCTTCAAATCATGGCATTCCCTTCCACTTGTCACTCGCATTGCTCTATCCCTTATTGTTGAACGCCAAACAAGGTAAAACAATAGACTGTAGTGTTATGAAAACCGTTGGGCAAACGCAAAATTTGATTTCAATTTTCAATCATAAATATCTTGAATATCAGACAGGCGATCTTGTATTATGAATAGCAACCATCTTCTTCACTTATGAATAATGAACCTTATAAACAGCGACCCTCATTCCGTATTATGAATACTGACCCTCTTTGTTGATTAAGAATAGCGATCCTTATGAATAATGACCCTTATGAATATGAGTAATGACCCTTTTCTCAAATTATAAAAAGCGGTCCCTATGAATAGCGGTCCTTATGAATATAGCGACATTGACCCGAAATTTCTGACTTCTTTCACAATCATGTGAAAGAACTTGTAGTTCAACCACGTGCTACATAGTTGTCCAACCTTCTTAGAACAGGGGCGCTACACGTTGCGCCACAATAACATACTTTCATATCTACTCAAGAAAGCCAGACAAGCAAGTATGTCATCAACATGTACATGTACATCATCTTCCCCCAACCTCGGAATAAAAACATGACATTTCCAATCTCCCTGGTTTAATACTCGCCTGTTACAACAGTTCATAAAGCATGTACCCAAACAAACCTAAAACCCAACCTTTGTATATTCTGGGGAAAAAAGAAGAAACTTTTCGTTCTTGAATTGACTGTTCCGTTTGAGTTAGGAATAGATAGTCTCGTTTCTGATTCTTTTTTTATGCTTAATTCATCATTCATACTTGTCCAAGAGCTTTTGTATGAATTTAGAGTTCAGATAAAACTTGGTTGTTTTCTTTCTTACACATCAATCACATGTATTGTTTCTAAATTCTATATATCCATTTCGCATTTATGTAACGTCTGTTTGGAGCCACAGTACAGTACAGTGGCATTGATCCATATTACTTTGACATGGAGTTCAAACACTTGTGACCCTAAACAGATGACATGTGAAATGCATTGTTAATATCTTTGCACATTGTGTGTCACATATTCCATCATGAACAATATGAAGTACTAGCACAGCATTGTTAATAATAAAACATGTCCTGGGCTTTTTTATGCCTCCGCCACCGAAGGTGGTGCCGGAGGCATCATGTTTTCGGGTTGTCCGTCCGTACGTCCGTACGTCCGTCCCGTTTGACCGTTATCACAATATCTCAAGAACCATTTAAGATTTAAACTTAAGACTCGGGAATAGTATTTATCACCATAGGAAGACGATCTGATTAGATTTTGGAGTACGTAGGTCAAAGGTCACAGGTCACAGAGGTCAACTTATGAAATTCCTTGTATTGAGTTTGTTAGCGCGATATCTCAAGAACCATTTGAGATTTAAACTTCAAACTTAAGGATAGTATGTATCACCATAGGAAGACGATCTGATTAGATTTTGGAGCACGTATGTCAAAGGTCAAGGGTCACAGAGGTCAACTTATGAAATTCCATACATTGAGATTGTTATCATGATATCTCAAGAACCACTGGAGATTTAAACTTCAAACTTAGTGATAGTGTGTATCACTATAGGAAAACAATCTGATTAGATTTTGGAGCACGTATGTTAAAGGTCAAGGGTCACAGAGGTCAACTTATGAAATTCCATACATTGAGATTGTTATCATGATATCTCAAGAACCACTGGAGATTTAAACTTCAAACTTAGTGATAGTGTGTATCACTATAGGAAAACAATCTGATTAGATTTTGGAGCACGTAGGTCAAAGGTCAAAGGTCACAGGGCTCATTATGTATGCAAAAACAGCTTGTGATCGCGTTATCTGAAGAACCGATTGATGGATTCCTGCCAAACTTTGGTCATGTATGTATCTTGCAAAGCCAATGAACTGATTAGATTTTGGGGTCACGAGGTCAAAGGTCACAGCGCACATTGTGTATGCAAAAACAGCTCGTGATCGCCTTATCTCAAGAACCGATTGATGGATTCCTGCCAAACTTAGGTCATGTATGTTACTTGCAGAGCTGATGAACTGATTAGATTTTGGGGTCATGAGGTAAAGGTCAAGGTCATGCGGCTCATTATGTATGCAAAAATAGCTTGTGATCGTATTATCATTAGAACAGATTGATGGATTCCTGCCAAACTTAGATCATTTATGTATCTTGCAGAGCCAATGAATGGTTCATAAGATCAAAGGTCATGGGCTCATTATGTATGCAAAAATAGCTTGTGGACGCATTCTCATTAGAACTGACAGATGGATTACTATTTAACTCAGGAAATCTTGCAGAGCCAATGAACTGAGTAGATTTTAGGGTCATGAGGTCAAAGATTAAAGGGTCATATATGTATATGAGAAATTGCTTGTAATCACGATATTCTGAGAACATGTTAATGGATTACAATTGAACTTGAATTTGAAAAATTTCTTCCGTTTCGGTTTGTAAAATTGCTCTATGACGGAGGCATCATTTTCGACTGCGCGCAGTCGAATTCCATCTAGTTTTCTTCTCACTTTTCTACTTTTCTATACTTTGTTGGGAGTAGTTTCTAACTATAGATCTATGCAATCGTATACTATTACTTTGTTCATGATTAAAAATAAAGTGATATTGAAACAATGAGGCTCAAACTAGTTGATAATATGTATCACGATAGGAAGATGATCTGATCAGATTTTTGGTAAAAAGGTCAAAGGTCACAGGTTTATCTATGAAATTAAAGGTTTTAGCTTTGCGATTGTGACTACTAGAGAATAGAGATATGGAGTTTAAACTTCGTGATAGTATGTATCATCATTGGAAGACAATCTGATAAGATTTTTGGTAAGTATTGGTCAATGGTCAAAGGTTGATTTTTGAAATTACAGGTTTTATCCTTGTTAGTTCAAAATCTTTATAGAACCATTCACAGCATTATATTAGCCTCAAACTTGGTGATACATGTAGTATGTATCACCATAGGAATATTTAAGGTCAGTAGTTCAAAGGTCACAGGGGTAAATTTCTTAAATTAAAGATTTTTAGCTTTGCTATCGCAATATGTAATCGTGGTATTAAATGGAATTACTATTGGAAGAGGAAAATTACATTTTAGGGCTAGTAGATCAAGATCATAGTCGGCGGTTGACAATTGATTATAGACATTTTGTTTTGTTTTGTTTCATCGTGAAATGTCACAAATAAATCCATAATTTCCTATTTAGGGCAAAGGCATATAGGAGATGCAGTCGCATTTGTCTTGTTTTTGTATTGTTGATGTACATCAGACAGTATCACCGATTTCCCCCAAATTTTTAGTATTTTGTAGCTGAACGTATACTCTAGAAAAAAATTTGCCATTTATTTTTTAATTTGACGTTGGGATCATAGTCAATTTTTTTAATTAAAGGTGAAAGTCCAAATCTCTTATTTGGTAAGAACACACCCGTCTGAAAAAACTCTTTTTAAATAAAAAATGGATTTACAATTAATGTATTTCTTGTGGGATGATTGTATTCATAGTGTCCCATGAGAGATATCTTCCTGATACATTTGTATCGATGATGCCCAGACCTTATGTTGTTGACCGGTATCAGTTATTGCATTCTAAATTTGATGTAGAAAGCCAATAGGAAAATAATACATTTGAAAATTCATACTTTATCTAACACATCTTTCTTATATATTAGTCTTATTTCAAGACTGTTGTTTATCCAGATTTTATGCTCAGATGTTTGTGTACAAACCCTATGGGGAGTTTTTATTACTGAGAAAATTCACGTAACATCCGTAGTGGAACAGGAAATTTCTGTACAAAATCTGTAGAGAAATTCCGTCATCCAAATATGAGGGTGAACTTTAGTTCAGGGGCTGATCCAGCCGGCGGCAGGGGAGGGGGCCCAATTCGTGAGAAAATATTTAGCGGCGAAACAGCCGGTCGATATTTCGCTTAGTTGGGGGGGGGGGGCATCTCCAAAAAAAAGGATAATTTAATGTTTTTTCCCAGGGGGGGGGGGGCGGGGCCCCTGGATCCGCCACTGCTGTAGTTCACCCTCATATTGGGATGACGGAATTTCTCTACAGAATTTCTTTAATGATGGAATTCCTCTTTCTGTGAGTGATTGTCAATCGTTCATAAGATCATCCCATAGGAAAGAAATGAGCCTGCCGCATACTCCTGCGGCAGACTTGCCGCAGATCTGCAGCAGACCTGCCGCAGACAGTCATCTTTTTCACATGCAAATTAGTTTTGCCGCAGACTTGCCGCAGACTTGCCGCATACTCTTTCAGTATGATGAAGAGTCTGCGGCAGGTCTGCCGCAGACTTGCCGCAGACTTGCCGCATACTCTTTCAGTATGATGAAGAGTCTGCGGCAGGTCTGCCGCAGACTTGCTGCAGACTTGCCGCATACTCTTTCAGTATGATGAAGAGTCTGCGGCAGGTCTGCGGCAGACTTGCCGCAGATCTGCAGCAGACCTGCCGCAGACAGTCATCTTTTTCACATGCAAATTAGTTTTGCCGCAGACTTGCCGCAGACTTGCCGCATACTCTTTCAGTATGATGAAGAGTCTGCGGCAGGTCTGCCGCAGACTTGCTGCAGACTTGCCGCATACTCTTTCAGTATGATGAAGAGTCTGCGGCAGGTCTGCGGCAGACCTGCCGCATACTCTTTCATATCCAGAACGTGGCAACAAAGTATGCATGTAGAAGAACCAGTGATAAACTGATTGATACTTCATAATCGATATTGGCAATATCGATATTACTAATTAGGTATTACCAATATATATATATATATATATGACCAATTAGGCATATTCTATTCTCAATTGTATTAACTTCATCACATTGATCATTTGAAGTGTATTCAAGAGTAACAATTAAAGTGACACAGGCTCGTACACATATATATATACTAAATATGTATATTGTTTCTTGGTTAGTAATCAGTTTCTTGGTTAGTAATCAATATATCTATTGCTTAAACGTGAATGTAATTGTAACATGATCAGACAAAATAATCTATTGGTTAATAATGGCAAAAGGAAAATAGAAATCACAAAAATGATGTGCATTGTCTTAATTTGCTTAACAAATCATGATAAATGTATTTTTCTGTCACACGTGTAAAGTAATAATGAATATGCATGAGATGATTGGTTTCAATTGGCCCTATTAGACTTTAATGGGATTTCCTGTGGCAGACCTGCCGCAGACTGTTCCTGTGGCGTACTGGTATGCGGCAAGTCTGGAGCAAAGTTTCGCCCTGCCACAGATCTGCCGCAGACTGTTCCTGTGGCATACTAGTATGCGGCAAGTCTGGAGCAAAGTTTCATCCTGCCGCAGATCTGCCGCAGACTGTTCCTGTGGCATACTAGTATGCGGCAAGTCTGCAGCAAAATTTCATCCTGCCGCAAATCTGCCGCAGACTGTTCCTGTGGCATTCTAGTATGCGGCAAGTCTGGAGCGAAGTTTCATCCTGCCGCAGATCTGCCGCAGACTGTTCCTGTGGCATACTAGTATGCGGCAAGTCTGCAGCAAAATTTCATCCTGCCGCAGATCTGCCGCAGACTGTTCCTGTGGCATACTAGTATGCGGCAAGTCTGCAGCAAAATTTCATCCTGCCGCAGATCTGCCGCAGACTGTTCCTGTGGCATACTGGTATGCGGCAAGTCTGCAGCAAAATTTCTTTCTGCCGCATACTTCGGCATACTCTTTGCCGCAGACTAAAAGTCTGCGGCAGGTCTGCGGCAGATCTGCGGCAGGTCTGCGGCAGGTCTGCGGCATACTTTTCACTTTCCTATGGGATTTGCTGCAAATCACCTACTATGTACATGTAATTCATCAGCTAGCTGTGATGAATTCCAGTCTTGTTTATTTTCCAATTTCCAGATTAATTCTGACTCTGTCATCAATCCAAGATGCGTACCAAGCCAAAGAGAAATTATCTAGTCCAAGACGTGCTTGACATTGGAGAGAGGTTCTTCCAACATCTTGGGAGTACAGGTCACCAAGAGGTCACGGAGAAGGAAGCTTTACGTGACCTCTATTATGATGAATTCAAGCCTTCCCTTCTAAGGCAAGGTGTTAAAGGTAATGATCAACTGACAAGTGGTAGCCACATGATATTTTTCTTTGTATTGTATGTCTCTAGCTCTCCATCAAAATGGTGTGCTTGCATGGTCCATAAGGGTACCATATGTCCCCATTCGCAGGCTTAAATTCCAACAGCAATTGAAAGATAATACTAATGTTGAACTTCCCTCAAAACAAAGGGGCTTGAAAATGTCTTTTTGTGGAAAAATAGCGACTATTAGTTATCGAATCAAATTTAGGGATTGCAGTCATTTTATTAAATAGTCTGAATTTCAGACCCTTGTACGAATGGTTGACGTTTTGTGTTGCGCAAAGATTCAATCAGCAGAATTTTGGCCATTACAAGATGTGGGTTACTATTCTTGTTCAAATGTCGTCTGAGCGATGGTCATGTTAGCTACGCCCACCTTAACCCCGACCAATTTACTCCTGGATTGATCCAGGAGTAACGCGCGGGGTAGCGTTGGGTATTACCTTTGGCAGCTCACTCAGGAAGTTATACTAGGATGGTAGGTGAGGCGAGTAACTACATGTACATGGAGTATCACGAAGTGCAGGAATGGTGTGTGGACAAAGCACTTGTTAATTTACAGTAAAATATGCTAAGTCCAGTGCCAGTAAAAACCAAGCTAGTAGGCTCATGATGTGAGAACCTACGGGGGGCTGCATCATTCTGATGGAGGGTAGAGCAGCCTCCTTGAAGTGGGTTCCAGATCCTTGTTGCTCTTGGATAGTATGAGAACTTGAAAGAGTCGATAGTGCAACAGGAATTACATACTTCAGGTTGTGGTTGTGTCTTCCGAAGTATGTAGCAGGGATGACAAAAGTTGGACATGGAGACAAGACGGTGATTGATCTTGTATAGAAGTGTGCATTGGTCAAGGATTCAACGTGTGTGGAGCGTGTCCCACCCCAATGCTGTCACAAGAGCTGGGGGTGATGTGGTGTATCTGTAGTCACAGTACACAAAGCGAGCCACTGTTCTTTGTACTTGCTCTAGCATTTTTGCGACTGTGCAGAGGCGCATGGGCTGTGTAAGCCCTGGACTTTACATCCGTGGTGCAGGGGGAGAGAGTCCTGCAAAGAAGACCTAGTGTACGGCTTGCTGTATGCCGGATGGATTGGCAGTGCTTGTTCCACCGAAAATCAGCAGAAACCATTACTCCAAGGTACTTTGACTCTTGGGATCAGTCCATTTGACAGGTGGTATTCTGCTTTCGTGTGATGTTGAGGATAGCGCACTTTTTTACATTGAAGTCCATCATCCAGTTTGAAGACCACCTGGACAGCTGGTGAGATCATCCTTTAGGATTGATATTCCTCAGGGCGTTGAATCTCACGAAAGAGGGTGCTGTCATCTGCAAAGAGACGCATTGTGGACTGGATGTTTTCTTGGATATCGTTAATTAACAGCAGGAAAAGGGTAGGGCCGATGATGGATCCCTGGACGACACCAGATATTACATCCCTCCATGTTGTTTTAGATCCATCAACCAGGAATGCCTGTTGTCTATCAGTGAGGATCGAGTGACATTATCCACTGGAGTGAGTCACCGCTTATTCTGTAGTACTGAAGTCCAAGAAGATTATATCAACTTGGCTGCGCTGCTGATGTCAATTGGGTGCTTGTTGATAAACCCTGCCGGAAGCCATGCTGTGCATCAGTGAGGATATTATTCACTGCAACATGCTTCGATCGACACATGGCTCAGGATGATGTGTTCCATTACTTTGCAGCAGACGCAGGTAAGTGAGATTGGTCTGTACGGTAGTTGGAGGGGTCACACTTTTCTCCCGACTTGTGTATTGGGGTAACCAGTGCTTGCTTTCATTGGGCTGGAACTGTTGTAGCTTTGTTGGAAAAGGAACAGTGGAGAAGCAATCTCATGAGCTACCAGCTTTAAGAGCTTGGGTGGAAGTTCGTCAGGTCCGCTGGTCATTGAAGGGTCCAGTTGTTGGAGGCATTCAGTTTCTCAACACCAGTCCTGTGAACGTGCAGGTGACCAATAGTTGGGAAAGAAAAAGGTCCTTTCTGTACAAGAGGGTGGGGCTGTCTAGACGTCTCCTATAATTTAGAATTTTACATATTAAAGGAAACCTAAACCCAAAGAATAAGTGTAGGTATTCTGAAAAATGCGATGTATTCCTGCCATTTGATGTACAATATTCCTTACGAAAATGTACAAGATATATATATATATATATATACATATAAATGAAGATATTCCTGGCATGATGTGATGCCTTTCAGCATGACATGGGCGCAGCCATTTTCTTAAAAATGTGACGTATCTGTTGAAGTTGTACATGTATCATGCACCAAGCTTTAGTTGGAAGAAAAAAAATGAAAAGAAATAATAACTGAGATGATAGAAATTATATTAGGTGAAAAATAAATAACAGGGGCACAATTGTAACAAATTCATTTATACAATGTAAATACTACACTATAGCAGTTGACAAATCTATTTCATTTATAGGAAACCTTCGCCCCAAGAGCACTGACTAATTTATGCAATTTGCGTTCTGGCAATTATAGTACAAAGGATAATAGCAGGTGAATGAAATGCTTCATCACCACACACATCTGGGAAAGAAGCATCCATAAATTTGAATACATTTACTTGATAAACGACTTCGAATAGTACGTCACATTATCAAGAAAATGGCGATGCCCATGTCGTGCTGAGAAACTGTACTTTATTTTTGCTTTACACCTCTCTCATACACTTTGGTGTGGAATCTTGTAGATGTATGGGTAATAACATAATAAATCTCTCATAATAAGTAAAGTTATTACTTGGGGTTCGGTTTCCTTTAATGTACAAAAAACAAATTTTAATGGACAAGCATCATTGGACCAGTACGCACTGTAAAAACTGACAGCATTTCTAGTTATGAGGTCAAAGGTAACTGGTTAATTGCAAAAATTTGTTGGTTTGTTTGTTTTACCTGACTACTTAAAGAAAGCGTGTTCCGGAATATGCTTGTACCGGTAAGTAAGCAACCAGAAGATTTTGTTAATTAAGATGTTAAAATCCCTTTTTCTTGTTTTTTTAATGATGTTCATTTCTGTGAATTGTTTAAACCAGAAAGTAGAAAACACAATATATTACCAAGATGGTGAACAAGGATTGTTTCAAAGCTATGCATTAATTGTTATTCCATTTCAAACATGCTATTATAACGTCATAAAATTTCAAATGAAAAAAAAAAAAATCGAAAAATTTAACATATTAATTTCATAGGAAGGATGCTGACAAACTTCATCTTTTCTATTCAACATGAATCAATAAAAAATGTAAAAGGTCTTCATCATTATTGGGATTTTGTTTTGTTTGAAGGGGGGGGGGGGTGGGGCCAAAATACTTATATATAACGTCATAAAATTTCAAATGAAAAAAAAAAAATCGAAAAATTCAACATATTTATTTCATAGGAAGGATGCAGACAAACTTCATCTTTTCTATTCAACATGAATCAATAAAAAATGTAAAAGGTCTTCATCATTATTGGGATTTTTGTTTTGTTTAAAGGGGGGGGGGGGTGGGGCCAAAATACTTATTCCTTTTTTTAAACCTAGTGTGTTGATTCTGATGTAAAACTGTGACATGTATCCCTAATTAGCCTGTATTACTATGGGATCAGGTGATCTATAACTATAGGAACGTGTGGTCAGGGTCAAAATTAGCCATAGCATAAAGATTTTACATTTTAAAGGCCCCCAATATTGGCAGTCTTACTGTGGAGTCATTTTTACTTAAGCAATAATCCTACAGTTAGCAATTAAATTATTCATACCGTAGCCAAATTGAAGTATGTGAAAAATTGAGTTGTCCCTATGTCTTTTGAGATTGTGACATATTAAAGCTTAGTTTAAACATATTTGTGGCTTACACCCAGTAAATAAGATTGATTGATCGATCTGTAATTGAAAAACAAGTCAGAAAAAATCTTGGAACCAGCGGGATTTGAACCTGCCATCTACTGCTTGCTGGGCAGCGACTCTATCACCAGGCCATCACTGGTCCATGGCACAGTCACGATGAACTAGAAACAAATACCCAAGCTCTCCTGATTCACTCTGACTTGTTAATATTCATTAGTCCGCCATAGGACAATAACTTTTTTAAATGTAATGCTTCCTGGGAGAAATTTCAATAGTTTAAACATATTTGTGGCTTACACCCAGTAAATAAGATCGATTGATCGATCTGTAATTGAAAAACAAGTCAGAAAAAAAAATATTAAAGCTTATATATAAAAGTATTCAACAAAGGCCCTAATTCAGCCAGTCCACCTTTAGTGCTGAGAATTAGCGTGTAATTTCCTATCTGTGTACATGCAGGGGCAGTTAATGCGTGCGTGTAAACGTGTACACGACTATGAAATTTACCAAAAACAAAAACAGTATTTCAGCCACGTAAGCAATCCAGCATACATGGCTGCCGAATTTTACGACTTCATTAAAATGCGATCCTTATGATAAATACTGATTTTACAACTTCTCATTCAATCACAATATTGTCTGCAAAACATTATTTTTCATTTTGATTACTAGCTTCCTCCCATGAGTATTGTACCCAATGCTGCAAAGGTTTGCAGTATTATCTTTTATATACTAAAACAAAAGGATGATGGAAACCAGTGTGCATTCACGCTTAGGGAAAACGTTGCACATGCGTCGGAACAAGGATTTTCTTGAAAAAGCTGTTACTGTTGAAACATTACTGCACACGAAACCATCGTGCTCATGGGGAAAGTCAGACTGCAATGATTGGCATTGTTTGCATGAAGACAAGAGAAGAGACTCAATGGCATAATTGGATCAAAATTGTACAGTGTATGGAAATAATTATTGATTGAAGTAGCATTAGATTTTTAAATCTATTTTTAGACTGATGACGGATATTTTTGTGAAATTTTTTACTTCAGCAATTATAATGCTGAAAAACTTCTTTTCTTCTTGTTTATCCGTATAGTGAATTTTTTACATGTGTAGTGGTGGTTCGTTCGTATACACGGATAAATGTGTACATGGTCCCAGGACTTTATCTAACTTTCATTCTTGATTCAAGAAAAACACACCAACCCCCTCCCCTAATATACAAGAGGTAGGAATGATTTATAGTTTTTGACCGTATATGTTTTCATTTTTTCAGCCTTTGGATTTTCCACGTTGTTGAGGTGCTTGAAACGCAGCAAGAGGATACGTGTACAGAACGGTCATGTGTTCCCTCAGAAGGCCTATGACTCTGTGGCGTTAGACCAGTATAGGACCATTAGGAGGTCCGAGGAGGCTTTTGACGGTCAGGGGTCACCAGCAAGGGCAGCAGGCGATGGAGAAAGGCGGTCTGCTCAGCGCAAACGTTACCCTTGCCTCTGTGAGGTTTGCGGAGTGATTGTCAACTCTGAGGTCTCCTACAGGGACCACATCCGAGGGAAGCGCCATCGGGTCAACATGCTGAAGAAGGTCATCAACTCAAAGAGGTTAATTTTAAGATCATATCTCATATTGTCTCACTGTACTTTTTCCTTCCAACACTGTATATTCTGCCCACCCTTGAATCATTAAAGCGACAGAAATAAAAACAAAAACAGTTTTTAAATCGGCAATGAAAGAGTCAAGATATATACCGGTAGTATAGTATGCATTTTGAAAAGTACTTAGATCCCGGACAGGACCTGCTTTGTCGTTACAATTTTCTCATGTATTAATGTCTTTTAAGTGCTTACTATAATCTCCATTTCCATGTGAAATTGCCAAGGAGAAGAAATTAAAAAAAATTAAATGATTCATATTTTATTATACCTCTTCGGATAGATATAAACCCTATTGCTTTTGAGTACGCGATTTAGATTCTAAATTTTTTTTGTCCATATTTTGATTTGATGCCTACTGACTTTGAATCGAATGTGCAACTATTGAACATGTTGACAAAAAAATCTGACATGCATGCATTTATCGGTAATCCCATAGATGTTAATGCTTCCAAATTCTGCATATGAACATAATAAAGAAATATACAGAAAGACAGGAAGAAGGAAGTCATTGGTAAGGAAATTAATCCCTGTTTTTCGCTCCGGCCACCATCTCTATAAGGAACGACCTAGTTGAAGCCAAGAATGGAGTATCAATCACTACACAATATGATGATGGCAAGGGAAATGTAACAACTCAGATGCACTTGAGGGACATTACGAAGGAAGTGAACTTCAAGATCAAGTCAATCAGGTAAGTACAGTTACAAAACAAAAGTATTTAGCCAAACTATGTTTCATTTGAAGGTTGCAAGCAACCCTCTGCATAAATCTTCAAAGGGGAAGGTCTACCCTGATATACTTTAGTTTTAATTGAAGCAGGAAAATGAGAGAAACAGGTCAGTGAAAGTTTGAGCAAAAACTTGTTAAGAATAAGAAAGTTATGAATTTTGCAGGTGCATCAATCAAACACAAATTGGCAACTCTGTTGCGAACAACTGTATCTTGCGAGGTCTTCTCTCATTTACCCTGAACTAAAAATCTTCAAAAAAAAAGGTATTTTCCTTTAAAGGGATTTGGTAACTTTGTCTCAGATTCTGAAACAAAATCCTGGATTTAGCTCATGCTGCAATGATAATCATAAAATTTTAGGTCAGTCAGGAATCCCAGGACTATTTTTACAATACAATTCTGATTATCAAGATATTTATGATTGGAAATCGAAACCCAATTTTGCGTTTTCGGACTACACTCTATTGGGGAAAATGAGTATGGTAAAACCGGTCATTCAAAGATTTTTACTTTTTTGAGGCACTTCTTGATCATTTTGAAGAGCAATTTTACTACGTAATATTGTATGAAATTACGTGTATGAGAGAGCCCGTTACTGCACATGCGTCAATTACGTTACAGCTTGCAAATGGTGTCTCACTGATTGCCGTTTTCGGTTAATTTATCCTCAAACATCTTCGGACTCATCTTCGAAGTAGCATTTTTTTGACGATAGTTCGACGAAATACCCCTTGTAGCTTCTATTAAACACTCGACGGGGGAACTTAGATACATCTGTAACCCTTGAAGCTTACCCTCCAGATAGAAGGCTCTGTGTTGTAAGATACTTAAAGTACTATTTAAAGAGGACAAAGTCGATCAGAGAAGCTGAACGGAGGTTGTTCATCAGTTATAAGAAACCACACAAATGGGTTTCTTCTCAGACGATATCCCGTTGGTTGAAATATGTTATGAGTTCAGCAGGCATAGACACAGCCAAGTACAAAGCCCACTCTACTAGAGCTGCATCAACATCAGCGGCAAAGAACAGTGACTTACCAGTAGCTCTAAATCAGGCGGGCTGGTCGAATGAAAAGACATTCAGTAAATTCTACAACAAACCGATGGATGGCGGAAGGACCTTTTCTCAAGCCGTCCTAAGTCAGTAACAGGACAAGTTTGTTCTGCTGCTTCATAAAATATATGGTATGCTTTATGGATATAACTGTCTCCTTTTTTGTGGAGCATTTCTATGTTCATGTCTAACCCAGTTGGGTGTCTCTAAATTGTTACGGGCAGCTCTGCTGCATTCCTAGAAGACGACTGGGGTGCTTCAAAATCTCATACACGTAATTTCATACGATATTACGTAGTAAAATATGAAAATTAAACAAGAAATTACCGTTTGAAGTTTAATTAGTATTTTATTAGTAATAGGAGGATGATATTACGTCCCTCCTCACCCTCCCTTGTGCTTCAAACCTTAAGTTTCTATCCACAGTCGCCTTCTATGCTACTAAGATTGATGCATGTGCAGTAACGGGCTCTCTCATACACGTAATATCATCCTCCTATTACTAATAAAATACTAATTAAACTTCAAACGGTAAGTTCTCGTTTACTTTTCATATATTTGCAGGGTTTCGATATTACACCATATCACAGACACTAATAACATGTAAGGGCCGTGCATCTTAGATTTTATATTGTTAAACGATGCCTTTAAAAAAATTACTATCATATTCACCCTAAATATAATTATTGCAAATATTTTGTTTGTATACACCCCTGTATGAAACAAGTCTATTCTATCATCAATAAATTAGGAAATGAAAGTTTATGAAACTGTCTACAGAGCAAATTTGAGAGGGTCTTGCAAGATACCCGGTAAGTCAGTGTTGCCAATTTGTGTTTAGCCTAACTAGGTTCCTTTTATAATATGCTTCTATACAATCCCTGTCTGAAACTAGTCTATTCCATCATAACTAAGCAAATAAAAGTTTATGAAATTTTCTATACAGAGCAAATTGGAGAGCTTTTGTAAGATACGTCACATTGTTGCAAATTTGTGTTTTCCTGATGACAGCTGCAAAAATAGCTTTCCTGTTTTTAATGGGATATTGCTCAAACCTTCACATGTTTGTTTCTCTCATTTTTCTGCTTTTATTAAAACCAACTCAATATATGGATTGACTTCCACTTTACAATTACTCTATAAGAATGGCAGACAACAATTGAAATACATTTGGCAACTTTTGAATAAACTACATTTAGAAGTACAGGTTGTACGAAGAAAAATATCTGTAGCTTAGAGCACAGAGACCCTTTTAAAGGGATCGAGTCACTCGTCAGTTTTCATGTGCAGAAGGCCATAATTCGCTGACACCAGACTTGGTGGATACAGATCATTAACGTGTGTACAGGTACTATAGGTGTGCATACAGCGAACGTGTACTGTTACAACACAAAAAGATAATAAAGAATGCATGAATCTGATTCTTTTTTGACATTGCATGTTTTTGTTATTTCTTACACAGTGACAGGGAGGTAGCTCTGATCTCTATAGTTCTACTAAGTGCAAGACCTCGCCCTGAGTTCAAGGTCAAAGATGAACATAATGTGTTTGACGGGATCAATACATTTAAGATGCCTTCGGGTAAGTTGCTACAGCAAATGTTACTATAAACTCAGGACATGACTGTTTTTGTCTTGATCTGTTGTAAATTGAAATTTGTAATTTATTTACTTTGTGTACCTATTTTCTTTGATAGTGCTTAAGGGGATAACGTAGATAAGTATTTATACTTTTGTTATCCCTCCACCTAGTTTGATTGTACATGTATCATTTTGTATACTTTTATTTCTTGTTTTTGTGGAAATAAATTCAATTCAATTCAAATTCAATTTGTTGTGTTTGGTTTTATTCATCTTGTAGATGCCAGCACATTCAAACAAGTATGTAATTTAGTATAATTTTTGTTTCCCTTAAATATGGTTTTTCATTGAAACTGATCCTGTACATAAAGACCACCTGCCTATAAAAACCACTTTTCATGTTTCCCTTGAGCAACCCTTATATATACAGGTTTCACTGTATATGATTTTATTCTTTTGCTGTAACATATTTCTTGTTCAGTCCAGCTGACATAATGCATGTGAACAAACGCATAGTTTGTGCTTTCTTGTAACCTGTGTTACAAAACAATGAAGCTACACTTTCCTTGTTAATAAGAACAATCATTTATTTTATTTTTCCAACCCAATCCAAGGATCTGAATACACAGTGCAGCTGTCATGTACCAATGCCTCTAATCTGGGAAGACTTGATAGCCCTGTTGCCTTCACTTTTCGTCTAGAAGATACCAGAGATGTAAGAGAAGTTACCCTTTCTTTGAGTCCATCCTCTCCCTCTCCTTTCTTTATTCTAGCATTTATTGTTGTTTAAAAAAACTAGATGGAACTTCGACTGCACGCAGTCGAAAATGATGCCCGATCCGTCATAGAGCAATTTTACAAACCAAAACAGAAGAAATTTTTCAAATTCAAGTTCAATTGTAATCCATTAACAGGTTCTCAGAATATCGTGATTACAAACAATTTCTCATATACATATATGACCCTTTGATCTTTGACCTCATGACCCTAAAATCTACTCAGTTCATTGGCTCTGCAAGATGTCCCGAGTTAAATAGTAATCCATGTGTCAGTTCTAATGAGAATGCGTTCACAAGCTATTTTTGCATACATAATGTGCGCTGTGACCTTTGACCTTTGACCTCGTGACGCCAAAATTTAATCAGTTCATCGGCTCTGCAAGTAACATACATGACCTAAGTTTGGCAGGAATCCATCTATCGGTTCTTGAGATAACGCGATCACGAACTGTTTTTGCATACATAATGAGCCCTGTGACCTTTGACCTTTGACCTCGTGACCCCAAAATCTAATCAGTTCATTGGCTCTGCAAGATACATACATGACCAAAATTTGGCAGGAATCCATCAATCGGTTCTTCAGATAATGCGATCACGAGCTGTTTGTGCATACATAATGAGCCCTGTGACCTTTGACCTTTGACCTCGTGACCCCAAAATCTAATCAGTTCATTGGATCTGCAAGATACATACATGAACAAAGTTTGGCAGGAATCCATCAATCGGTTCTTCAGATAACGCGATCACGAGAACGGGACGTACGTACGTATACAGACGTACGTACGGACGGACGGACAACCCGAAAACAGCTCAGTAACTGCAGAATAGACAAAGGTTTTCATTACAATAATTCTCAGATACTCAGATACAGTGCAAATCAGCCAATAGCATAGTTTCTGAACAATTAACGTATTTAAACCGTATGTGCATATTTTCGAGCAAATGTTGCGCTTATTTCATGGGCACTTGCTCTTCCTACTAATAACCTTCTTAGGCAAATTAATGTGTATTGGAAATGTAGGTTTGCTTCATGGAGCAGCAAGTTCTTGCTCAGCTAATTATCGTGTTGGCAAGAATGACACCCCTTCATGGAGTATATGTGTGTTCTGTAGTAAAAACGAAAGAGATCCGTTGGCTTTCTCTACTGTCAGTCTAATTGAACTCCAATTTAAAAAACAATATAGGTGCGCAATGAGCTCCTATTTTGGTGTCTATAGATTCATTTTCATTTTTCTCTATTCACAGAAAACTTTTTATGAAAATATCAATCATGATTTTTTTAATTTGTTTACAGATTTTCAAGATCTTGCGGTTTGTTTCTGTGTTTGTTGTGAGTGATGTCAACGAAGATCTCCCACCTTCCAAACCGTACACCAATCCTCCAAGGTTTGCTGCAAAGATGAAGAGAGGAGAGATCGTAAACGGAATTGAACTCTCAGGGTATGTATTTATATTTTTCATTACTTTCCATTTAGATCCCATCTGCCCCATATATGACACTGACCCCTTTAATATGATGAAATATGTTTGGGTTAGATTTTGGAGACTATATTAATTGAAAAGGTACTCCTTATTGTTGTTGAGAGCTCTATCAGCAAACAATATGTCTGCAGATAAGTAGTGGATTCTGCATTTAAGTGAAAGGACAGGTTAAATATTTTGATTTTGCAGCAGTCACTTTTATTACCGTATTTGCCGGCGAAAAGGCCGCACCGCCGCATAGGCCGCACCCCCAACTTTGACATTTCGTAGAGAAAAAAAAGGAAAAAAATTTTTTCCTGTAGAACTCTATTTTTCCTACAAACTAATACCGAAATTGTCAATCATTTTATAAATTTACAGGAAGTTTACCTAAAAAATGATCATAATTTAGCAAATCTTCATCGATTTTTAAGCTTACTGTATTGCAGGCAGATTAGCACATTCATGGGAGTCTAGAGGGCGCTTCGCATGCATTAAGAAACCTGAATGGCCATCTTTAGCTTGCATGCAGTGAGTCGGCACTAATATAATCCTGCCATATCCAAGCTGTGGCCATGGATATCGCAGGGTGGAAGGATGTATCTTTTTTATAATGTTATCCGGTCTTACCCCTATCGTACCGTCAAATGGAGAAAATAAACAAGCTTTTGTATTGTTATTAGAGATCAACCGAGGTTATAGTTTTGTCGCTTTAATTAATTAGATAGTCTCAATTATAATTCAGAATTATCTTACTGAAAAATGAAGAACACCAACGATGTTCTCGATCGTAGTTACGTTCATTTTGCCAGCTGCCGATCTAGCTTCGTCTTGGTAAAAAGCTAGCCTGCCAGCTTCCCATGACGAACGTTTCGAGTCCCGGTAAATTTGCGCGCTGGGAATCTCCGAAGGTGCGTTGGTTTTGTTGGCAACTCCCAGCCCCCTAGCTCCCCACCACGGAGTGTGTGAGCGAGGTATGATTTTGGTTACGTACCTGTGCGCTGTCTAATTAGGACATTTTTACAAGTACGATTTTTAGTACGAGTATCTGGTCACTTTTCTTCTTATTTCTTTGGTTGCACAACGATTAAAAAGATAACTTCTTCAAATTTGCTGCTGATGTGGTTCGATCAGACTAGATCTTGTCCGATGTGTTTTCAAGTCAATTTTGTTAATATATTTTTTTGTATGAAGTTGCCTACAAATAATGACGTGCTGTTTTGACTTGCTATTTTTACTCTTTCGGCGTAAAGGGCCCACCCCGACCTTTTGATATTTTCTCTTCCAAAAATACTGCGGCCTTTCAGGGCGCGACAAACCCGCTTGCCCGACGTCCCGGGGCAACCAAATTGAGCCGTCGGGCAAGTAAATCAAATTATCACTTGCCCGATTCGGGCAAGTGATACTTTTACAGTAATTTCCCAGTGTCCAAGAACTCTACCATTCACCCGTCAACTTCTTACCCGTCGTCAAAATCCAGAAGCAAAAAAGCGATCGTTCCGATTTCGAAAAAACTTCACAGACAGCTAGCCAGCTCAGCTAGCTCAGCGCGCATGCAACAGTGACACTTCAAGCCATGAATGCCGCTCCGCCTCCACGCACGGCCGGCCGTGAGCTAGCTAGAGACAGCTAGCGCGATCGTACCAGCTGCGAGCTTATTCGCGCTCTCTCTCTCTAGCTCTGCAGGCCGCACCGACAGGCCTTTGCTATTCTCTGATTGCCGATTGGTTGAATCACGCCAAATATGACGTCATTATTCTAGGGAAATGAACACGTGCAAATCGGAATGGAATAAACAACAGGGATTTTCTAGTAAGTACAAAAAGTCAAATGTTTGATATTTATTCATAATGACTGTTAATGATTGTGAACATATTATTTAAAACTCGCTGCTCATATAAATCAGATGAATGTTTTTGTCTCGTTTTCAATTTATTGTAACTGCGGTCTCAAGATCCGACCGAGCGAGTCATTTTGATAATAGTATCGAGACCCCCAGAATATAAGCCGTTGTTGTTTTGTTTTCATGGTTTTAGCGACGTTGTTTAGTCTAGTTTTCGCATACTTATCCGAGATTTATCGTAAAATATCTTCAATATTATTATTTAGTAAGAATTTACAAATTTTGGCATGATATACATGACTGAATATTAAAAACTTAAACCTGCTTGAACCATTCTACCTTGCCGAGATTCATGTGAATCTGATTATTTATGGAGAATCAATAAAATGCGTTTTTTAAACCTTCAACCATCCTTTGTTGACCATTTTCTTTGACATATTAGGTTATTATTCAGTACAGTTACACTGTACATGTATGTGCATTAATTTGCTATCTAAAACACTAACTTATCATTACGAGATAATAAATGCTTTAACCTCGAGTCCTTTTTCGCTTTAAAGTTTTGGGCAAGTGGAAATATTGTTTGGGCAAGTAAATTGAAAACCCACTTGCCCAACAGGGCAAGTGGTGAAAAAATTCTTGTAGCACCCTGCCTTTACGCCGTCAAAAACGGTGTCTATTCTGTTTTTTTTCTCATTTTTTATGTGATAGCTGTATATGGCTGTCATACTGTATTGGTTAAGTGATCTGTTAGCTCAATCAGCTAGGAAATAAGATATGTAGGACATACATAATGTAAACAGTAAATTTCCCTTCTTTTGAAATGATCTCTGTAATGATGTATGTTCTTTCTTCTTCTCTTTCCCCTCGTAGTTGGGGAGAAAATCCACTGAAGGGTATTCCTCTTGAATTTTTTGATGTTCCGAGGGACCTTCAGCACACAGTAAACAGCAAACAGAACCTTCCCCAACTCAGGTAATACAATGTTGTGTTGTCGCATGCCATGTCAATACACTAGTGGGGCGTTGCAAGAAAGTTGCAAAATTTGCAACTGATATTTGCAATCGCTTGTAATTAAGTCAACTTTCTTGCAACGCTCCACTAGTCTCCTAAATTTCCTAGGATTTTGTTAGGAATAAAGTTTTAACAATTAATCTCCCCTCCTCTCTCTCTTACTAATGGGGCGTTGCAAATGAGATGAGTTGCGATCAATTGCAAATTTGAAATTCGCAATACTTATGCTTGATTTTGGGGATTTGCTCTTGATTTACTTTCTTGCCGGCAACGCCCCATATAGGTCTAGTACGAAATTAAAATAATATGTGGTGTAGCTAATAGATTTGGATAGTAAGTACTCATTGTATAAAGTAACTATGTTACTCTATATGATGAAGGTCTGTCTGCATGACTGAAGCAGTCAATCACAAGAAAAAAATGTGCATTGATTTAGATATTACTTTAAAGCAACTTTTGCTTGTGTGTTTGCAAGAACCCTTCATTTCATCAGTATTTTATAATTTTGTTTTGATATACTTCAAATGAGGTGTTAAATTGAATTATTCACCCTAGTTAAAACCAAAGATAAGAGGCAAGCTCGTAGCTGTTCATCAGTTGGAGGATACATGAATGGCATCTCTTTTTGGAATGAACAAGAAATTGCAAGTAATGGGATTTTAATAACAGAAGATTCATTTAATAGGAATTCCCATTCCTCCCCACTTATTTAAAGGGAAATAAATATATTAGAATTAGACAACAAATCTGACATCCAGGTATTTCTGGCTCTCAAAGTATTTCATGTATATATTGAATTGAGGCAGATTACTTTATCTGTACCCTTTTGTCTCCTTTCACTGCCTGCAGGGATCAACTGAAACAGCCTCTGACAGTAGACAACCATCGAGAGAAGTTCCACAAGCTCCTGTACATAGAGGAGTTACAGATGCAGGTTGATATCAGACGATATGATAAGATAGGTCAGACACTGGCCAAGGACAAACAACCCAACATGCTGAGACTTCATGTAACTATGTTTATAATAATAATGTATGCTGTTCATGTATAGCACATCGCATGTCCAGCCTTGTATAGTAGCACACATCAGATTATGATATAACATTCCATGTGCTTCCAAAGGACTTTGGATGTTGTTACCCTTGCTTTAGCCCTGGGGTCCGTAGTGCTCAGAAAACACTTCTGAAATTGTTATTTGCCTTTGTCTTGGCTATTCAAAGCCCCCTCTCCCCAACAAAAATGGAGAAAAATGGAAAAGGGCCATGTGTCTTCTCAATTTAGTTTTTACCCTGTAGAAAACATTTTTCAACCTCTCCCACCCAAAAGTTTGAGTGTTGCACTATGTGTTGGGAATGGTCACTTTTCTTCTGTCCAAAATGTAATTAAAACAGCATAAACTGCAAGTTATCGAAAGTTCATTTAAGCCACAGTTGTTCAATAACTTGATGGCACAGGTATTTATAAGTAGGTTTTTGTGTTCCTTTTCTTAATAGGTACCTGGTCTTGCCGAGAATCGACCGTCAGTTCTCAGAGGAGATCATCTGTTTGCTAGGTTCAGCGACAAGTCTGATAATAAGAGCTACAAGGGCTACGTGCACAGGGTAGAACAGGAGGATCTGGTCCTGGGATTTCATGGAGAGTAAGACAAGTTCTTTCAATTCAAACTACATCATTTTGCTTAGGGGATAATTGTGATAAGGCCTTAAAAAAAAAAGTTGTAGAGCCCTTTGCGACCGACCCAAAAAATCTTGAAATCTATGGTTAGCTTTTTTTTTTTAGTTTTTTTTTTTTTTTTTAGACCAAAGAGGGAGAAAAAAAAAGTTTAACAAAAAAAAAAGATTTCTGACCGACCGACCGACCGACCCATGTTTTGGCACCTAAAGGGCAATACAAGATCTTTTTTTGTAGGCCTAATCAACATGTTATCCAGCGTACTTTCATTTTTATCCAATTGGATGTTTGTGAAATGGGAGTTTAGAACAAAAGTAGAATATAAAATGTGAAGCAGCAGATGGAACTAGTTGGTACAAAATATAAGGTCATGCTGTTGACTATGTGCTTGCAAATAATTTCCTGTCAGTACCATAGGTCTGTAGTAAACATAGTACAGGTATATATTGATGGTCTGAAACTGCAAGGTAGCCAACTTATTTATGCCATGGTTACTGTTTTTTATAGATTTTAGCAAAATTAGTGAAAGCCAGAAATGGATGTCCAACTCTTCTAAAAGTCACCTTTTTATGCCTACACCCACCGAAGATGGTGCCTGAGGCTATTTTAGCTATTAGACTCGTTATCCTGCTCGTCCGTCCAGCTTTCTAGTAATATCGCGATATCTCTAGAACCACTAGAGATATGAGGCTTAAACTGCTTGATAATATGTATTACCATAAGAAGATGATCTGATCAGATTTTGGGTAAGTTGGTCAAAGGTCACAGAGGTCAATTTCTGACATTACAGGTTGTAACCTTGCTATTGCGATATCTCAAGACCAACTAGAGATACGGGGTTCAAACATAGTGATACTATGTATCATATCATTGGAAGACAATCTGATTAGACATTTGGGAAATAGGTCAATGGTCAAAGGTCATAGAGGTCAATTTCTAAAATTACAGGTTTTATCCTTGTTATCAGGATATATCTTAAGAACCATTGATAGTATATATCACTTTAGAAAGTCTCATTAAGTTAAAGGTAAAGATCAAAGGTCAATTTCTAAACATGGGGCCAGTATTACTATAAGAAGATGATCCAATTAAATTTTGGGGCTAGTAGGTCAAGATCATAGTCGTTGATTGACATTTGATTATAGGCTTTTTATGCCTCCGTTACGAAGTAGCCGGAGGCATTATGTTTTCTGGTTGTCCGTCCGTCCGTCCGTACGTCCCGTTCTCGTGATCGCGTTATCTGAAGAACCGATTGATGGATTCCTGCCAAACTTTGGTCATGTATGTATCTTGCAGAGCCGATGAACTGATTAGATTTTGGGGTCACGAGGTCAAAGGTCAAAGGTCACAGGGCTCATTAAGTATGCAAAAACAGCTCGTGATTGCGTTATCCAAAGAACCGATTGATGGATTCCTGCCAAACTTTGGTCATGTATGTATCTTGCAGAGCCGATGAACTGATTAGATTTTGGGGTCACGAGGTCAAAGGTCAAAGGTCACAGGGCTCATTATGTATGCAAAAACAGCTCGTGATCGCGTTATCCAAAGAACCGATTGATGGATTCCTGCCAAACTTTGGTCATGTATGTATCTTGCAGAGCCGATGAACTGATTATATTTTGGGGTCACGAGGTCAAAGGTCAAAGGTCACAGGGCTCATTATGTATGCAAAAACAGCTCGTGATCGCGTATCCGAAGAACCGATTGATGAATTCCTGCCAAACTTTGGTCATGTATGTATCTTGCAGAGCCGATGAACTGAATAGATTTTGGGGTCACGAGGTCAAAGGTCAAAGGTCACAGGGCGCATTATGTTTGAAAAAACTGCTCTTGATTGCGTTATCTCAAGAACTGATTGAAGGATTCCTGCCAAACTTAGGTCATGTATGTTACTTGCGAAGCCGATGAACTGATTAGATTTTGGGGTCATGAGGTCAAGGTCAAAGGTCATGTGGCTCATTATGTATGCAAAAATAGCTTGTGATCGCATTATCATTAGAACAGATTGATGGATTCCTGCCAAACTTAGATCATGTATATATGCATCTTGCAGAGCCAATGAACCGAGTAGATTCTTTGGTCATGAGGTCAAAGGTCAAAGGTCATGGGCTCATTATGTATGCAAAAATAGCTTGTGAACACATTCTCATTAGAACAGACAGATGGATTAACTCGGGACATCTTGCAGAGCCAATGAACTGAGTAGATGTTAGGGTCATGAGGTCAAATATCAAAGGGTCATATATGTATATGAAAAATTGCTTGTAATCACAATATTCTGAGAACCTGTTAATGGATTACAATTGAACTTGAATTTGAAAAATTTCTTCTGTTTTGGTTTGTAAATTGCTCTATGACGGAGGCATCATTTCGACTGCGCGCAGTCGAAGTTCCATCTAGTAACGTGATATTCCATCCATTTGCCTTACTTAATTTTGGGCAGAGGCATATTGGAGACGCAGTCACATTTGTCTTGTTTTCCAATGCAGTGGGAAATGGATATGTGAAGTGACCTAATATTTTGCTAGTGCATCTTAATGAATGTGAAATCAAATAACATTTCATGTTTAACCATCCTCCCTCTGGTGTTGCAAAGTTTGTAGTCTGTCTAGGAGTTTCTAATGCCATTCTTTCTGAATGTATTCTGCCTCCCTTTATTCAGCTTCAGGAGCAAGTACATCACAGGTAGGAAGGTTGACATTGAGTTCACCTTCACCCGATTCCCCATACGTAATGAGCATCAAGCCATAGAGACGGCCACAGTAAAGGGCAGGCTTAGTGATGCGCTCTTTCCAGGGACGGGGAGTCAAGTCGGGAGTAAAGGCCAGCTTTCAAAGATTCCAGAACTACAGTAAGTGAATTTGATTCTCATCGTGGGGATGTGTCCATGTATCTGAATGTTGGATTATTTTGTGTTTTCTCCTCGGTTTTGTTCGGTTTGGGTTAGAGAGACAAAAGCAACATGAAAAGATATATTTGTTTTTTGATGTCTTGAATTTGAATAATAAAACTGATTGCTTGAATTCTACTCCTATAAACTTCAAACACTTCTGGTTTGTTAAATGGGTATTTTGGCTTTACGTACCTGCAAAACGTATTTTTAGGTAGTGCACTGTCCATGACTTTCAACTCTCAGCTGTGTTATGATTATAGGCTAGTTTAATATAGGGATGTGTAAGATTACTTTACAAAGAAAAAATGAGTAAAGTGTGAATTTAACTTTTCTTTTATTAAATCTTGACATTCATTACATTACCAATTTAACATTTGACCTTTCTACAGGGCTTTCAAGAGGACCCTCTTTGATCAGAAGTTGTCTGCAAACATGGAACAAGTCCAGGCTGTTCACCAGATTGTGACAGGAACCGCTAGACCAGCTCCGTACCTGGTCTTTGGACCTCCCGGCACAGGGAAGACTGTAACCATCGTGGAGGCTGCAAAGCAGGTAGGTTAATTGATCTGCAGGTGCTACCTCTTACATTTCAACAGTCTTGAAACAATAGGCAATTTTTCATGGCATACATTACCCCCCAAACCAAGGTCCAAGTGTACATAGGCTCCTGCATTATAACATTAAAAAATTTAAACATGGGGCCCATGCATACCAACATTTTAAATTGTAATCCAGACTCAAGTGTAAAAAGGTTAGTATGAAGCCCTGTCAAAAGGATTCCCTGGACATTTTTCTTTTCCTGTAAATTGTATCTACGAAGAAGGCTATGTTTATAAATCTGTTTTGAAATCATTTAAATGAGTGTGAGCTGATATTTTGCCTGCTGCCAGTTTATGTCATGCCTGTATACAATTATTAAAAACTCAAACTATGTAATGGATTATTACATTTGTGCACAATTGGTAAAATATGTCACTATAGCAGGGCTCCATTTCACAAAACTTTTCATCAGTGACAAATGACAGTTTTTGTAATAAGCTAGTGAAATCCTTGCTTGTGTTTGGTTATCAGCTGATTTGTCACTGATTTTTTTCATTTGTCGTTGAAAAAAGGCTTTGTGAAATGGGTCCCAGGTGTGAAAGCATGTAAGAATCTTGCTACAATTCTTGTGTCTCTGGTAGTATATTCAAATAGGTTGAGCATCTATTAGCTATTCAATATGAGAGAGGTTGAGTGCCATCAGTTTCAAATGGAATCGTTGCTAATGAGTAAACTTGACAATATATATTCCACAGGTTTACAAGTTGTTGCCCGAGAGCAGAGTTCTTGTTAGTGCGCCCTCTAACAGTGCAGCTGATTTAGTTGCTGTCCGTCTGCTCAATACAGGAACACCCATTGCTAAGACACACCTTATGAGAATGTATGCTCCCAGCAGACCTCTCATCGCCCTCGATCATGTTCTCAAGGTAGGTCTTACTGTATGACCCTTTGATCTTTGACCTCATGACCCTAAAATCTAATCAGTATCATTGGCTCTGTTTCATGGTGTATTTTTGGTGCTACGAAGATAAAGTATGAAAATAATGTAAATAAATATTTTGAAAGACACACATTAAAGAGATCTTTTATAGGGAATTTTTCCAGACGCCACTTCTTATTTAGATTTTTGACATCTTTACTCATTTACTCAAGATCTTGCGACTGCTGATGGTTGTTTTTTTGTTGTACTGAGCGAGGTGGAAGGATTCGCCGGCAATTCGCTCAAAGATTTGGGTTTTTAAAGAGCTATCACAGTGTATATTAGAGTTTATAGCAACACTATACTGCCGTATTCCCATATACAATGGTAAACCACCTAAAAAAAAACTACCACAGCAATATAAATGAGCCAAGCATAGTGCACCTCACATATTCATATTTAATAAAACAAGGGTAAGTGAGTGTGCTTCAAGGCTATTGTTACATGCAGATACTTTTGTCTCACCTTCATTGCCATTTATTTACATGTATTAACTAGATGTTTAAATTGTTTGCAAGGTTTACTAGGGCTTTGTTTTTGTGCGTGTATGACGAGCCCATATCGTTTTGAATGATTTTGAAAGAACACTTGATGTGTTCATGTAACACCCAGGAGTAATAGATTTGTCTTATATTTCACAGTTGAAAATTTGGAGGATTTATGTCATGAGATCACTGCTTTCACCTGACAAAAATAATGGAGACTAGTCTACTGTGTGTAATTTCCTCTTCAATTTTAATAGTCTAGTTACCTTAATTAATTGTTATTTTATCTTGCATGCCTTGTGTGGTAGGAGAAGAAGTGTTGTAACCTTGGAGCGTATGATCTCTACATACCATCTAAAGAGGAGATCCTGGAAAAGAGAGTTGTCGTCACAACCCTCGTTAATTCAGGAAGGTCAGTGGAAATACTTATTTCATACAAGAGCGAATTATCATTTTGATGGAAATTACATATTTACCCAAATTGATGATTTTTCTGTATGGATACTGATGTGTATTGCTATGTAATACTCTGTCTGTTAAGAGCCAGAAAAGTGTTGACTATGTATGATAATATAAGAGTAAATGCCCTTCTGGCTCCCAGAGGTCGACTTGTACTTGTGAAAAGCCATCTCCTGGTTTATATCTGATCCTGAGATACTTTTGATTTCCTAAAAATGCTGTGAAAAGCTAAAAAGATATCGTATAGAATGTGTTTCTGCCACAAACAAAACAATTTTGTCAAAAAGATTGATGAAAGATGATGGAAAAGTTTATTCCTCCCCGAATCTGTTATAACTTGTAAGACACTCTTGACATAATCACATAATAATTTTTATTGTAATAATTAAGGCTTATAACGCTCATTTGTCTATTACAGGCTGGCACTGGCCCAGTTTCCAGAGAATTTCTTCACCCATGTATTCATTGATGAGGCAGGTCATGCCACCGAGCCAGAAGCCCTGATTGCTTTGGCTGGACTGATAAACCTTGATAACCCTAATGGTGGCCAGATCATCTTGGCTGGTGACCCCAAACAGCTTGGACCTGTGCTCAGGTCACCATTGGCCATTGAGAATGGTCTAGGTAAGTCAGGCTAACTCAGTTTAATGCTCAATAAGGCCAAGACCTCACATCTTTGACAGTCTTGATAAGTCGGTCCCAAAGAGTTCAGTGCTTAATAAGGTCGAGGCCTTACATCTATGACAGTCTTGATAAGTTGGTCCCAAAGAGTTCAGTGCTTGATGAGGTCAAGGCCTTTCATTGAAGATACTCTTGATTAGTTGGTCCCGAAGAGTTCAGTGCTTAATAAGGTTGAGGCCTCACATCTAAGACAGTCTTGATAAGTCAGTCCCAAATAGTTCAGTGCATGATGAGGTCAAGGCCTTTCATCGAAGACAATCTTGATTAGTTGGTCTCGAAGAGTTCAGTGCTAAATAAGGTCGAGGCCTTACATCTATGACAGTCTTGATAAGTTGGTCCCAAAGAGTTCAGTGCTTGCGGTCAAGGCCTTTCATTGAAGACACTCTTGATTAGTTGGTCCTGAAGAGTTCAGTGCTTAATAAGGTTGAGGCCTCACATCTAAGACACTCTTGATAAGTCAGTCCCAAATAGTTCAGTGCATGATGAGGTCAAGGCCTTTCATTGAAGACAGTCTTGATAAGTTGGTCCCAAAGAGTTCAGTGCTAAATAAAGCCAAGGTCTCACATCTATGAGGTCTTGATTAGTCAGTCCCAAAGAGTTCAGTGCTTAATAAGGTCAAGGCCTCACATCTAAGACATTCTCGATAAGTCATTCCCAAAGAGTTCAGTGCTCAATAAGGTTGAGGCCTCACATCTATGACAGTCTTGATAAGTCAGTCCCAAATAGTTCAGTGCATGATGAGGTCAATAAGGCCTTTCATTGAAGACAATCTTGATTAGTTGGTCCTGAAGAGTTCAGTGCTAAATAAGGTTGAGGCCTCACATCCAATGCAGTCTTGATGGCCCGAATTCACAAAGGAGGTTTGTCGACAAACCGAGGCTTATGTACGTCATATGACGCGTTTTTACGCGTTTTTTACAAACCTGGTTTGAAAAAACGTGTCAAAACGCGTCATATGACGCTTAATAAGGTTAAGGCCTCATATCTAAGACAGTCTTGATAAGTCGGTCCTATAGAGTTCATTGCTTGAAGTGGCCAGACTAACATTACAGGTAGCTCATATGTGATAGAAAACACAAACTCAGACAGATCAACGCATAATCTCTAGCAATTAATTGACTTCAATGAGGTGTTGGATGGATTTAAGTCTTTGTGTTTCCCGGAAAGCCCACATTTTCCGAACATTTTGATATCAAATACTCATTTTGGAAAAATATGGAGTTACGTTTTTGTGTCACTGAACCCTCAATTCATATTTTTAAATTCACCAATCAGTCCTATCGTTCCTTGAGAGGCTGATGACCCAGTGCAAAGCCTACAGCCGGAAGGCAGTTGCAGGGACTTCTGAAGCACACTACGATCAGAGGATCTTGACTAAGCTACTGCAGAACTACCGCTCTCACCCGGACATCCTCGAGCTGCCAAACAAGATGTTCTACGACCAGGAGCTCAAGGTCCACGCCAATGAGGTGGTCAGAAACTCGTTCTGCACATGGGACCAACTGCCAAAACAGGTAATGAATTGAGATGCAAATCTCTCCGAGCTTGGAACTAACTATAGTAATTAGGACAGTGTCAAAGAACTATTTTAAAGAAGTGGCCCATTTGATTACTGAGCAGAAGCCTATGATTCCACTTTGCAGAAAGTTGAAATTTACTCAAAGGTGCCGTAACAGATATTGAACTTGTTTATCCAGGGCAAAGGAGTATAGGACTGATACTGTTGTACATCTTGTAGTTTTTTTTGTTTTTTTTTGGACTTGTAATATTTATTGAATAAATCGTGAACATACTTCTAGTTCTGTAAAGTCATTTTACATAATTACGATGACCCTTGTCGAATTTTTTTTATAATAATAATAATAATAATAATAATAATCTTTTAGTCCACTCCAAATTTTATTAAACCGAAATGAAAATTCTTTTTGCCCAATTGATCGTGAGCCCGGCAGCCACTGAGCAGCGCCAGATCGACGTTGCTCTATCCCTTATTGTTGAGCGCCAAACAAGGTAGCAGCAACTCCCATCTTTTAACGTCTTTTGGTATGATGCGGCCGGGGATCGAACCCACGACCTCCCGGTTGTGAGGCGGACGCTCTACTGCCTGAGCCAACACTCCGGTACTGAGCCAACACTCCGGTTTATCATAACTATTGTAACATATCTCTCTCCTCAGGGTTTCCCAATCATCTTCCATGGAGTCGAGGGTCAGGATGAGAGAGAGGAACAGAGTCCATCTTTCTTCAACAAGTCCGAGATTGAGATTGTAGTGGATTATGTGAATAAGGTGATGGACAAGAGAGGTGGGCAGAAGATGAGACAAGAGGACATCGGTGTTATCTCACCATACAGGAAACAGGTAAGAAAATTGAGAGGTGTAGATCATAGTGATTGAGATTGAGATTGTAGTGGATTATGTGAAGAAGGTGATGGATAAGGGAGGAGGACAGAAGATCAAACAAGAGGACATTGGTGTTATCTCACCATTTGTATCTACATTTTTCCAGAATTCATAAAATTTTTGGCTACGGATGGAAGAGATAGAGCCAATATCGTCAAGGTTTTAATACCATGGTGCATCTTTTTTTCCTCACTGTACAGGTTCAGAAGTTACGTCGGGTCCTGGAGAAGCGTCGCTACAGCAACATCAAGGTCGGGTCGGTGGAGGAGTTCCAAGGTCAGGAGAGGACGGTGATCATCATCTCCACCGTCCGTAGCACCAAGGCGGAGTACATTGAGATGGATAGACTTCAAACTCGGCTTCTTGAAGAATCCCAAGGTATGAAGTCTCACCATGAGCAATATGGATTAATCCATTAGCAACTAGAGATTTTGTAAAAATGGCCTACTCAAGATGTTGCAATATTGCTCTCATTTTGATATTGTTCTGAACAATATGAAACATGCGCTATTTTTCTATGCAGAATCGTAAGGATTACGCATGTTTAAAATTACCACAGGGTTTTTTGCGGTTTAGTTGCTAAAGGGTTGACAGAATTGATACATAAGTGAGTGCTTTAAACAAGATTGTCTAGTGCGGGAAAATTTGTTTTTACATGCATTGATCAATTAGTGTTTGTATTATCTCTAGTGCACAGTCATATACAAGCGAACCACTGATAATTAGTCATTATAGGATTCTACCAGAGTTATATTTCATGCGATATGTGTAGTTTGTGGATGTAGATGTTGTTGTTGTTGTTAATATGGTCATGAAGAATAGTACACTTAACTCTAAGAACAGTGCTTTACCGTGTAGCATACAGGTTATTTGTTCATGTTCTGCAATCAACGGTATACAGGTTTTGTGTATTAACGTATATATGGCATGTGCATCTTGTTTCAGAGGTTCGATGTGGCAGTGACCAGAGCCAAAGCCCTTCTAATCATCGTAGGAAACCCCTTCATGCTCAGCAAAGATGAACACTGGAACCCGTAAGTACATGTAGATCACCATTAAATTAGCTTTTCAGAATAAAAGTAAACCGCACTGGTCAAGGTGTTGGGTTTATAACAAAAGTGATTATTTTGTCTGCATAATATATGATCATATGCAACAAAGAGAACATTATATAAGCCAAAGTGTTTTGTCTGATGATCTGAAAACCACCCAATTGATTTAAAAGTTGAGCACCCTATCACATTACTTTGTGTCTAGGATCGACATATAACGCTTCATCTTCCAGAGCTCTAAAATTCCTTTAATAATTAGAAGAAAAAAACATGAGAAGAGGTGGGGTTGGAAATGGTAAAAATTGTTTCATTCATCAAAATTTGATTGGTTCAATATATTAAAAGAAGACCATAGAATTAAGAAATAAAGGATGTTTTCAATGTAATCACCTTGACCTTACTACCTTTACCTCAGCCAGCAAAAAGAGATATATATTGTTTGATCCCCGACACGGCACTAATGTCCTTTGGCAAGGCATTAATCTACATTTGCCACTCAATACCCAAGAGAGATATGGGGACCTGGTAGGATGACGTTAGTAATTGCCTATGCCCTCACGGTGACCATATGGTAGGAATACTCCCCAGGGTGTGGAGATGGTGCATATTGTGCGTGAATGAATCCGATGACCGGGGCAATGATATCTGTAAAGCAATAGAGACTCGTTATTGATATCAATCAATCATGAGTATTAGTGGTCCACAAACACTTGACTTGATCGTTACTTTTCATTTTGCTAGAATGTTGGAGTTCTGCATCCAGAAAGGAGGCTACACAGGATGTGCTTACAGTTCAGAGGAGAGTGATATGGACTCCCTCGTTCAACTCTTGCAGAAGGCTCATCTGGGAAGTGTACCCACAGGTATTACTAGTTATCTATCGACTTTGGTCTGCAAATGGGACATAGTACCTTAAAGGGAATGTTTAACAATGTTAAATCTGAGATGCATGGCCCTACGTGTAATCAGTGTCTGTGATATGGTGTTATATTGAAGCCCTAAAAAAATTGTGCTTCAAAATGATCAAGAAGTGCCTTAAAAAAGTAAAAACCTTTGAGTGACTGGTTTTACCATACTCATTTACCCCAATAGACTATAGTGTTGTGAAAACCGTTTGGCAAACGCAAAATTTGATTTTGATTTTCAATCATAAATATCTTGATAATCAGACAGGCGATCGGCTTGTAAAAGTCATCATTATCATTGCAGCATGAGCTAAATCAAGGATTTTTTTAAAGGATCTAAGATAAAGTTACCGGATCCCTTTAATTACCTATTGTAGAGGACTATTCTTCATTGCTTGAAGTAGAAGTGATTTGGAAGCATAGTCACGTTAAAACTTTAATTGATAAGTGTTTTAAGAAGCATGAGCAAAAGAAAATGAAAGTATGTGCCTCTTTATCATTATCCCTTTTTTTGGTCATATTTTTTAATTGCAGTGGAAGAAGCAGAAGAGCAGCTTGGATTCAGTCAAGTTGCTCAGCAGAATGACCCCGAATGGAGAGGTGAAGACTAGAGAAAGAGGTCATCTCCATAACAACAACAAGCCAAAGAATGATTCGCCATTTACTGGTAGAATAGTGAGAGTTGAATGCAGCTGTACAGTGAGGCAGCTATGTTAAAATCTGAATCAGTGTTGTTGGTAGACCAAACAGGCACAGGAGATGCATGAACAAGGCAGTAGCATTGAAGAGACAAGTGTGCAGGAACTTTGTAGAACAATGATTCATACATCTTGTACCAAGGCTCCAAAGAATGGTCAGGTAGAGTAGTAGGAATTGAAGTAAAGAGGAGACAATAAAGCAGCTGTTTTTTTAGATTGTCAATAGAATCTTTTAAATATAATTATACAGACCAATCAGGCACAAAGAATGGGCAGGGAGATGGAGTTAAATGAAAATTTTTGCAATAATTAATAACTTTGATTTGATAGAACAAAAATTGTATACCGATTGATTGACAAGTCATGAAGAAGCTGAATAATAGGATGAAATGTCATGATGCAAGTGCATATTTTGAAATGACCACCCTGGTATGGACAACTCTACAATGAAGATGGGACATTGGAATATGGTATGGTCTCAGCGGATCACTGTTTGACTACAAGAGAACGATCTGTCGATCTAGCAAATGTACTTTCGTTCAGACAATGATCTTACATTTGAATAAATTTGTGCAAGCTAAAAAGTTATGGTTAACCGGTATATAAAAGTCTTGGTAGTAAAAGGATGCATGTGTACTAAATCTTTTAATTCACTTGTGCCCTCTCTGTAGGATATTGTAATTCATACATTTGTCGCATGTCCAATATATTCCATTTAAGATTCTTGCCAGAATAATTCTTGTTGAATAATGTATTTCTTAAAATGTTATATAATCCTTTGATGTGATCAAATATTTTTAATGCATGCACATTTTTACAATTTTATTCTGTGCCATGTTTTCTTTTTTTTAAATCCGCATGCAAAATACAATAGCTAAAAGTTCACTGTAATTTATGTCTTTTAAACCCCAAGTGATGGAAATGGGAAGAAAAATGCATGAAGATTTAATTTGTTTTATTAATATCAGAATAATTCTTGTAATTTTTTTAATAATTTGGTGGGCTCAGCTACCCAATGCGTCTCCCTCCCTGTATGGTTGTGTACTGTGCCATAGTTCGTTTACTTTTAAGTTTTTACACCATTTTGTTTTGGTCATAGGTTATTGCTTGTTTTCTTGTACTTCTTAAAATTCTTCTATAATATTTGTATCTGTAATGTTCTTTTAAATGTCATAATGATTCATTTATATATTGAAGATGCCATGTAACACATTCTTCAAATTGATAAGAATTACTCATAAGTAATAACGCTATAGGAATTTATTGGAAGTTATTTTCTTGTGGTTTGTCCACAATCAAATATTGTATGAAGTTGTAAGTAAATTTAAGAGATAATGTAAGTCTAATTTCACTTGAATTTGAAACTTTGAAAATGTTAGGTTATTTGAAAAACCAGTAACCTCAATAATTTCACGTTTGAATCTATGAGTCCATTCTGAATTTGAATAAATGAGTCTGATCGATCGATCGCAAGGATCATCATGACATAAGTCATAATATTAAGGGATATATAAATATAAATATTTTAGAGGGCCTTTGATGCTTCTATCTACCCTTTTAGACATTGTCGCGATGATGTGTACATGTACATAAATTGATTTTAAAAATGAATAAAATGAATATAGATATAATGTATCATCAGATTAAAAATCACATAATTTTAATGTATTTACACTGAACATTAACAATAAACTATTTCAGACAACTAAGTATCTTGTGCAGTGATTTTAATTCGTATAAACCATTTAACCAGAGGACAGAATTTTTCGAGAGGAAAAGATAGTGATATAATTATTAGATGAACAAGTCTAAATCTAGTACGGTATGTCCCATACATTATATTATGGCATTGTGAACATAAATTTTATCATTTTATTTGATACTTCGTCAATTATATCTCTAGTTGGGCTGTCACCTCAAAACAGTTTATCAGATATACTAAAATCTTAGACAAGTGGTCTGTAACATCTGGGACACCAAAGCTTGGACTGGCCGGGAGGTCATGGTCTGCTCTGCTTCCCCTCCCCCTCAATCGTATAAAACTTAATTCACAAGTATAATACATCATCAATAATATAACGAGCCTTTCACCATCAAATATGGTATGAATATAGTATGAATATTATTAATGTACACACATACATTTCTTTTCGGCCAAATGCCTAAATATAAAAATCATATTTATTATATTACAGCACATCAGTTATCATATTCAAGAAGACCAGTTTCCAGGGACTGCTAGGGAAAAGGAGGTTTGCTCTCCGTCCACCCCCCCCCCAAAAAAAGAAGAAAGTTACACACCATTATTGGACATAACAGGATTTCTCTTTTCAAACTTTCTGCATGGGGTAGTTTGTTCCCCCTCAATGACAGTAATTACTCTTGAGCAAAAGATCTGTGCTGTGGTTGTCCCCTAGTATACTGTAATCGCACTGCTCTACCTTGCCTACAACGATGAATAATGAATCATGTACAAGTTAAAGAGGAAAGATACAGACAATGCAAAGTGCATATAGATAAGATTTGAGTTCTTCTAAATTGTCACCTGTTTTCCCCAGATCTTAGAACTCCCCTCTTGATACCTTCTGGAGTGTGAAAATATTTTTGCACTGGTCATGTGATGTATTTTGTACAGTGCCATGTCTTGGCTTCATCATATACTTTCATCTAATTTGGTATTTTAATTCTCTTCTATATGTATTCTATATCTTTAAAAAATTAATCTAATGCAGATATAAGCATACGCACTACAAAGAAAATGTTTAGAAACTTACAAATAATAAAACAATATTTTTGTTTTACATCCCTAATGGAATATACTTCCAAGAAACATTACTGTAGTGGGGGGGGGGGGGGGGGGGGGGGGGTTGCAATGGTAATCATTTATATTTAATAATCCTGTCAAAAACATGTAATATATAATTCAATATTTCATATATTTCTTTCTTAATTATAATCGATGAAATTAAACAGTTATTCAAAGTTTATATTTGCAATTGTTGCTTTCCCACATTATGTAACCTGAAAATATCTATTGGTACTCTGATAAAACATCAACAATAGTGTCTTGATAGCTCTGTTTGAGATCTTAATGCCAAGTTTGCAATAACTATATAAGTAAACAGAATATCATCTCTCACTCTCTATTCTAACCAAGAACATGGGTGAAAAAATACTGCTTAATATTGATACTGTTTTAAATGTACTTTTTAGGGCACATTTACAAATGGGTTAATATTCCTGCTAGTTTGAGATGCTAGCATCCAAAACAAGATAAGAGGCGATTCATCCCGTCTCCACTGAATGACCCAGCTGTTTTTAAACTAGGCTGGTTCAAATCCCATTTCTGTCACTTGTGGCTCCGACACTATAGATGCGCTTCCTTCATGGTGATTATCAATCTTCTTGTGAGATGCTGAATACCACACCGTGTAAAGTGATTGGTAACCTAGGCAACCGCCCCAATAGCCTCTGATATCTGCTTCTCAAGGGACTGCATCTGGTCAAACATAAACCTGTAAGAAGATAGGGTAACATTTTTTTTGAAATTTCATTTTCTTGAAATCGTACAAATTAAAGATAAAAGTCTGTCGATAGCCTGGAGCCTGGAGGATGTTATCTCATTTACTTTAACAGAGTTAGCACCTTTCTGGCTCTCAAACACAATAACATACAATATCTTAGCAGTAAGGATGAATATTCCTATTACAAATTTGGCCAAGTGAAGATCAGTCAGTTGAGGTACTGGATGTTCCAAATTGAGTCCTTCTTTGTGTCTCACTCATGGCAAAACAGCTTTATATACATGTATAATCCAAGTGACTATTTTCATCCCCTGCCCCCCCCCCCAACCCCCTCTGCAATAGAAATCTTAATATGAACCCTTCACAAATGAAATTGCTGAGAGAAATGAATCATAGATACTTCGTTCTCTAAACAAGTGTAAAACTGCACCTGTTATGATCGTTGGGTCCATCATCATCATCTTCATCTTGGTCCTTGCTCGCATCTTCAGAAGGTTGGAGTTTATCCATCTGTAGTTTCACAGCTGTGAGACATTCTTTGATGCCACACCCTCGACCTCCTCCTCCTCTTCTCTTATCTTGACTCAATGGATGTAGGATGTGTAAGGCTGCTAGGAGGGCTGGGTAGGTCTGTAAGGCACCCACTGATACACATCGCTCAAGCTCATACACGAACGACCTGTAAGAAAACAAACAGATCTTACAAGGAACAGTTGTCATCCATACATGAAGTTTGGATTCTCTCATTCTTTGTCGGACCACCACTAAATAGGCAATTTTAATAGTGATGAATGAATTTCAGGAAGGTTTGTTCCACATTTAACATTTTTTCACATTTCTTGTACAGCACCTACTTCGCATCATTCTAATGGACTGAATCAATCCTACTACTCAGAGATACCCTGACAAAATTAAACAGGTTCCAGAGGGGTGGAAAGTTATTTCAGAGTGCCAGTCACAAAAAAAACACAAAAAAAACAAGTCTTTGACTTGCAGATGCAATTGCCGATTGCAACATTTTCCCCCTCTTAAAAAACTGATTGAATTCAAAGTTTCTTGGTAACCTACTAACCTGAGCAGCTCCTTGTTACTGGACACCACACCAACCAAGAACCCCGATACGAAAGGCAGATCTCCCGATGACTGAGCCGCATCCAATGTTCCTTCTGACTTGGCTACCGTGTTCGTCATCTCCCCAACACAGGCAGCCATGCTGGATGCCAGGACATCGTCATGGAAACGAACGTTGGATTTGCTGCTGTTTCTGAGGATGTCGGATACGGCTGGCTTGATGCTGGATAATGTCTGTGGGACAAAAGAGAGTCCTTCAAGTTTTCTGACATACCTCCCAATAAGTATTTGTCAAAGAAAGACTTTACAATAAATAGTGAGGAGCATGAGGAATTTACAGTTACCGTACTATTCATGATTCAATGTTGACTTTGATACTTTCACGGTTTTGCTGGTACAATACAGGAGAAATCACAAATTGTATAATTCTACTTCTCATATGAGGGGGGGGGGGGGGGAACTATACCCTGCTGGGCCATAAACTCTATCACCAGTTATGTCTAGACGTGCCCCTCCCCTATTCATAAAGCACATGACAGGAAACAATGGAATACACTATCCCTTAGAGAAGCCATTAAATAAGGTCTTCTGTAAACTTCTAAATGAGAGTCTTGTCATATGCATGTTATGAAGCCACACCACTTCTTGAAATTTTTACGGTGTAAACTTGGTCTATTGGTATACATATATACATACATATTGATATTTATATAGCGCCTTTACATAAACATGCTCAAAGCGCTTTACATCAGTAAATAAACAGAATAATTATTTTGCTCTCTGAGTGCATACACTGTATATGTGTTGTGTAAAGTTGGTAAGGTAATTAAAAAAAGTTGTGCACCACATGAACCAAGTCTGGTTCATACAGTACACAACCCGGACACATCCCACACAACGCCTTGTAAAAAATAATTACAAAGAAAAAAATAAGTTGGGAGGAGAGACATGAGGGTCACTATGATTATATTTGTTTTTCCCCTCCAAGTCACCAGAAGGCTGATGAACAGTTACTACATAATATCCAATATCTTATGATCGACTATCACTATACCTGTTGTATTTGAGTGGTATCCTTTTCTTCCTGACTGACCGTCGTACCTACAGCTTTGATAAACTTGGTAAAGAGGTCTGCTACCAGGTCCTGCTGCTTGGTATCAACGACTGATCCTCCGCGTCCAAGGTGGCACATAACTTTGGCCACTAGAGGGACAAACTCCACATTATCCTCTGTCAAATAAACATATGATAATGTTAATGAAATAGTGCTGCTGGTTGACGTTTATGACATAAATACAATCAGAAACAGACGTGACCCATTTTTGTAGAAATTTGATACTTGGAGGCTTTATTATGCATGATAGTTGTAATCCTGCTGTATATTACAGGGGTGATAGTGAGCACTAAAAAAAATATAGGTTTTTTGTTTTCCCCTCAACCACGCCCCCCTTGAGTAAAAAAAAAAGAAGAAGATTCGCGGGGGAAAATGGCATCTAACAACATTCCCCCTCTTTCGAGTAAGAAAATTGGGGAAAAAATAGTGCAAAATAGGGAAGAATAGAGAAAATAAGAGTGAAATCGGGAAAATCCGGATAAAATAGGGAAGAAAAAAAAAATTGGTAATTTTTTTTTTTTTTTTTTTTTTTAAATCAGGAAAAAATCGGGAAAAATAAAAAAAAATCGGGAAACCGATTTAAATTGGGTTTTTATCAGGCCTGATATTATGCTATTATTTCAGAGAAATTCTTCTTCCTCTTCCTCAGTTGCAGTAAAGGCCACCGTCAGGTGTATTGTCTACTGATCACCATAGATATAACTGGAAACCTACAGAATTGTCAAAGTCACCCAGCTAGTAACCTAAAAGAAATAAGTGATGCTAGAGCCATGATGAGTATGATTAAAGAATACTGTTTGGTCAAATCAATTTTTAATACATTGTGTTTACCATCTTTAAACCGTTTGTGTACTGCTTTGTCTCCAATAATATGGAATTGAAAGGGAAAACATTATTATTACCTGTTTTGAGAACAAGATGGCAGAAATCAGCAAGATGAGAGCAGAATGAATCCGATCCCAGTCCAAGAGTTACCACGTCACAAGCAAACCGCAGTACAACCTACAACAGAAACAATTTGGGAAAGTGCACAAAAATATGTTGATATTTGCATAAGAAACTCATATAAATTATCAACCAAGATGCCAAACACAACATCATACCCTTAAGACTGTAAAGAGGACCTTCTTAATTTCTACTCAACAGACAACAAAATACCATAACTTATATACAGTATTCAAAGACCACAAGATTAGTCAACTGTGCATATATAAACATCACTTTTATGTTAAAACAGGGGGAAAAAAGTAAATAACAAAATATGAATCCCAAATAATATATCATTTAACCTGCACTTCTAGAATAAAAAAGCATATGCTTTACTTCCAGAAACTTATCCCCAAACATTGATTAACTCTCTCCTTACCATGAGGCAGTCCTTGGCTAGTTTTCTGACCCCTTCATCAGCTTTTGCACTGCACTCTTCCCCTGAGCTCTGGGGCAGGGCAGACAGCAGCTCCCTGTCGCACCAGGCAAGCAACTCATCAAACTGAGCACTAACATGACTTGATTCACTGGCTGTGGGACTACTGGGCTCAGAGTTCTAAAAAGTGGAAAGAAAATCAGTGTTTAAAAAAGATTCAATTCATGATATCTGAATGACAAGTATGATAAATGAATTGACGATGATATGTTATGATAAGCAATTACTTGATGCAATATATAATCTTAAGTAGAAGGAATGTTGAGATGAGTTCTTCAAGCTAAATATGAGAGTTCAAATCATAGCCAGGAACTCAAATCCTTATGGAAACAACCAATCAGACCTATCGCTTTGAAAGAAAAAATATGAGGGAGGCTAGAGGGTATGAAGATTAATGCCTTACTGAAGGGCAGTAGTTTAATGTCTTGATTTTGAACTGAGGACCTCCTGGTTACGACACCTCTGCTCTAAACCACAGAGCCATCAAGCCTCCAATGACCCTGCCAAGATTGATGGTGATTTACAAATACTTTATTTACATGCTCAGAGCCAGAAGGGCGTTAAATTGGATATTTTAATGGAGGGTCATCCTCATTCTTGTACAACAAAGAATATTATCTATGTATACATTAAAAGGTGTATGTGTCCTAGAATTACAAACCTCAAGTGATTGTAGATGAATACTAATCCTGCAGTATCCTTCAATGATGCTAACGAGCATCTCATCTGACATCAGGTCATTCAGGGGTCCAGGGTTCATCAGTCGCTTCTCAATCAAGGGCTGCAAAATGAAAACACAAGAATTCAGTACTTTGCCAGTCTTGAATATTCTGTGCTTTTTTAAAAAACAGAATAGAAAAACCTGTCTATGATTAAATGCCAATTGTGGAACACGCAAAAGTTTTTAAAAAAGCCGACATTCGCATTGGCTGGAATAAAACGTATAAGGCGCTATCTTTTTTTTTTAACGGCTAGTTCAAATATAAATATTAGAAATGGTTATATTTTTGGATATTCTAGCCGTCTTTGAACCGATTTCGATCAAACAAAAATGATTATGTCATTTTAAATATTATGTTCTTTCAAATTTGACACACAGTTTTTTATTATCTCACAAAAAAATATTTTTGGTGTAGTGCCCTCTGCAACAAAACTCAACTCTCCCTTTAATACTTACGAGGATACACTTGAGAATGGTAGCCATTTCTTTGAGTGGTTTCCCCGATGTATCCAGCAGTAGAGTACGGCATGAGTAGTTAGATAGCAACCAGTCTAGGTAAGCCAGGGCCAATCTAGGTTGAGGTTTAAGGGGTTCGTTGAACGTCACCTTCTTCTTCTTCAGCTTACCCGACATCTGAAAAAAATATTATTACAAAATTATGTTCTTACAGATGACATTATCTTATTTACTTGAAGCTAATAGATGTATTAAGTACCGCTAGGCAGGGGTTTGGTGCAGAAAATGAGACTGCGATCACAACAAATTATTTAAAATGAACTATATGGTCTAACACACATGAACTAACAATGATGATAAAATATTAATCAGTGTTTCAACCTTTCAAAGGTGTTTTGAAATACTCTTTTGTCAAGTAGACTCAGATCATCATTGGAGCAAAAAAAAAATCTTTTTTTAGACTAATGCTTGTATGTCTGAGATAACATCAAACATCCCAAGAAATAGACAGATCCCTGTGAACCGTACAAACAGGTTGGTCACTGATTAACCCACCTAAAAGCATCATATACAACCTCCATAGTTACCTGATCTTCAGACTCCTCCTCCTCCTCTTCAGATTCCCTATCCTTATCAGTTTGATTGATGGCTGCCTCTAGCCAATCAGAGATGAGCCTGATGACATCATTACCCTTCCCCCATGATACCAGGCATTGAATGAGAGGACTGTAGGCATCAGAGGAAGCCAAGGGGTCCATGCTCTTCAACTTAGACAAACAACTATGGCTGCAGGATAATGCAAGAAGAAAAACAAGTGTGAAAATTCCAACAAAAATCTATGAGCACCTGTGACTAACAATATCTAAACATTCACAGTTGGAAAAGACAGCTGTATATGAAGAGTTTAATTCCAAGAGGAGCTAAATTCATTTTTGTAACTTAAAAAAAAAAAAAAAAATTGTTTACCAGATGTTGTACAGGCGTCTATGGAAAAGTGATATTACAAGGTGCTTTTTTTCATGATTGCTCCCAAAATGTAGGTAAATAATTTGTTTGAAAGACGGGCGCTTAAGTGAACAATGTTCTGATATCAATATTCAATTTTCATCAAAAGTGGATTTAGCTCCTTTTGGAATTAAGCTCTTCAAATACAGGCAATTGTGACAAACAATGTCCAAACATTCACAGTCGGAAAATGACAACTGAATAATTATATGGTCACATTACAAAGAACAAGAGATAGAAGTAGAAAAAAAGTAGACAATGTCTGGAAACAGACAAGGCACCTAGCATGCAATATATTGGTCTTTCCAAGAGACCATCTACAACCTAACTTAGAGCCCGGATCATCTCCAAATATTGGATGATCAAAATTTATTCATGAAGTACTATTTGAAAAGGTGCAAGTAAATCTGGATTGGATCATCTTCACACAATTTAAAATATTCATACATGCACATAGGAGACACTAGGATCTATTGCAAACAAAATGTGTTGTAGATCAGAAAACCAAGTTAATTAGTTTCCATGGTGATGTTCTAGAAAGTCTGCGCTCACTAGGAGAAAGAAATATTTAGGTAATCTAGATGTGACCTTCTGATATTACATAATTATAATTGGCAGTTGATTTTCTGTAACAACTTTTAAGATGTCCATGGTGACTCTAGTAGTCAGACTATCTTAAGCACATACCTAAAAGCTGGAATTGATGATGCAGGAAGAAAGGAAACAAGTATCAGAACAGCAGACAGAGATCTCCCATCCTATGGAAAAAACAAGACAGAAAATATGAATGGTAATACAAACATACTAAAAAATTACTCAATAAATTAATGGAAATTTAGAAAACAAATTCCCATTCCCAAATTCAAGCAGTAATAACTCCAGGATTGGTACTTTCAATACTGCAAAAATTGGAACAAAACCTGAGCACCAATTTAATAGACAGCTAACCAATCATATAGAGAGCAACAATGCAAAGGTGACGTTCCTTGATCTTATGGCAGAAGCCTTCCAGTATATCCTTGCCCTTGCTTCAATGGCAGAGGCTTAGTAAAGATATTAGTCATGCGTATCAAGAATTTAAAAATTAACATTTACCTTGAAAGTAGCGATAAATCTGGGTAGATCTTTACCGAATCGGTGAACAAGCTTCTGCATGATTGTCTGATTCACAGGCTAGAATGGGAAGACAACAACAAAGAAAAAATGAATGAATTAATACAAAATAAATAAATTGTACATATTTTGGACAGAGAGGTATTCATATAGACCAATCTTGTATGTATACATCAACAAAAATTGCTTAATACAGTTCTTTTTTAAAACCCATTTTGAATTCATTAATCATCTATGTGCAACATCATTTTAACAAGACAACATAAGATTAAATGCATGAAAAAAGAATGTGAGGTTTATATGATCTCCTTAATTTTACAGCAAATATGCTATGCAAATACATGTAAACTACAATATCGACCTTAACCAAATCCAGATAATTAAACACATTAAACCGAGACTAAGATTCATATTACTGTCTCATGGACTTACTTTCGCTAGTTGCTGAGCAATACCAGTCCACAGTATAGCAATAATCTCCAGCATCCCGTCAATAACATCGGTATCTTTGAGAGAGAGGCCCTCCTTCTCTTCCTCCTCTTCTTCCTCTGTAGAGGCATCCCCGCCTGCTGACACCAAGGAGTTATGATGCTCTTCCTGGTTGACACAGCCTCGCACACAGCGGGATAGGAGCAACATGAAATCAGCTGCAAGTACAAGTATGATAAAGAAATCACAAGATATAGTTGGTTGCCTTTTTTTTCGGGTTGCATATCATAATGTAGTTGAATGATCCTGACATAGGAGGTTTATCAAAGCATACAGGTTATATCGCATTATTTAATCTTCATCATGCACTTTCAAGAAGTTAAATTAAAACATGCTATTATTGCAGATTTGACATTATCTGCACCATGGAGAAGAACAGGAGGCATTGTTTGCAAGAGTGCAAAAATCGACTTGCGCCAAAGTGGCTAATGTGATGCTTGAATAAAACAATTGGGATTTGGGTATTAATTAGGTCTTTGCAAATCCAAATAACATCCCTAACAAAATAAATTATGCCACACATATCAAATATCAAATATCAAATATCAACGAACATTTGTGCGTGTGTGTGTGTGACTTTGCTTCTTATTAAAGCACAATGTGATCTTAAGAATGTGAATCGGGACAAACCTGCAGTGTCGACAGACATGTGCTTATGAGCATACTGGTAGAAAACCCTTGCTGCCCCTCCATTCATGCAGATAAGGGCCATGACACGTTCTATCTGAACGCTAGCATCACGATCCGTCGGCTGGAAGGACTTGAAGAGCAGCTGGACAAGCCTACGAGATACGGGAGGCGAATCCATCTCCAGTCTAGCCAACAGGTCTTCCACTGGGACAATACTCCATACCTAGAGGAGGTGATAGAATGGATTACATACATGACTGCCTGGGGTGACAATAATAATAATAATACAGCATTTGTTATGCGCCATCGATCTAGTAAACTATTCTGAGGCGCAGAGGGATAGAATTAGAATGAGTTACATAGAGAATTGAGAAGAGGATATATATATTTTTTTTAAATGCGTAGATGTATATTCAACGTATAATTAACTAAAAAATAACATGCGAACATATGTGACTTTAGATTTTTTTTAAATGTTTCTAGGGATTCTAATATAGTATGAAAGAATCATACTTTCAAGTAGGATCTTCTTGTAGACCAAAAGAACGGCAAGTTCAATTAAACTTTTCATACTAAAGAACATTCAAGCAACTTTTATGAACTCTTAATAGAAACACGATGTGTGTTTGGTACATCAATACCTCACATTAAAAATGATCATTATTTGGCCTCTTCTATTGAGATGAATGCAGAATAAAAGGCAGTTAACAATCTGCTAAATGGTATTCTTCTCAAACAAAAATTTTGTAATCAGAATTCAGAAAAGCTGCTTAACATTTGGGGATGGATCCATGGCTCACCTTGATTGTCTTGAGACCTTTGACCTTTAACAGGAGGTCAACAAATGCAAGGATGACCTTCTCCGAGGTGTCATGAATGAAGCTCTTGAGAGATGGAAGCAAGTTCTTGAGCAGAGGATGGCTCAGAGGGTTGTCAATCACAAACATCAAACCCTGCACAGAATTCAAAATGAAAATTTAAACAAGGGAAACGCTCTCTGCGGTCTCGCCTGCATCAGGCATTTTGATATGATGAAAAATTGAGGTTGAGACATTATTTCTGGGCAGGATGCATGGCCCATTAGCAGGCTCCCCAAAATAAAATCTTTTGAATATAATCAGAATATTGAAGTGAATATTGACTAAGAATCATCAGATGAATTATTTACTATTATTTGTACCAAGATTGATAACTTTCATGAAATATGAACAAATAACAAAAATTGATTTATAAAAGCTCATATTAAGTTGTGAACATAATCCAAGTCTACTGACCTAAAATGACCTTTAACCTTGACTTTGTGACCTGGAATTTGTGTCACATGATCGGGGATACTTGATAACCATTTAGTCCAAGGTTTCATTGAAAAAGAACTTATACTTTCAAAATTATATATATATGTTTTTTTTTAAAGTTCCACATTCCCCATCAAAGAAACAGGCCAAGATGAATTGGCAATTTCAACAAACCTGGTTTCAATTCGCTTCACATTTACACATTGTGGATACATATTCTTACAGAACATGAATTCACACAAATCACATGTAGAATGCATAAGAGAGATCTAGGCCCTGTATTATAAAGAGTTGCCTTTGATTCAAACCAATCACAACTGTGTACTTAAGAGATAGGAGTTGCGATTCATTTTAAGTTCCGATTGAGTATAATCAATCGCAACTCTTTACAAGACGGACCCAGATGTACCAAAATGCAATAACAAAATTTATTTAGTCATAAATGGATACCTTTTGCTTCCAGCAACAAAACCAAATCAAAATAAAAAGTATTGAGGCAAAATATAAGAAAGACAAATAACGAAAACACTTCCACTTTTTTAAAATAGTATATTATCTACTAAACAGCCTGGTCTTACAGTAAATAGGCATCCTACGCTACATTATCACACCTTGAACACAGAAACTCTGACATCACTAGAGCTTGCATCAAAGGCCATGTCCTGGATCAGTTTGGATAGGAAGGTGGTCAAGACATGGGCCGGAATCAGCTCCCAGAACATTCCCAAGATCCTACAGACTCCTTGGACACCGGTCACTCTCAACACTGGACATGGGTCTTGCAGGAAACCCTTTATAAATACAGAAAATTAAGACATGGTCAAGACATGGGCCGGAATCAGTTCCCAGAACATTCCTAAGATCCTACAGACTCCTTGGACACCGGTCACTCTCAACACTGGACATGGGTCTTGCAGGAAACCCTTTATAAACACAGAAAATTAAGACATGGTCAGGATCCTACAGACTCCTTTGACACCGGTCACTCTCAACAATGGACATGGGTAGTGGGTTATGCAGGAAAACCTTTATAAATGCAGACAAATTTAAGAAATGTGAATGGTTAAAATACCCTCTGACCATCTACTGAAATGTCACATATAGATCATATGTGCTGCATGGAAAAGGAATATATAAATAAAATTACTATGCATTGATTATTTAAAAAAAATATTGGAATTCACTTTTTGTTGTTTTTTGTTTTTAGTCATTCATTTTTAATTTAATATATAATTCAATTTAAATTCAAATTTAATTTTCTTATTCAAATGAATTAAATTGGCATTGATGTAATCCTTTGAGTTCATCACATCTTCATTTCTTTTAAATCAGCTTGTCAATGATTCATCCTATAGCAGGACAATAATCCGGTTAGCACAATGAGTATCTTACTTGTAGAATGTCAATCTGTTTCTGTAGGAGTGCATCGGTCTCCTCCTTATTGGCCTCAGGATCCTGGAGAGGGAAAGCATCGATGAGAAGAGCTGCTGCATTGGCTCGTACAGATGCATTAGCAACCTAGAATAATAAAACAATAGTTATATTGTAATGGATTTCTATTTAGTTCTTATAATCAAGCTTTTCAATGCCAAACGACAGTTTAAACTATCTGAGTCATACAAACTGATTCAATTTTCAGATAACCACAAGGTCTGAAAATTTAGGCATAGAGAAAGGAGAGATTCCCCCATGCATAAGAGCTTTTTACTTTCTATCTAATAAGAAAAGGAGGCCGAGGCCGAGGCTGAATTTGAAATTTTGATTCCCCGAAATGACAAATTTAATTTTTTTATTGTAACATTCCTTGTACAGCAGAAAGAGAGGAAGAGAGAGAGAGACCACATAACCACAGGACATACAAATTTTCAACACTGGTTTCTGTACGGTTGTGAAGTAATGAACTTATATTTTTGGAATATCCTGCCTTCATGGTATGTTACTCTACATTGGATTGATGACACCATATAAGCATATTATATTACTGTTATCTCATTTGTCAAGGAGTATGTCACTAAGCAAATTTTTACCTTGAAAGCTCTCCACAGTATAGGTTGATAGAGTTAGCAGCATTGACGACACCATAAAGCATATTATATTACTTTTATCTCATTTGTCATTGAGTATATGTCACTAAGCAAACTATACCTTGAAAGCTCTCCACAGTATAGGTTGATACAGAGTGAGCAGCATGCGGTCTACCCCTTGCTGTCTCTTCTGCTTGGTGAAGTAGCTCAAAAGCTGAATAATAAAATCAACACCAAAGATAAGGAATGATATTATTTGATAACAAGTTGTGTTTGTTATGTTGAGTATCCCATAAAGACAAAATTACAAAACAAAGACTAAGCATTAAAGGGATTGGGTAACTTTGTTTTATATTCTGAAACAAAATCCTGGATTTAGCTCATGCTGCAATGATAATTATAAATCTTTAGGATCACCTGTCTGATTATCAAGATATTTACGATTGGAAATCAAAATCAAATTTTGCAGTTTCCTAACAGTTTTCATAACACTACAGTCTATTGGGGAAAACGAGTATGGTAAAACTGGTCACTCAAAGGTTTTTACTTTTTTGAGGCACTTCATGATCATTTTGAAGCGAATTTTTTTAGGGCTTCAATATTACACCATATCAAAGACACTGATAAGACATAGGGCCATGCATCTCAGATTTAACATTGTTAAACGATGCTTTTAAAACATCACACCCCAGTTTCTTATCAAGACAGAGAAATTGGGTTCTGGAACATCAAAATCTTATGATCATCCTTTAAAGTGCAAGTATATCTGTTTAGCACAATAGACATTTAGTCCAGAATTACTTGAAGTACAGATAAATAAATAGACCTATCGGTGTTCTAATGAGATGTACCTGTCTGAGTGTGAGTGAGAGGTTACGTGTTCCTACACGCCTTGCATGTACAGCACAGTGCATCAAGTCCTGAATACAGTACGTCTCCAGTTTGGCCGTCACAGGGGGTGCAGAGTTCCGCCACGCCTTGAAGTACACCTCTCCGTAATAATTGATCATACTCCTACAGTACCGAGAAGTAAAAAAGAATATATCAAAACACATTCTCCACTTTGTCCCGCCAAACACTTGATTGTTAATGGAATAAACTGTACTAGTCAGTGGTATTTAGGCATACTTATGGTAAAGAGAAATCTACATGAATAATCTATTGAGTGTTTGATCTATTAGCACACAATGTCAATAATAAACCATTTGTTCAAAGACAATATGGGTATTGCAGTACAATTCCTTGTTTTCTTAAGGTTTGGGAAACACCTAAGATGGTAGAACAGAACCTGTAAGAAGTAGTTTGCCTTCACAGGTTGGTATTATTAAAGAATCAATATTCACTGTTGATTTTCACAGATATACCCATTTCTGATCGATTCATCAAGTTTAATGAGATTTAGTTTTTACTGGCTGAGCGAATTTCACAAACATCAAACTAAGCTACCGGTAAATTTGGGCAGGATTGAAGCTGCTTCAGTCAAACCTGCTTTAGTGACCACCTGTTTACAAAGAACACAATTTTTGTTTCCCTTGAAAATGGTTTCTCATTGAAACATGTACTAAAGGAACCTGTCTACAAAGACCACTTTTTGTGTTTCCCTTGGGCGGTCACTATAGACAGGTTTGACTGTATTACCAAGGTGATTGAGGAGAGCTTACTTTGGGCATGATGGAAGTTGGTTCTTGATGGCTGAATGAAGACGCTCCGCAAGATCACTGTCCAGACAGAAGATGAAGCTCAAGAATTTACGCCCCTAAATAAAAAGGACATAATATCTTATTAATTACAATAGATATAAATTGAGAAACAGCCGGAAAATGATTTTTATGTTGTGTAATTGTGCATGATCAATTAAATTGAACTTGAAGTTGATAATGATTTACTGAACGCTTGTCAATAAATAATTGCTTTATTATCAATGAGAAGTATAGGAGCCAAGACAAAACAGTCTATAGTTTATCCTTTGCCTTCATAACATTTAACATTAATGAAATACAAAGAAAACATAGTAGATCAGTATAAACAGCTATTTATAGGTCAATGGGAAAAATAAATAAATTAAGTCTTAAAACTGAACTAAATTCTTGTCTTTGTCACAGGAAGAGACAAAAAAATCCTACACAGTTTGGGCTCTGTTATTTTCAGCAATCTACTCTCTTTACCAAAGAATCTGAAATTATATTCTGAAGTATGAGGCCTCAAATGGGCTGTAAAGGAAGCATGGAAACACCTAAACAAAAATACTGCAGCCCTTCAACATGGGCACATGCAATCAAAGAGACATTTGACCTAGATAATTGTATATTTTGTTGTTGTAGCTATAATGTGAACCTTATATTGAGACCTTAGTGACAGTATAGAGCACGTCGAGAATTCACATTTATCTGTAATTTACCTTCACACAATTCTGTTTCAATAAAAACTCAATTCTTTTCTCTACTGTCTGTCCTGGATATTTAATTTCTTAGTTCTTACTATATTTTGCTTGGGAATTTATGTTTTGCCATTTTTCTTTGTTGTTTGTCAATGTAAATTGTTTTGTTTTACTGTACCATTTCTGGTCCCCAGCATCATAACGATACTGCTGAATATGGGCTATCAAGCCGTTTATTTCATCTTGTAATTCATAAACTCTATTCGTTTTTGCTTTACTGAATGCATGTTGTCTTTTTTATACAGAAAATAAAACAAACAAAGTGTTGATATGTTTCATTGTTAGAAACTTACATCATCATTCTTGAGGAAGGTGGAATTGATGATGCATTGCTCCAGCAACTCTTTTAGTGAAGAACTACTCTCATCAGCCAGGTTGAGTTGGGAGAATGATTCTCTCATGGAGCATAGCAGCTTCACATCCGATACCTGTATGTTCGAACAGATTATAATAATAATGATAATATGTCTTGTCTACCCAGGGTATTAATATTGTTCTCCCTGAGGGACCTGCAATCATATCATTGCAGATGGCTGAGAAACTACATAGATCGCAATAAACTTACATCTGAAATGAGATCATACTGGAATGGAAATTAATGGGATCACATATTTTTAATTTATAGAGCTTTAATTGTATATGCCTTGGCTAGTTTTGTGTGTAATATCCCTCATATAAATAAAAATGTGTCTGTGACAAACTTACCATACCACTTGGTTGAAGTGTTTTCACCAGCAAGTACATAATCGTATTTGGCACTAGTAGCTCTCGCTCAGGTAAATCAGCACTCCACCTGAAAAATCAATTAAGACATATATGAAGAAAGTCACTATTTAATTTATGTTTGACAAAAGATACTGGAAACTTCATTAATATGACTTTACAGGAAATTTAGACTGAAGAAGCTCAGATTCACATTATAATGAAAATTGTTGATAAGCCACAAGGAAAACAGAGTTTGTATATCATCATAATGTCAATAAATGTTTGATATTTTTGAACTGCCATCAATTTGTTTAAGGTGATTATCAGTGTTTATCAATACTACTCATCTTTTATCAGAAATGTTTCTTAATTTCTAAACTATTTTTTTCTTCACTGTAAACAATAGTAGCTATCAGGTCACTACTTGTGTAATCACGATAGTCATGTAGTAACATCATCTCTATCTAAAAGATATGGGAATTTTACATTCCTATTCTTTAAACATCCTTTAAGTTTCATTACTTGCATGAATCGCAGTATAAGAATATTATTTGTCTGCGGTACGATTGTGTAGCAGGCAAATGTTTGTATCATTAATGAATGCATACATAAGTTGAGTTCTGGGCTGTTGCCCCAATGGAATGTAATTTGTATAGGCAGCTCGTACAGGTGTGCGAGCTAATTCTGCCATGGAGACTAGGGAGTGGCATCAATTAGTGTGTAATTGAATCATTCTAGCTTGAACTTTCAATGAGACAACTACCATGAAGCCGGCCGAAGTTGCTGATCTCATGAGCACGAAAATTTGGGAAGCCAGATGGGGCTTCTAAGCCAGCTCGATTCGTTGACTCCCAATAAATCAGGAACTTTTCAGCAGCGTATTAACGACAATCAGAGAGAATTTAGCGATTCTCAAAAAGCGAAAATTGAGGAGATGAATAAGGACGTGTACAAGTTCTACAAACATGGTAATGAGGAACAGTACAAAGTCGATGCTGATAGAAGAGGGGAGAGCTGACAAGGACGATGCCCACATAAAGATTGCCGAAGGTGTTCAAATGCTTGATCATCGTCAAAAATTAATCAAAATTGTGGACAGTTCCAAAGGAGGATGGAACACCGTAGACAAGTATTTGAGGAACAGTTTGGCAGACGACTCGGCTGATGAGAAGAGAATCAATCGAGCTGATTCAAGGGTTCAAAAGAAGAAAAAGGGCAAGGAAGCTTCAAGGAAGAAGTTTAATGTCCGCAAGTTCACCCCTTAACAGTCTAAGGTGTTTACAGGCCGGACAGCTGGTTGGTCCACAAGGGCGGCTGCGGTATTGCTGGACCCAATGTTGTCAGGCTATCCCACAATAATTGAAGTGTGTTATAGTGTTATTTGTTTGTATTGGGAGTCAAGAGGGATGACAGACGAAATAATATGTGTAGTTATAGGACAGACGAGTTGTTAGTCTATTGCCTACTCATAGATTATGTCTTTTATTGAAAGAAACTTACCATGTGTGGCACAATTTTGCAATGTTATGCTGCAGCTTGCTTGCTGAATCAGGAAGGTCGAGAAGAACGCCTGATTGAGAAGAAAGAAAAGACAAGGATTCAATTTTGTTAAAGTTATTCTGATTCAAATAATGGTGTTAGGAAAACAGAATTGGATTAAAAAGAGGAAGGGAATCAGAAATAAGTTTGAGAGGGAGATATTGAGAGAAACAGAAACAGAGGAGAGAGAAAATGAATGAGAGAGTGAGAGGTAGATTGAGGGGCAGAGCAAAAACAGTGGTCAACTTTGATGTATAAAAGATATAACAGCACATTCACAACTGGTGTTGACTTTCGTTACATTTTCAATTCTAGTGAAAAATAATCTGACAAATAAAGCTACTGTTAACTCACCATGTAGATATGATTATTGTTATCATGATGTATGTACAAATTACTTGATAAATAAAGTTGTAAAAGAAAAGAAAAAAAAACTCACCATGTAGAACTGTCATGGTTTCAAGCATCTTGTCCACAATTACAGGTTTCTCTGTGCCGAGGCAGCATGTTCCAACGGTCACAATTCCTTGAAGGCATTTTAGGACAACATCCAACGTTGACTAAACAGAAATGTGAAACAGAAGAATAGATAAGATGGCATTTGTTTTACTGTTTGGAAAAATACAACAGTTAGGATTGAATCCAAGAATTAGAGGGCTGAACAAATTACACATTTGTGACTAAAATCCAAAAAGCCAACAAAAAGATTCCTTCAAGGTTTTTTTACTTGCACAATCAGCAGAGATAAACTGTATAACTGAAATAGAGGGTATCGCCTGCTCGGAGCCAGAAATGTGCTAACTCATAAAACTTTAAACAGGGTTTACACCAAGGCCCCATTTTACAAAACTTTTCATCAGTGACAAATGACAGTTTTTGTTATAAGCTAGTGAAATCCTTGCTTCTAATTGGTTATCAGGAGATTTGTCACTGATTTTTGTCATTGTGATTGAAAAAAGGCTTTGTGAAATGGGTCCCTGATGATATACTCTTTCCAATTTCAAATTTGGACAGGAATGATGACAATACCTGTTCGATAGGGTCAGCAGATGGATTGAGTTTGGCCAGTGTCCTAGCGCAGAGATCGAAGAGTCCGCTCCAAAGCTTCTCATGCTGCTTCCGAGAGACACTCAACAGCATGTCACTGATGTTAAAGTCGTCCGACTTGGATTTCTATGAACAGAGATATAATGATGTAAACAGTCATCAATATTCAATGAAACTGTGTTAGACAAAAACAAATTTGGAATTTTTTTTTTAGAAATCTAGAAAAGTGCTTTGGAAGAAATTTATTACAGGTGTCAACATATTTTTTTTTTACAACAGGATTTATAGTGTCCTACATGTATGCCATGATATCCAAAGTGGTATACTATCAATAATGAAAAACTAAAAGTTATTTATATGACATGAGTTTCAAAATATTGAAATGAAATGCATAAATCGAGCACTGATATTGACATTGAACAAAATCTGCATGTTGGAGCAAAGGGTATGTGTAACATATATGCAAAAACTTCTGAAAGACACTCACATGTTTTTCCAAAAATTCCAGGAAGGACTGACAATCGTCTGCTTGGCAAGCTGCCAAAAACAGCTCCTTTTCTTTGCTGCATGTCACCATGGTGCTGGTTCCAATTCAGTGGAGCAAACTGAAAGAGTATGAGAGTATGAACAGTTCATATTGAAGATGAATAGAAGTAGGCCTACATATCATTTTGTATTAAAAAAAATATATTGGAAAATAGGTTCCCACAAATTTATGGGCAGCAAAATAAACAACCCCATAAAACAAAACTCATCCTTCATCCTATTCCTAGTAGTAGACGATAGTCTAGAGCTGCCAAAGGGATTACCTATTATAAAGTATCAAGAAAGACATGAAAGTCATACACCAAGGTTTAAGACTAACTAAAATCTGTTACACAGGCAACCCAAGACCTAACCCTCAATATAACTGTTGTTTTTTTTTTCATCCAACCTCCAACAAACTTGTTCCCTCGTGGCTGCAAGAGGTAAAGTATAATTTTAAGGGCACTTTGGTGACTCAGCTACAGAGAAATTTTCAATAAAGCTTGACCTAGAATCTAAGGCCTAAAATAAAAACTTGTTGTATCGCCCTTTGCGACCGACCCAAAAATCTGAAAATCTACAGTCGGCATTTTAAAAAAGTTTTTTTTTTTAAACCGTTTTTTAGAATTCTTTGTACTAATGAATGAAAAAATACGTATTTTGTTTGACTTAGGATATAAATGCAAAAAATCAAATTATTCCAAACAATCTTCACATTGCTAGCAAGTTTTACACTTACAGGTAGTTGAAAACCAACTTCGTCAGCAGGAAAGCGCAGAGTGTTGTCTCAACACAACATTGCAAACCATGGATTATTATGAGGTGAAAAAGATATGAATGGAATGATGACTCTGAAACACATGTATTAAAGCATTAAAAACTGAAAAATATAGGCCCAAAGAGGGCGACAAAAAAAGTTTTAAAAAAAAAAATTCTGACCCGCCGACCGATGTTTTGGCACCTAATGGGCAATACAACAAGCTTCTCGCCTAGTTTATGGTATCGTGCATGTGCGTAATACCATAAAGCATACGCGAAGTTTGCATAATTTTAGACTGATACTTTTAGCTTCAGTTTGAGGTGCAGAGCTATATAGGTCTAGCGCAGAGACGGTACTGAGCGACGACGTCGACATCGAAGCCCTAAACGGAGGCTTCCTGATGTTGGATGTGATCCAAATTCAGGTGGAAAATGCAATAGACCTATATGATTATGATTAAAATTAGTAAAAAATTGAGATAAAATTCCTTTGCTAAGAATCGATATTAAACTGCTAAAAAAACTGCTTAAAAAATGGATACGGAACTACACTAGCGCCCAAACTTTTAACTAGATTATCTAGATCGTTACAAAACATTTAGATCTACTTTCAGCATTTCTAAACTTGAGTTAAGAAAGACGATTCAATACAAAATTCAACAAAATATTAATAGTCTAGATCTAGATATCTATTCAAACTCAAACCAAATGCAACAACATGCATGTCAACATCACATTCATTGCACAATACTCGAAGTCTAACGGATGGGACCGAAGTCAAACAAGTAAGCTAAATAGATCGAAAGTATTGGGTTAATTTAATCAACACTCATTCAGCCAGGATTGGTATTTTCCTTTCAAAACTTATTCAGAATTTGAAAAGATTTTTGACTCCTATTACATCGATATTTCACAAAGGAATACTATCTGTAATTTCAGAACAAATAAAGCTTACCCGTAACGAAGAAAAAACAGTTCGAAACTTCGAAAAAGCGCGCGCTACACCGAAACAGTCCGAAGATGTCCGATTCCCGGGATGTCAAATAGTCTACATCTTCAGACACTTTACGTGGCCAGAGTGTTGAGCTGAGCTAGGGAATGTGGTTGTTGATTATTTATAGTCATTTACTGTTGGAATGGACCTTAAAGCCAGGACCGCTGCAGCACCCGAATTTAATTATTTTGAGGGTCAGCAACCATTAAAATAATCTTTATAGGGAGTGCTATCAGCACATTATGAATGCAAAGCCTGGGGGGTTTCCTTAAACAATTAGTCGGTGGTTTTCAACAACTAATATCATGTTCACCGACAATTCTTTTGTCATCGACTTTTTTCCAGGCCTGTAATTGGTCACATTTAGTCAGCGCTGACTAAATTGTTTCATGAAACATGAAAACATGAATGTGAAAATTACTTCTCAAGCCAATGATTTAATTCATTTAGCAGAAAGCAGTTGTATATCAAGATGAAAAATGGGCAGCCACTCAGGGGGTGGGGGGCTAATGTATCTGGACAACCCCATGTTGGTTAGTACCAATTATTTTATTTCTGGACCATAGAAAATGGAGAGGGTGGCTTTGGCATTGAATACAAGAATATAACAAATAAATAAAATGAATGAGATTTTTGTTTATATATTTGAATGATAATCATTTGCCAATCTGCATGTGTGAGATCCTGTCTTTTCATCCTCAATAATCAATTGGCTCCTTACAAAAAGTATGATGTCTGTGGGGATTCGTTTTGAGAAATACAATCATTTGGACCTGTAAATATCAGAGTTTTTTTTACTCACAATCATACAAAACCTTACTGATTTCCAGCTTATATGCACAAACATACACACACACACAAAACAGAAATCAAAAAGAAAATGAAATATTCTTGTGATATATTTTATTCCAAATTTGCAAGACTGTTTGGTAACTTGCATTTGTTATATATCATTTACGATATAATTCCATAAACTATAAATTTAATATATGACTATCCAACCACTAATATCAAGATCAACACACATAAAATTTGACCACCGTCAGGGCTGGATGTCATATTTAAAAACTATTTTCATGGAACAGCTTATATTTACAACATAAACATTAGTAAAGGTATGAATGGTATGGTTTACACAGCAAACTCATAGTTTATAGGATGAACAAGACCTGCCAGTAATAGAATGAATGCCGATTGCTCATCATGTCCAGTGTACCTTTATCCCTATTTCAAGTCATAATTTTAACTAATGGCGAATGGATTTAAATCCATTTATATATATATATATATATATATATATATATAACCCTCTCTTTAAAAACAAAAATTAAACCAAAATATAAAGAATGGCATTAAATAAGTCATTTTTGATACAAAAAATGTGACTCATAAAAACTGGTGACATCAGGGACCCGTTTCACAAAGCCTTTTTTCAATTATGACAAAAATCAGTGACAAATCAGTTGATAACCAATCAGAAGCAAGGATTTCAGTAGCTAATAACAATAACTGTCATTTGTCACTAATGACAAGTTTTGTGAAACATCAATTGACATCAGGTGCACGATATGCCATACCAGGTTTAACAAACACGGTAATTGTTGAAATTCAGTTTGTACTTTGTGCTTCTATCACCTACATGTTCATTAACACTGCCCATACAAATATGAATCTTGCATTCATCAAGATGAATTTTCTGCTCCCATCAAGTCAAACAATATTCCACTTACTCTACTTGTCAGAGATCATATTAAAAAAGCATGACATTTTTCCTGCCTATTATCACATAACACAAGCTAAACAGGCTATAGAATTGATATGCATCAAACATTAAATTAATGTAGACTTTTAAAGCCCCTCTGCACTAATATGGCATGGATGGATTAGACCTCCCTGCAAGGTAAATGGCAGGTGGTTATCTCATCAAATCAGCTCTCAATTACCCGTAACATAAGAAAAAGGGGACCATGGGGATTCAATGAGTACCGCTTAGGCATTGTTGGCTGTATAGAGGGTGCAAGTAGCTACAAGCGGTGCAGTAGGGCTTTAAAGGTTACCAATCACACACAAATATTCCTCTCTCTGCAAATTACTAACATTACCATGAATTTAGCTTAGCTGCCCTATAAGGTGCTGAAAGCATTCAAGGAAATACTTCCTACCAGGTACCCATTGGCTACACCCCGAGTTAAGAGTGGCAAATGTAGATTAATGCCTTGGTATTAAAGCCACAGCTATGACTCGTACCATGAACCAGTAATCCAGGACATGTTCGCTCGACCAAAACACCTAATGCATGTACACCATGCATGTTTGCCCGTGCTCAGCAAAAGCTTTTTTTTTAATTTCAATTCATCTTGAGCTTGAGGACAGTAAATTAATAAAAAGAAAAAACTTAGTTAAATGTATAATACCTAATACAAGCCATGCTGTTTGGCAGTTTAATAATCACATACATTTGTATTCTCTGCTTTCATTTGTTAAATCAATGTAACGTTTTACATCTGAACACACAAAGAAAGAGGAAATACCTGCATGTACCCGGTATATAGAAATATAGTAATGTAGAAATAGTCAAATGTCATTTTGATTAGTTTAATACCACTTTTGAAAAAATAACACATCCTCTGTTTGCTTCTACATGTAGTATGTACTATGAGAAAACTTAAGGCATGGAAATGTAAACAAAGTATCAAGTTTATGATAGATATATAGATCTCGGCTATTTCAGTACTTAGAAGTTCAAAATAGGACATCCGACAGTATACAATTGCACTCCGTATCTTCAACATCAGTTTCAGTCCACAATAACACGTTCATCGACAGCAGGGAACTCTTCAAAGAAAGCCTGGGGATCAAGAGAGAGTGAAATATATAAAACGCTTATGTTAAAAGAACCAATGAGAAAACTATCATGGGCGTGGCGACCCTGTAACCATGCAGTAAATTTTCATATTGACAAAATATGTGAAGCATCACATTTTGCATTATATGAAATTCTGTATCTAAACTCAAAATGGCTTAAGAATTATCATTAGTTGATATCATTGATATATCCATGTACGGCATTGTGTAAAATATGAATGAAGATATCAGTAAACCTTCATGCTATGGAGCAACCAAGCTGAAATAAAAAAAATACTCCAGATATGAGGCTTCAGGCTATAAATAATATTACTTACGGCGGAAATAACTTATATCACAGTGAATGTAAAGGACCAAACCCTGACCAGGATTCCTGTAAGCCCCCCCCCCCCCCCTCCTCACACAAGAATTGAAGCACCATTCGAAAGCACACATTTTCTACTACATCTACTTTCAATGTAACTGATATTAATTTTTACTGCAATCACTACTACTACTGCTACTACTACTATTACTACTACTATACTATACCTAAAATACTGCCATTCGAAATGAATTTGATTTATGATAGTAGAAATTAAACATTTTCTAGCTATACTGGGAGGTGTTTCACAACGATCCTAAGTTGAACTTAACAATTATGGAAAGTCGTTAGCATCTTTGAACATATTTTGTAAAAGTTATTTTAAAAGGCATAAAATGACGATTCAAATCATTCATATTTTTTTATTATCAAGGAGATTTCATGTTCTTAATGTGAAACTTTAGAAAAGTCTAAATATTTGAATGTTTGCTTTTGAATACCGGTATATTTTAAAGCTACAAACTGCTCTCCATAATGTTCAAGTCCAACTTAGAGTTAAGATCGACTTAGGATCTTTGTGAAACACCCCCTGGGTAGTCTTACCTTGCAGAGGAGAATGAGTTGGACGATGCCTGAAGTGCAGCTCATCTCTCTACAGGAATGCATGCTAAGCATAGGGCAGCCAACGTCAACCGTTCTCAATCCAAGGTTGGCTGCTAGGAGTGGACCTATGGTGCTTCCACATGGCATGTCGTTCCGCACAACAAATTCCTAATTGAAAGAGACACAATGTATATGGATGAAATAACAACATGTCATAGTCAGTGTAATGTCATATTAATGTTATCAGTTCTTTCAAATACAAGCATTTAATAATGTTCACCTGTTGACTTGTTAATGTAGAATATGAGAATTAATCTAAATGTGAATAAAGTCTGATATACAGAGCATTCAGTGTAATCAGCTAACATGTCTTGATAAGCAACAATTCAGTTCAGTTCAGTTCAGTTCATTTATTCAGAACCACAAAAAGCATGATATAATCTGTTACATAAAAAAGAGAATAACTTGACAAACCACTGTTCTACTGAGATATATTCCAAACACTGATTTCATCCAAGTTTAAAAAAAAAAAAATCAACTCTGAACCATGCCAGGCAAGTAGCAACACGATTATATGGAGATTACATGTAAAGAATACAAAGTATATAGAACTATAATAAAGTCCATGTCATTCTCAATATTAGGAAAGGATGATTCTATGTTTGCACACAAGATATTATTTTCCCCGCTTGGATACATGACTTTACTCCTTTTGCTAATGTCTGTAAATGCTCTATACAGCCCATATAAATAACCACTTTTAAAAAAGTGTACATTGTTATTGTACATTTCAAAGCAAGTACACAGCTACAATGGCATACAGGGTGGTCTAGATTTCATATCTCTCACTCACCTGCAGGGGAACATCAACCGTTTCAGCAATCAGCTTGAGAATGGTTGATGAGACTGCTGTGGTTGCATAGCGTTGATTACTGTTGATCTTCACAACTGGGCCCTGAACAACAAACAAACAAATAAGTATCAATATTGACAAACTAACATCTTAAACATCATTCTTGATTTGCCCAAAACAGATGAATTGCAAAATACTTACACTAAGCTAAAGCTCTTGGGAAGCACACAGAGTCTTGATATTTATGCCATATGTGCTATGCTATTAGAGCATATATTATCCTTATTCCCCCGAAACATTTTCTCCTTTTTTTTTGCAATGTGGAGTCCAAAGCACATAGGAGGCAAAATATAATTTTAATTTTGATCATTTTGATTTTTACGGTATAATTTCATCTCTTCCAATACGTATTTTTATGCTTAATTTCAATTTTTGTAATAGACATGTTTGTTTAGCAGTTGTTACATACTTTCTCAACTCTTTCGCTCAAACAACTTCCATTTTTTCTTTCTCCATCCTCTCCTTTTCACAGTCTTGGTCTTTCAACATAAAAGTGTATTATTACATTAAACTTATAACTTTGTTTTGCAATTTTGATTTCATCTTACCACAGCTAAATAATTTCTGCAAAAGTTGACTTACAATATGTCAGGCCTCGAATTACATCAAATTTGGGTCAAGGCCACTTTTTTGAGAGGGCACAAATCCACTGAAAGGGGAACAAATCTATCCTAAGGGGCACTAAGGCGAAAGTGTGCGTAAAATCACCTCATGCCGTTTTCGTGGTGGGGGGGGGGGGGGGGTATTTGCACCCCCCCAACTGAGCGAATTATCGGCCGGCGCGATTTTCAATTTTTGGGAGCAAAAAAAAATAGTGCTCCCTACCCCCCTACCCTTATTAACAGGCTGGCTGTTTCGCCACTAAATATTCTCCCAGCTTTTCAGCAAAAGTCCGGTGTGTAAAGTCAATACGGGTCGACCTTTTTCTTTTGTTATACAAGATTTTTCCAGCACCCCCCCCCCCCCCCTTTCAGCAAAAGTCCGGTGTGTAAAGTCAATACGGGTCGACCTTTTTCTTTTGTTACGAGCCGGAGAGCTTTGGAACACGCAAGCGGTCATTTCGAAACCTGAGTGGGGGGGGGGCCGGGGGCCCCCTCTTTGGTCCCCTCCCCCGCCTGCCGGCTGGATCTGACCGTAAGGTGGGTGGAGGGTGTGGGGAGTTTCCCCCTTTGACGCAACAAAGTCTGGCTGATAATTATTGTTTTTAGATCTCCGTAGGGGCAACAAAGTCTTGCCGATAATTATTGTTCTCAGTACGGGCAACAAAACTTTGCCGATTATTATTGTTTTTAGAGCTTCGTAAAGGCAACAAAACCTTACCGATAATTATTATTTTTAGAGCTCCGTACGGGCAACAAAACCTTGCCGATTATTATCGTTTTTAGAGCTCTGTAGGAGAAACAAAACCTTGCCGAGTATTATCGTTTTTAGAGCTCCGTAGGGGCAACAAAACCTTGTCGATAATTATTGTTTTTAGAGCTCCGTAGGGGCAACAAAGTCTTGCCGATAATTATTGTTTTTGGAGCTCCATTGGGGCAGCGAAGGCATGTCGATAATTATTGTTTTTTTAGATCTCCGTAGGGGCAACAAAGTCTTGCCGATAATTATTGTTTTTAGAGCTCCGTAGGGGCAGCGAAGGCATGCCGATGATTATTGTTTTTAGATCTCCGTAGGGGCAACAAAGTCTTGCCAATAATTATTGTTTTTAGAGCTCCGTACGGGCAACAAAACCCTGCCGATAATTATTGTTTTTAGATCTCCGTAGGGGCAACAAAACCTTGTCTTTTTTAACATTACAAGTCGGGGTTGACTTATGATGACTATAATGTCGGCAAAACTTTTGTGGATTAAAATATTGTGGCCATAATTTGATTTTAAAAAGGGCATTCCGGCCAGTGAGAGGGGCATGGCGGCAAATTGCTGATTGCCGGCAGGTAATTCGAGCCCTGATATGTATTTTAGTTTTGTATATGTTTATATCTCTCTATATCTTAAATTTGTTTGTAAATTGAACATTTTCAACCTGCAAGCTGATTGTTTGATGTGTTTTTGCAATACAACAAACCAATTCAATCATTACCACCAAATTACATGGAAACATAGCTAAAATGCAATGGGAGAGGATGAAGAAATACCTGCCTCATCATTTCACAAAATACAGAATGTGATTATTTATTGAGCAATCATTACATCATACTCTTACCTTGTGTAGATTAATTCTGTGATTCTCTTCATGTTTTTCTCTGTAATGGACAGAAGAGATGGAGAGAGAGAGGGAAGGGAGGGAAGGGAGAGATGGAGAGAGGGAGGGAAGGGAGAGATGGAGAGAGAGAGAGAAGGGGAGGGAGGGGGAGGGAGGGGGAGAGAGAGAGAGAGAGAGAGAGAGAACAAAAAGGGGGAAGAGAAATACAGTTTACTATGTTTGATCTTGGCCCATGCATGTCAAATTATAAATTTTACTTATTCTGTGATACAGCTATTACTGTATGTAGGCTATACAGTTAGATTTCTCCATCAGGACGTTCTAGATAAGTGTGGGATATTATTTCAGCTAAACCATTAATGAGAAAGGAAACAGCCTCAAAATGGGGCTTACATGATTTGTCTAGCTCAGGAATCATTTTATCATTTTGCATTTGTATTCAAATCATAACAAAAAACCCTGTCCTTGACGACAATTTGTATCTACGAGATGTATATTATTTCCATACTTACGGGTAGTTAGGATGGACTGCATGGGCCATGTCGGCACTGAGAAGGAATGACTTTGGGACGCATTCTTCAAAGGCCGTCTGGTGACTGCCGGCAGAGATTCTCCTCATGAAGTATTCAGCCACAGAGGATTGGGCACCTTGAGCACTCGTTGAACCTACCTACATCGTTCAATAAAGATCACAGCAAATTTCAATTCACACATGATAACAGGAAGACACATTTTTATTCAGTTTGTCTCTGTGTAAAAGATATCATATACCTCTCTTTAAAAATCTAGCCATATGTTTGGTCGAAATTGGAGTCGTGATTTTAGCCATGCCTGCCTACCAGTCATTAGTCTTGTGAAAATTGCGCTCATACCCGCCTACCGGTCAATAGTCTTTTAAATTATGCCCTCATGCTGCGATCCCCATTGGTTTAACGTGTTAAAACTGTCTTTGTGCGAGCGCAGGCACCGTACAGTGCTATTTGTTTGCAATTCCCAAATGATTGAAATTTTCAGCCATTTCTCCGGCAAAGATTAACAGACAATGTCTCAGATTTTCTGTGATATTTTAGCCAATCTTTACTCAATAAAAAGATAAGGTAAGAATTCTTGGTAGTTTTTTGTTTCAATTCGGCATATAAAAGACATATTGACTGCTTTAAAGATACTATGTCCCTTTTGCAGCCAACATCACATTCTGTAGACCTTTGCTGGAATTATGAATACGTCATGTATGTCCTATCTGTGAAATTTAAACGTTAGCAGTGTCCTAATATTCAAATTATGCAAGGAAACCTGTTTACTTGCTAGACTTCACTGTCAGACACTATTGAGTGACTGACTGGCTTTTTTTCTTCATTGGTAAAAACACACATAAAATGAGCTGTAAAGGGTACATGAGCATTTGTCTACATCAATAACCCACTTCTTGTAATGGCCAAAATTAAACTGATGATTCTTTGCGCAGCACAATATGAACGACCATTCGGTACAATGGTCTGAAAATCAGACTATTACTTACTGGCTCTATAGCTCTTACGTCGATTCGACAACTAATAGTCGTTATTTTACCACTAAAAGACATTTTCAAGCCCCACTTTTTTTAGGAAAGTTTTAAATTAGTATTATCTTTCAAATGCCGTTGGAATTTAACCTTTTCATTTTTTTTGGCCTGTAAATGGGACATAGTACCTTTAATATTTGAGGTCTGGCTTTTTATAGGCTCAAGGGAACGTGCACATATCCTGCAATGAACCCGAGGCATGCCTGGGTGACAGGCCTCTCCAAGCAGTCGATATCTCTATACTATTTTATGTTTCAGTAGCTCTTTTTGACTTTTTAAAGAACAAGATTTATCACATTGATATTGTTGTATATTGTTAATTTATAATACTGATTTTTGGTTTCTCAGAGCTAAATCCCTCATTGATCCTAAGTACCGTTACGCTTTTAATTGGCTCTGTCTCCATTTCACTAATAATGACTTGACTTGACTTGACTTGATAGCTCCCTCTGTGATTTAATATCATCGTCTTATAAGATTAGGCCCTCTGAATTGTAGCAACCACAATAGTCATTGGTTTTAACTTTCAAGTCCGGTTTCAAGAGAACTATATATTTTTCACATGACTAGCACATGGCATGGGCTTCATATGTACAGAAGTAATGCACCAATGAAAGGACATCAACATCACTTCATGGAAGGAAATTTTTGTGCTTACATTAAAAATAAAAATTGCAAGAAAACATTAAATGATGTTCATCGATGTTGTGATAAAATGTATATGTTACCTCTTCATCGTCAAAGAGCATGACAGCTCGGACATTAGGATCCTCTTCAAGACTGTTGGGAGTTTCACATGATGCCATTAAGCTCTGCAATGGACGAAATGAATCAAAATCACAGTTGAATCAAATTACAGATAACAATTAAATCAGTTTTCTTCATAAACCTTAAAGACCCTATCCAATGAAAATACAACTTTATATCAATGAATGTAATCTATGGCTTATAAGCTATTCATTGATATTTAATAGTTCAAGGAAGAATGTTAAGAGCCTGTCGGAAGTGAAAAATGAAATAGATGAATTATATAATTCATCTATTTCATTTTTCACTTCCAATAGGGCCAATAACCTTGTTCATTGAACCATTTGGATGATGTATGTATCAATGGAATGTGGCAGACCAGATTTAAATTGTAATATAAAACTATGGCTTTAGATAGGAAGATGCACAGCAAAAACTATTTATGATCCATTTCTATTTGAGAAAATTAATTAATTACATTTAATCTTAATACAATTCCCAGGGCTTGACACTGGCGCCTGGGACACATGGGTTCCCAAAATTGAAGTCTGGAACCACAACAATTTTTCAATCCTGGGGGGTGTTTTAAAAAAAGACTAAGGCCGACTTAACTATGGCTGGCCATTCATGCCACCGGTTGCTCTCACCATTATGACATTTAGATATTTAATCAAAAGAATGTAAATTCTGTCGATTTGAGTCCATGATTTGTACGTCCCTTGAGACACCAATACCAGTGAATGGTAAGAGCAAACAGTGGAATGAACGGCCTGCCATAGTTAAGTCCAACTTAAAGTCGATCTTAGTCTTTTTGATACACTCCCAAAAAAAAATTAGTGTGGAGCCCTGCAATACCCCATGATGTAATAAGGAAGTCAGTGTTTCTTATATTTCTCAGGATCAACTGATACTGGATCACCACTTTGGCAAAGAACTGCACCCTTTAACTCAATAACTAAATAATCATTAACAGCCATTAACTCAAAATCATCTGACCTGAATCGCACCAAACGAGCAGAAGAGATTATCCAGTCGAGGTGAGAAAATGAATTCTTGTAAGGCTCCTCCAATTACCTGTTAACGACAAAAACATTGCAAACTAGATCATAAAAAAATAACGTCTTAATTTAAATTTGTTTAAAGATAATCAAATTGTGAATACCATCCAACCCCAAAATCTATAACAAAAAAATAATTTACAAGCTAACATGAAAATCAATGTGGAATCGGTTCATCTTTCATCTTTTAAATTTATAGCAGAAATGTTCCCCAGTATCTAAATTCAGTAACATGAAATGATTGAATGTTTATCATCATGAAATTCAGAATGCCCATTTGATGAACAATAATATTTATCTAATAAAAGTAATCATACTCTGGCATCATCTTAATGTTATCAACTTAATGATACTGATGATTTTGAATGTATCTAAAAGATAAACATGTGAAATGGGGACAAGTTTTAGAAGCTATGATAACCAACATATTGGATTTAAGCCAATGTAATTAGTTTTCTTGAGAAATTTGTGAGTTGAATGAGGAATTTCTTTTTTATTGACACACATACTCAATGTTTACTATCTGATGAAGTATATCACAATGTATACACATTATGGGTGGTATTCTCGAAAGCAGACTAACTTTAGTCCATGGTTTCATCAAATGACTAAGAATGGAATGCCAAGTGTCCATATCAATTTGTTTTTGAATAATTCAATCTGTCACCTAATTGAAATAAAATGTAATAACATAATTAATAAAAAACAATTTAACTATGATATAATTATGTTATCATGGTAATTTAGGGACATTTCAAATTATTCAAAAATATATTCATATGGACACTCGGCATTCCATACTTAGTCGATGGATTAAACCATGGACTAAAGTTGGTTTGCTTTGTGAATACCACCCTTTAAAGATAAATTTGAGTTCTGGTCATGCGATTGCATTGTGAAAGAAATGGTGTGGAGTCGATCAGAAAGGTTGATCATCTAGCATATAAGTATTTGTGTGTATTGCAAGGTTCTGAAATCATCAAAATGATAAGAAATTTGGCCAAGTCTTGGTAAAGTTACAAGCATTGTACACAGAAAGATGTATATGGGACTACATGAACACATGGCGTAAAAATCCGTCCTGATTTTTACGATGTTACATGCCATATTTAGAATATGAAGGCATTTGAAGAGCCATGCTTTTCAGGGAGCATGTTTTATCTGATGTTCTTCCACACTTGCATGATAACAAAGATAACGCTCACAAATTATTTTTCACCTCTTCCCAGAACTCAACCTTCTCTTTAAGTTTGGACAAAGTTCAAATGATGGTAAAGACAGCTAGGTACATACTGCAGGTTGTGTGTCAGCAACACAGAGCTCAAAGTCCATGATATCCGATGCAGCGGTTCCTAGTTCTGCTGCCAGCAGGTTCATCAGGATGGAGGAATGTTTCTCATTCTCCTATGAAAAAAGAGAGACAATTACGGTAATGCACCATATTCCATTATGAGTTTAGACGTATACAAACAACATATTGCAAAATGACAAGGATTTTATGTCTTAAATCTCTTATTGATTTGTTTCCATATATATAAACTTCTGTGTTTTTTGTTGTTGACCTTTTTTCATAATTATAGAGGCCATCAATGTACGATGGACAAAAAGCAACAACACCCAAACCTTCCCCTCTTCTATGTCACAGAGTTGCCAATTTGTATTTGATTGATCGCAACTTCAAAATTCATAACTTTCTTTTCTTCAATCGGATTTCGCTCAAACTTTCACTGACATTTTCCTCTCACTTTTTTGCTTCTTTTAAAACCGATTTAATATCAGGGCGGACTTCCCCTTTAACTAATTTGTGTAAACCAATTTATGTACATTGAGTATTTACTCACTTTGAAGACAAGTGAAAGTGTTTGTTGTTTTGCTGTTCAGCACTTACCTCAGAAAGCACTGCAATTTGCTTGCCATCCTCATCCACTAAACCTTTCTCAAGCTGTGCGGTGATGCTAGTGGCCAAGATGGGCTTCCTACAGTGACATAAAATGATGCAGCAATCAAGATCTGATTCAATTTGGAGTGCTAATCCAAATATTTCTACTCTAGCTTGATCTGATTTTTAGAATAAGACTAAATAATGCAAGAATTGTTTTTTTCTTCAAAATTAGCTCTCAAATGTCATTGTTATTTCAAATGACTTTTTGAATGAGGGGTTGTACATGTACTTTTGTATTTTGCTTTTACACAATTTCTATGAATGTCCGAATCTAAAGATCAATCAGTTTGTTTAATAGTGATGGTCAACTAGCACAATATCATTCTTCCTCTAGTAAAAGAACAGAAGAAAAAGAGAAAAGAAAAGGCAAAAACAGAAGGAAAAAAATCAACTCAAAAAACAAAAAACAAATCAGAAAAATACTACGTTTACTAATTAGCCCTAAGCTTTCTACATTACAGTGATACCCCTGATGAGGTTTTCATTCTAAGGGTCTGTGAAAGACTTACAGCTCATTTTCTTTGTTGGGGGCAAAGCCATCATTGACAGCTCTGTTGAGATGTATGGCCAGATTAGGGACTCTCATAATTGGTCTCTCAACGTGGACCAAGCGATGCTCAATCTTCTCACCATTCTGAGGAAGAAGAAAAAAAAAAAGGCATGAAACTCAGGGATTTCACTAAAGTAAAAAGCAATGTGCTGAACAAACAAAAGATTGATTGATAGATGATCCAAAACCATAGTTTCTTATTCATTCAGTTTACGTTGAAACGTTAGATATGTATGATATCATCATCCCGCCTTAACAATACATAGCATATTTACTAAATGCAATGAATTATGATGTTGGAGTACAAGTTGCATGAAAGGGTTCTACAACACAAGCTCTGGAACGAATATTGTACACACACAGAATTCCTAATGTCCATTAAGGAACCAGGAGCAAACTGGATACAAAGCCCAAACATTTAACCTGATCTAAAACCCAATGGCTGCATCACAGCAAGAATATCTTCATTTATATATCTCTTAACTACACTTTTGCAAGGAATATTGCACATCAAAAGGCAGGAAAACATGTCATCTTTCAGCATGCCTACCGTAATTAACGGTGTATAAACGGCCCTCGTGTGTTAACCGCACCCCTTTTTTTTGCCCCCCCCCCCCCAAAAAAATAAAAAAATAAAAAAATTGCAGACTCAGCGGTTAATACACCGTTAATTACGGTACACTTTAATATTCTTTGGGGTGAGGTTTCCTTTAAACCATATGTCTATGACAAAATAAAGCCTGGACCAAATACCTGGGACCCGCCTTACAAAGAGTTGATATCAATCGCAACTATGTACATAAGAGATAGGAGACTGCAAATTTGGGATTGATTAGAGGACTTGCGATTGATTTGGATCAAACGCAACTCATTGTAAGACAGGGCCCAGGTCTCTACAACAATAATTTTCTACTGAAGCCCCCTTTTCCCATAACCATACATATAAAAATCACAGCAGACAGCGATTTGAACTCACCCTGACAAAAACACGTCCAGCGACGGTAAGATCTCGATCGAACCATGTGTTCCATATCCCACCTCCATAAGTCTCTACTCCAACAGACATATATCCATGCTTCTCTATCTTAGAAACAGGCTTTACCTGAGTGTAAGGACACATGGAAGAAGTATATTTAAAAAAATGAAAATGAGAAGTTTCTTAGAAACAAAGAATAAATGTACAAATTGTGCTATCATATATAACATATTTCAAATCTTAAACCATATAATTATCTAAATATCCCTTAGCAAACTTGGTTTAAAAAATACCTGTATGGCAGATTTTCAATTGATAGGTTAAATGGTAGATATTTATTGGTAAATAGCTTCAATAAAGCATGTTTTGAGTCCTGGTATGGCTCAAAACATCAGGAAAATCATTGGAATTATAACCTGGACTCTAAAAACACTATTTTTTATATGGGAAACTTGAGATATCAATCACAATAATAATTACAGTGCCATAGTATATATGGATTCTCAAGATAAGAATCAACACATTTTATATCTGTACCGGGTAGCTCAATATGGATCTACTTTGTAAGATCAACCCCGGAAAGTAGTTAGAGGGAGTTCTTTCTCATGGTATTTCTACTTACTTTTAGACATGGACTGTCTGTGTGTGCTCCTATCATAGAAAAACCATTCCCTGCAGCATACTTTCCTCCAACAGCAAATGCTATCAGGGTGGACTGGTTCCTTGTAAAGAAGTACTGACGACAAAAACATTCAAACAAAAATTTAAAACATTAGATATTTGGAGAATTGTTCAATCTTCACTATTCAGAAATTATTGGTGATGCTGGTGGCAATAGCGGTCTCAACATTAAATAGTGTTGAATATTCCCAATGTTATACAGGTATCTGTATATTTCTTTCTTCAAACATTGTTAAAGGTAATACAAAGTTTTGGTATGGGGTCATGAATTTGGTTTAAATGAGGATATTGGAAGCATACGATTTTACAATATTCGATGATTGTTGTCGCGTTTGAAATCGAGTCTAAAGTGATGACATTGTAAATAATAAACTCTTTATGTTGTATAGCGCCCTCTGAAGACTGATATTACTTCCGCTTTGAAACAATGTTTCTTGACTACATTCGACTGATTTGCTATTCCCGTTTGGAAATTATATATCAGAACTGCATATTCTGAGATTTTCATGATCGCAGTTACCATGGAGTGGCCTTAGGCGCTAATTGAAATATTCAAAATTTACCGGGAGAACCGGTAAATTTTTGATTATTCAATTTCTCAAAAGCAGAAGTGTTTTAGGAGCTACAGTTTTTAGTGCTTATAATACATCCACAGGGGCTTCGAAATATATCAAAATTGTAAAAAACTACTATCCATCCAATTTTCAACATTTCCCAAAACTTTGCATTACCTTTAAGTGCAGTATATCTTATAAGATGGGTACTTTCAGTCAACATAAAAGCCAAATTCATTCTGCTTACATGGCTCATTACATGATTGACTAACTGATTTGTATTTACCATGTATGGCAGATGTTTCTATGCTTTTTCTAAAGTTTGACTTAAAAATGAATTTACACTACTGATATTGATGACGTCTGGAGGGAGATTCTTTGATAAGTTGATCACATGTTGTGAGCAGTGCTGTGAGAAGTCTCTTCACTTAATTCATCATCACTTCTTACTGTTGAATATTTGCTAAACGATCATCTTTAATCTCAATGTTTTCCAATACTTAGATAAACAAGACAACAATAATGAAAACCATGCCCATCTATGCATCTTATTCAAACCTAGGCCCTGTTTCATAAAAATTGTTACCTATAACAAGTCACAATGACTGTTATAAGCTACTGAAATCGTCACATTTTATTTGGCTGAGAGCAAATTTGTCATAGAAATTTAACATTTGTTATTGATATCGATAAAAAGTTTTATGAAACAGCTGGGTCCAGAAACGCTTGATTACCTTCTTCTTTGGATGAAGATACCAGGTATCCTTTTCCTTGAGTTCTTCAAATCCTGCATCCTTCAGTTTTAGTCGACATGCTTGTACAGCTGTATGATGACATAATGTAGGTCATGGTAGATTGCAGGTGTCGGGTGTGTACACAAAGTACATTTACAAACTATATTGGTTAATTTAGAAAATTTCACCTCAAATTTTCACTAGATCAAAGAACAAATATTGAGGCATACACCTACAAATACAGTGCGTCCCAGAAAAAACAAAACCGAGAATCATCAATGTTTTATCATAACTTAATTACAATTATAATTAATAAATGACACATATTTGGAAAGCTTAGATCCTCCTCTTTCATTTGATGTAACTCATATGATGCATATTTCATGCATGAGTGATTAAAAGCAATTTGAAGAGAGGAAACCAAAAAGTCATTTGGCGGGCGGTATCTGAATTTTAAAGGGAAAATTACATTTCTATAAAGTTCAATTTCTCCCCTTTCATATGACACCTCAATCAGGAAAAATGAGCCAGGAATAACAAAGTTCTGTTTGTTTAGAGTAATGCTTGCATTTCCATAATTTGATCAAACAGATTCATTTTTACTGGCTTCTTGCGGTTGCAACGAACAGAGTTGACAGAAGACTTAACTCCGTTTCGTTGACGATCAGCCATGCACAAAGAAGATGAAAGACCTGATGCATGGCTGATCTTCAACGAAACGGAGTTAAGTCTTTTGTCAACTATGTTTGATGCTACGGCCGGGAAACCGCCTACCAATTGATATATTTAGTCGATTAGTTTATCTATTGGTGTGTGAGAGATAAACACACGTGTGCATATAGTCCCATATACATCTTTCTGTGTACAGTGCTTGTAACTTTACGAAGACTAGGCCAAATTTCTTATCATTTTGATGATTCCAGAACCTTGCAGTACACACCAATGCTTATATGCTAGATGATCAACCTTTTCTGATTGATTCCACAACGTTTCTTTCACAAAGCAATCGCATGACCATAACTGGTCTTATTCTTTAAGGGAGGATTTGACTTCCAATATATATAATGAAGATGATGATCGTGATGATAACAAAAAAATGATTAATGTTTAATTCAAAAAAATTAATATGGCACCTTCAAGTGTCTTGTACCTGATCAAAGTTCTAAAAGGTAAAGACCAGTATTGGAAACGCCCCAATTTCAAGAAATGAAATGGAAGCTCTTATTACCAATCATGTGAAAGAATATGTTTTGACCAATGCATGATAAACACTTTGCCGAGAAACTGCCTACTAATTGATATATTTGGTGAATTAGTTTATCTATTGGTACATGTATGTGAAAGATAAACGCACGTGTCGCGCACGTGTGTGTAGTCCCATATACATCTTTCCGTGTACAGTGCTTGTAACTTTACGAAATCTTGGCCCAACTTCTTGTCATTTTGATGATTCCAGAACCTTGCAGTGCACACCAATACTTATATGCTAGATGATCAACCATTTCTGATCGATTCCACAACGTTTCTTTCACAATGCAATCGCATGACCATAACTGGTCTTTATCTTTGACAGGGTGTTGACTTTCACATTTGTCTAAAAAATTGAATGTCAAAATCAAAATCAAATCAAATCATTTATTTCCAAATCCAACATCAATTAAAAACAATGTGAATGTGAACTTGTGAAGACATGCTTACCATGGAATGGTGATGGAGATTTGTTGATGAAAGATACAAGCTGATTGGCAGCGGTCAAAACTTCCTTGGAATTCATGGAGAAATAGTTTCCTATCAGCTGTCAAAATAATAATACCAAGAAAGAAATGTATAGATATTGAATAGGATGATGGTAATGGGGATAAATTCAATAGAATGTGCCAATATTGCTACAAAAATGTGCTGAGGATTTGATAGAAAAAAGATCACTAAATCTTTGCGAACTTCTATTTCTAAATTGGTGCCCGGTTGAGTCACTCCAGCAAAGCATACAGAGTCGATGCTAATGCGTATTGACCTCTTTAGCACTGTACTACGTGCTATAGTAATAGGTAGCTATTGCACACATGAATATTCAATACACACATAACACACAAATGCACACTATGAAGACGATCATGTGGCTGTAACCTGTCACTTGTCAGTTTGACAAAATTGTATTTTACTGCTATTTTACTTGGTGTCATCAATTGTTACTTAACCCTAAAAAAAACGATTTTGAGTGAAATCAGTTGAGTTTTGTACAGTGGTGTTTGAAATGTTGAGAATCAATAGAACAGGTATACACAGCCAGGATAGAAATGCAGCTAGAGTCTATGTGTGGGTTGAGCCATGCTCACTGCAATGGGGCAGCGCCGGGCTGATCGCGAGCTCGCGATGCACCTGGATGCATGCGGAAGTCCCGTGCAGTGCTGCCAGCTAGCTTACCGTAGTGAATTTAGTGGCGTTCTTTTGATGCTTGTCCGTACGAGAATGCTGTTTGAGATCAGCGTGATGAGCTCGAAGTGTGCACCGGCAAAATCGACAAGTAGCTGATTTTTCGTCCCCAACGACAGGCATCAACCACTGAGTAAAATCAGCTTCTTTTTCCCAGGACTTATTGTACCTCCTTGAGTATTTTCCCCAACGTTTGGACTTCGGCGTTTTGGGCGTTTTTCCGTCAATTGATTCTCCACCATCATCATCATGAGCATGAACAATTTCTTCTGCTGGATCAGTCATGCCAGCTTCTTGAACCCACGCAGCAGCTATTACATCTGTTTCCATTCCAGGATTATTTTGAAGCTCATTCTGCATCGTTAAGAAGCCTTAGAAACACTTTTTAGAATACTTGAGGAATTTAGAGGGTTAATAAACTAAACTTTCAAAACAAGCCAGCAAAAGCCAACACTCGCCATGTAAAACAAGATACCGATGGTAAATCACGTGCGAAACGGAGGAAAAATGGGCGAGGAAAACGCGGCAACTGACGTCGGACAACACAAAAGAAAAAGAAACAAAAACAACACGGCTAGTCTAAAAATCTAGACAAAAGTTGTCAAGCTGGTGGGAGGGCCGGGTGAGAGCTGGGGGAAAGGGTTACGTGCTTTATTCAAATTTCCGTTGACCCACCTAAAAAGTAAAAGGGTGCAATTTTTCATGATAAGATTGTTGGTAAAAAACCGTAGGGGTCCACAAATTGAACATAATTATAGACCTATATCTTTAAAAAAGTAATGTATGCAATTCATTTATTTGTGTTGTTCAAACTTATCAACCGTGCAGGTAGTATCTACAGAGATTGACGATCTATAGGGGAGACATGGGCTAAACTTCGCTATACACTGCCCATAAGATTGGAATAGCTTTGTTCTTACCACTGTCCATGAAATGATCGTGACAATATGGAAATCCCGGCCCCCCCCCCCCCACTCAGTGTTATTTAGGGTACGCATATGCTCGTTCCCTCTTTTTGAAAGCACCCCCTATCTGAGGACTGCCAAAATTTCCGAACCCCTTACGCGGGCTTTTTCCTGCCTTGGAGACCCCCCTAAATCATGAAAAATGCTCAATGTACCCCCCTAAATTCGGAATAATTTCTCAGGAGTCCAAAGAGACGAGAGAAAAAAAAAGAAAAAACACCCCCTTTAAAGAAATCTCCGGGTGAAAAGTTAAGACACCCCTTTTTTTACAATTCTCGGGCCGGACTTTGTCGCACAAAAAGTACCCCTTTACCGGACATTTTGGTAACACGCATGGGGTCATTCCGACCCCGGAGTGGGGGGGGGGGGGCGGGATGGAAATATATCACGGGCTAAACTTTGCTACACACTGCCCATATTAGGTGGAATATCTTTTTTCATACCACTTTTCATGAAATTATCGTGAAAATTTGGAAATGTATAACTAATTCTCAGAACTTTATTGATCAATCAATAATTTATTGTCATCATTTCTTTGAAAGAGGCAAGCCGATCTTTATGGGCAACGTTGCATGTTTTGATCTGCGCGCGGAAGAGGATCGGAAGTAGGGGGAGGGGGGGGGGGGGTCACAGGGGCACTTGACTCAAACTTTTGATTTACAATCGTAGGGGTGTGGGGTGTGGCACTGGCATCTGTGTTACGGGTGAAGCTTGGCTTTTATAAATTCTTTTGGTGATACAAATTGAGAAAACGGCATTTTGAATTGAAACTGTACTTTCAATTATATACACTAGGCTATATGATTCAAATAAGATGATGTTTTAAGTTAATGATGTATAACGTATCTGTCGTTTTCTTATGTACACAATACGTAATGATGAAGACAATTCTGAAGCTACATGTTTATACACAGGGGTTTACACCTTGTCATGAGTGTTTTTTTCTCCTTCAGGTTAGTACAGAATATTGAGAATTAAATGAAAGAAATAAAAGAATATTACGAACAAACAAATAACTTGGGAAGTCTTCAAACGGACTGAGCTTCAAAGTAAATTTATAGTCATCGTAATGGGGCGTAGGCCTAGGCCTAGCTTATTCCGAGCCAAGGATATAGTATTCTGCTTTTATATTGGTGGTCCAATGAAATCATCTCCGATAGCTGTCACAGCAGAGGCGGAGCCCCTTTTCCATCGTAAGAAGCGCCCCTTTTACTTTGTAAGAAGTGCCCTTTTTTCGTTGTAAGAAGTGCCCCTTTTACTTTGTAAGAAGTGCCCCTTTTTCGTTGTAAGAAGTGCCCTTTTTTACATAGGAAAGTGCCCCTATTCCTTTGTAAAAGTGCCCCTTTCACCTCTAATAAGAGCTCCTTTTATGTTGACACATGCCCCCTTTCCTTCAACAAGTTCCTATTGAGTTCTTGGCAATAAGTGTCCCCATTCACCTTTGATAATTGCTATTCGAATCTGAGAGGTGCCCCTTTTACTTTGAAAAGTGCCCCTTTTCCTTTGTAAGAAGCTACCCTTTCCCTTTTATTAAATACCCCTTTTAACTTGGATAAGCACACCTTTTATTTTCACATTTGCCCCTTTTCCTGTCTAATGAGTGCCCCTTTTCCTTATGAAATGCCCCCATTTAAAAAGAGCCCCTTTTCACCTATATGAAAAGTATCCTTTTTTCATTCTCATAAGTGCCCCTTTTCATCTGGTAAATGACCCTTTCCATGTACGAGAAGTCACTCCTTTTCAATTCAGATAAGTGCCCACTTCCCTTCCGATAATTGCCCCTATTCAAATGTAAGAGATACTCGTTTTACTTTGACGAGTGCCCCTTCCCCTCCTCATAAGTGCTCTTTTAAAAATCTCTGATGAGTGCACCTTTTCACCTCTGATGTTTCCCTACATGCCCCTTTTTCTTTCTAATAAGAGACCTATCCCCTTTTCCCTTTTCCTTATTGTCCCCCTTTAAACCTCGGACAAATGCCGGCCCTGTATATACGTAAATTTGAATTCAAAACAACTTTGTTATGGTATTCGGTAATAATGGTAAAAACTGACTGATTTGCCTAAATTAAAAAGCAACAACAACAACGACCCTATATTAAAATCTGATGGGTGCTCCTTTTCCGTTGCCAAATGCCCAATTCCTATTCTCATAAATGCCCCACGTTTACCTCTGATAATTACCATTTGTACTTTAATTGACACGTGCTCCTTATCTTTTCTAACTGTATCTTAATTTATCCCTTTCGATTAGTGTCCCCCTTTTCTCTCATCATTAAGGTGCCCATTAATTAAAGCGACTAAGACCAATTTCCCCCAAAGCTTGCTCGCTACACTCGCTCGTATGGCAAGCCGTTTTCAACATTTATTCCTTTTTCTTGATCAAGAATTATCATTGCTTTATACAACAGAAAATAATTTCTTGATATAAAGATCATTTGTTGATCTCAAGAAATAGGAATAAATGTTAAAACGGCTGGCCATACGCTCGCATGTATAGATAATAATATTTTGTTACCTATCAAATATTTGTTTAGTCTTTCGTTATGAGAATGTGTTTATAACCGCAACAGGATTTTTTCTTCTATGTTTGCACTGCGACCTCACAATCGCAAATGAACCATCACACCCAACTGCAAAGTATGATGCTTCAGTGGCGGATCCAGGGGGGGGGGGTTGGGGGGGGTTGCAACCCCCCCCTTGGGCGGCCCAAAAAAAAAAAAAAAAAAAAAAAAAAAGGAAAAAAAAAGAAAAAAAGAAAGAAAAAAAGAAAGAAAAAAGACAAACGCTGGAGAGAAACCCTTTCAAGTGCAAATATTGTGAGAAGATATTCAACTCATCTGGTAACTTAACCAAACACATGATAACTCTGGATATAACTATGTATTAAACTGTTACTTGATTTAAAAAGACGTTATCATGCACTGCTTTTTATGGTCTCCATTGTGTTAATAGATGCCAGGAAAACATCACTTACGGGGTTCAAATAAACACCCCCCAAAAAATCGGCTCGCCGCTTCGCGGCTCGTGGACGATGCTCCGCATCGTCATTATTTTGGTCAAACCCCCCCCCTTAGCAAAAAGCTAGATCCGCCCCTGTGCTTAAGCAATATCTTGTATGATGTATTAAGAAAAACAAATAGTGAAAAAATCCCGGATGTAATGTTATCACAAATATAGGGGTACATTTCGCCTTGATATTTCCCTTTGTATAGCTGCCCTTTTCCCCTCCAGCCTAAGTGCCCTTTTTTGTTGGTGCCCTCCGCACTTTGCGAGTTGCTCCGTCGCCAGGCATGTCCGTCGCCCCTGTGCGAATCTCCCCCACCCCCCTCACATCTAATCCAAAGCTCGCCCCTCCCTATTCCTGCACCTCAGAATCAAAAATGCATGCTGAATATGAATTAGCTGCGCCAAATATATTTCAATCGATGCATTTACCGAGCAGTATATTTATTCCCATTATTTATACATATTTTCTATTCTAGAAATTGGTAATTCCTAGTCATTTTATTTTTGTCCTTGTGAAGAGAAATGGGGGAGGTGCCATAACTTACCCCTCCCTATTCCTGCACCTCAGAATCAAAAATGCATGCTGAATATGAATTAGCTGCGCCAAATATATTTCAATCGATGCATTTACCGAGCAGTATATTTATTCCCATTATTTATACATATTGTGGCGGCCGCCCCCGCCTCCGTCTCCAACCTCGACCTCTACGTCGGGATTATTCTCTTTCCAGCTGGGGAAACTGATTCTTTATATCTGTCAGGATATTCGTCAGCCGACATTATTTATAATGTCCGAGCGGTTAGAGTAATTAGATCTTATCTTTTATTTGAGGAAAGACGGGGGAAGCTACAATACTTATTTACGTTCGTTTCGTCGAAATATACGACTATGAAGGAGTACCAGTCAAGAAGAAAGACAAAGTGTTTATAGACTCATAATTTCAGTTTCAAGACAAAAGAAAATGGTCAATTTTTATTAATGCATGTACTTCAAATATTTACATCTTTATATCACCACTGTCACAAATACCTTGTGCTCATAGTTATACTTAATAAATTTATACGATTGTCGTTATTATATTCGAATACATGTAAAAAGTGAAGGGCAATGATTCATTGGGATTTATGGGACTTGGGAGTTTTCCGTCTTAGTTTAATTCCATAGCATCATAGGGGGAGAGGTGGACTTAGAATATTCCTGCATCTTAATTATAGTGGTTCATTAATTCCAGCATCTTAATTCCAGCGTAGACTTCCTTGTGTACCTTTATATTCCAGGGAGGGAGAGAGATCTTATGTGTGGTACCGGTTCCGACGAGCGCCCAATTCCAATACAAGTCCTTAGGTGGGGGGGATTTCCAGGGAGAGACTAATAGTTCTGATTCCGACGAGCGTCCAATTCCAACTCCTCGCGTTTTAGAAATGTTACGGGTTATAAAGGCATAATGCGGACGTGGGGGAAATCGGTGCGCTAAGCGATCTTGGAAAGTACGCGCGCAGCGAAAATGGACTTAACATGAAGACTGTGCTAGTTCAGAGCAAAATATCTAAGTAAATCTCTTATTTTACCA